TATTAGATTAATATTTATTTAGGTTTTTCTAATTCGATTATAGTAAGTACTAAAAAGTAGTTTACTAATAAAAAGTTTATTTAATGTTGGTACAGCTGTTCCTTTGGGAGTCACGTGCGTAGTCACGGGACACGGGACACGGGACATGGGCAATGGGACATGGGCAATGGGACATGGGATACGGGACATGGTCATGTGACCTCGCGTCCCATTGGTGACTCGACCAGTAGACTAGACCCCTTTAGGCTTAGCAGATTTAGGGATCGCATATCAACACCACGATACTGCGATCCTTACTTCTGAATAACAACAACTTCACCAACTAACGCAACCAGCATTTCCACGCGTACGTGACGGTGCCATGCGTTACTAGTGAACCGACATTTAATTTATAAATATTACAAGAACTAAGATTAAAATCGTTTTTATAAAAGCTTATAATTTTATTAGAATTATAAAATATTATTATAGCCTAATTTAATATATTTATTTTATTATTATAACCGAAATTAATAGAATTAATAAGGATATTATATTCTAAATAGCTTTTAAGGCTATTAATAATTTTATAGAACCTAATAGTATTATTTTAATTCTTTTAATTTATAATATTTTATTTAAAATAACTAAATATAATACCCTATTATTTATTATATTATAATAATTAATAGTACTTTAAAAAGTAATAATAGAAATTTAGAAGCTTTAAATTAAATATTAAATTATAAATATTTTAAATATCCGAAATATTTCTAATATTATTAATATTTATAAACTTCTTCTAAATTTAAATATTTTTATATAATATAAAAGAAATACTAATTAATCTAATAATTAAAATAGGCTATATAAGCTAGTAATTATTAATTAAAAAAAACTATATATTAGCCTTATTATATAATAATACTGTTTTCTATTTAATTTTTATAAAGCCTTTTTATATATAAGATATTAAAGTTATTACTAATAACTTTAAATCTAAATTTTATAATAAAACTAAAAGTAATATAAATATAATTCCTTTTATTATTTCTGCTATTTTATTAAAATATAATAAAAAATATTCTTATAAGAATTCGGATATTATAGTATTTTTATAAAATAATAATTTATATAAGAATTTCTATTAAATTAAAATTATTAGCTTTCTAGAAAAAGATATATTTAAAGCTATTTTTAGATTTCAGATATTAAAGAAAATATATATTTTCAATTTCCGGTTTATTAATAAAATTAAGAATAAGAATATAAAGAAAAAGTTTAAAAAATCGAGACTAGTTATCTAAACTTATAATAATAATAAGAAATATATAATATTAATATAATTATTTAATATTTAATATATTAGCTAGAGAATCATTTTTAGTATTATTATTATAATAATAAATATTATAGAATTATATTTACATAATATCTCGCAAGTTTATATCTAATTAATAACCTTATTTAATTAGAATTTTTATATTAATTCATTTTATAAGTTTATTAAAAAACTAAATCTAAAAAACTATTATATAATATATTAGAAACTAGAAATTACTAGTTTAAAACTTATTATTTCTATTATATTAATAAGCTTTTTATAGAATAGTTAATTTATAAGTCTTATCTTTTTTATAATAAATAATTATTCGGAATTATTAGCTTTTAAATTAATAATATACTATTTATTAGAACTAATAATTTTATAAAAATAAAGTAATTAAAGCTCTAAAATACTAAGCTTTTTATTAAGAAATATAAATACTTTATTTTTAATTATAATTTTAAGTTTAATAAAAAAATTATTTATATAAATATTATTAAGATTATTCTTATATAAAAATACTAATATAAAAACCTCTAAATTATTTCTATAAAAAATACTATTATTATAAATAATAAAAATACTATTTATGAAAATCTTTTTATTAAAAACTAATATATTATTTAATATATTAAAGAAATATATATTATATTAGACTATTAACTAGAAGCTTTATATAACCTATTAATTACTATTTAAATTATTAAACTTTCAGAAATTAATATAAAGGTATTTAATAAATATATTTAATAGCAAATTGAAAATATTATTAGAAAACTGAGATTTATAAAGCTAGTAAAAGAATCTTTATATTTAATTATTTTTATAAATAATAGAGATTTCTTTTCCTAAATTAGATATATTCTAGTTCTAATAATTAGAACTAGATATACTAATATTATTTATTAGTTTTCTATCAAATATAAGAGAATTACTAGAAGTATTTTAGTTTTAGAATTCTATAATATAGCTTATAGTTTTAATATAAGTACTTTAATTAAATCTATAATTAATAAAATATTAGAAATAGAACTATTATTAATAATTTATATAAATTCGAAATTATTATATAAATATTAAATTAAATTAAATACTATTAAAAAGAAATATCTAATAATTAATATAATATATTTTTATTAGATATATTAATAATAAAAGATTATAGAAATTAAATAAATTAAAAGAAAATTAAATTTTACTAATTCTATAATAAAATTAAAGCTAATAAATATCTTTAAATATCTAATTAATACAAATATAATATAGTTAAATATAGAAAAATAAATTAAATATAAATAGAATAGGAAATAAATATATGAGATAAAAAGAAATTATAAGAAAAAAAGTTATATATAAAAGGCTATAGCCTTTAGTATATAATTAAAACCTTAAAAAGTAATATAAATATATAAAGTATTTGGGAAATCTAATACTAGATTAGATTAGAGAATTAGTATATAATTAAAGAAAAATGTTTTTTTTTTAATATTTTTAAAAAAGTTCTAATATTAATATAGCTATTTTCTTAGAAATTATATATATAATTACGGGATTTGAAATATGTAATATAAGTAATAAAATATAAATAACGGGATCTAAAATACAAGATATAATTATATAATCTCGTATTTTATAAATAATTTAACTAGTAAACTAGATTTTATTAGGCTTAGTAAATTTAAAAATTCTATATTAATACTATAATATTATAATTTTTATTTCCAAATAATAATAACTTTATTAATTTAATATAAATAATATTTTATATTTATATAATAGTATTATATATTATTATTAAGTAAATTAGAAAGCTTTTTAAAAGCTTTTATAAAATAAAAATCTTAAAACTTAAGGCCCGGGAATTTAATAATAAAATAGCTAAAGTAATTAGCTTTAATATTTAAGTTATTTATTAGAATAATTAATTCGAGAAGCTTTATATTAAACTTAAAAAAGCTTAAAAGCTAATTAAGTAATTCGAGAATAATTTAATTAAATAAAGTAATATTATCTTAAATAAGAAAAAGAATAAATAAATAATTATATTAAAGCCTATTTTAATATATATACTTGATTTATTATTTTTATTTAAAAATTACTTAATAATAATAGTTTTAATATTAGTTATAATTTATATAATATTTCTAGATTATATTATAAATATAAATATAATATAAATAATAAATAATAAAATTAGCTAAAATATATTAGGAATTAGATTATTTTAATAGAATTAAAGTTATATTTTAATTATATTTTAATTATAAATAAATTACTAAAATTAAATTAAATTAAATTAATTATTATTATTTTTCTTTTCTTTTCTTTATTATAATTAAATAATTCTCTAAATAAAAATATTTAGACTCTTCTTTAGGGGAAAGTAATATAATATTATAATTTCTAGATATCTGGTCAGATATCTTCTAGATATATATAATACAGCCGCCTTATTAGGGAAATATATTTGAAATATATTAGAGATATTTAAAAGGCTAAGCTTCTTCGGAACTAGTATATTATAGGGTATATATACTTTCTTATAGCTTCTTATATTCTAGTTTTTCCTTTTTTAGCTTTAAATCGTCTTTATAAGAGACCTTCTATCTTACTTTCCAAGCCCTAAATACTATATTCGTAATAATAAATAAGGCTTTATATTTTTTTTATTTTCTAATATAATTATATATATAATATATTATATTTAGAATTTACTTTTCTTTTTATATTATTTATAAAGAATTTATATATTTAATTAAAAGCCTTTATTAAATTTTATAACTTTAATTAAGGCCTTTATTATATAATATATTTTCTTTAATTTTAATCTTATTTAAAATTAATTTAAAATTAATTTAAAATTAATTTATTAATTAGCCTTAAAACTTATATAAATATTTTACTTTATTTAGTTTTAGTTTAATTAAAGAAATTTTATTTATATCTTATTTACTAAATAATATGTTTTTATTTTAATAATTATAATTATTAATTAAATAAATATAAAGATCTTAAATATTTTTATTATAAATAAACTAATAATATTACTAATAATAATATATATATTTAATAAAAGTAATAATTTAAAAGCAAGAAATTAAATAATGTTTTTTTACTTTAATATTATTATATTTTTAATTATTATACTCGCTTTTATAATATATATAATATAAAGTTATTATAAAACTTATAAAATTAAATTCAATTATTATAAATAATCTTTAATATTTAAACTTATATTAATTTAAACCTTAATAGCAAATAGCCTTAAAGAACTAATTAATACTTAATGAAATTAATATATAAAACCAAATATTATATTATAATTTGGCTTTTAATCTAATTATTTAACTAGTATTATTTATATTTTATTACTTATATTCTGTTACTTATATTTTATTACTTATATTCTGTTACTTATATTTTATTACTCATATTCTATTACTTCTAATTACTTTCAGGTTATATAACTATATATAGAATATAGCTATATTACTAAGGAAATATACTTGGAATATACTAGAAATATTTAGGACACTGAGCTCCTTATGGGCTAGCGCATTGTGGGATGCCTACTTATATCCTCGCAGTCTCCTGTATTCTAGTTTTTCCTTTAGCTTTGAGTCGTCTTCGTAAGGGACCTTCTATCTTGCTTTCCAAGCCCTGAATGCCGTACCCGTGACATATTAAGTCTAGAAAGTAACTCTTATATTGCTGCATACTGGCGAGTAAGAGCCAGAGTAAGTAATAAAAAAGAACCTGAGAGTTTCAATTGTATTATTATAGAGAGTAGAAATTTATTACCTTCGAGGTTCTACTCCTCAATTCTATCATATATTACCAACTGATGTAGCGAGCCCTCTAGCTGGATACCTTCGGATGGAACCGGAAAGTTCCATCTTTTGTAGCCCTTCCACATCTACCTCATCCTTGGAGATTCCGGGTCTGCATACGGTTTTCTAAGTAGGGCATATGTTAACTACAGTAATAGTGGCAGGGGCTGGACTACGTACTTTAAATGGTTAAAGACCTCAGTACCCCCAGCGCAGATAATAGCAGGCGGCCGCGCGAGATCGGCAATGATCTGCTTGACTGGCGCGCTAGCGAAAGGAGAGAATACTATAGACTCGTTATCAAGTTCTGCAAAGCCTCCTGCCCCATATTCTCCTATAACCTCAAACCCAATCTCTCGTAATAAATCCTTTGTCTCATCCGAGTAACGCGGGTCTTGGGTAAGCAACCTTACCCCGGTATCCCCGGTTTCAGCACAAGAACGGGCTATATCGGCTATCGTCAATGCAATCGCATGATGTATTAAGGCCCCTTCTACCACGCTTGTTTCCAGCTCCTGTTCATGTTCTGGCTTAGACTCGTTCTCTGCTCTCCACCAATCGGGTGGCTTGAAGTTGAGATCGCACAACCCAAAACAGACGATCTTAGTCACCCTCTTTCTATTCCCATCTCCGCCCAGGAGCTCACGAAATTGCGACGTGAAGGCCTCGTAAGTCGTGCTTGCGTCCCATCGTTTTCCACTGGTTTCAAACAGCAACCGCACGTTTTCGAACGGCCCCTCATAGTTACGTATCGTCTGGTTGGTCCAGTCTACGAGATACGTGCAGAGGTACGTCTCGGGTGGACCGTCCGGTGTGCTTCGGACGAGGCGCCAGAACTCTTGGAACTTAATATATGGCGTCCTAAGAATGAGGTTGCAGTTTAGTAAAGGATCTCACTCTCTCAACTGAGCTAGGAGCGAATGAGCCTTACCAGATTGGTTTCTGCACCCCAAACATCGGGTTCTTGATGTGGATGACACTCCCGTCGATACGGCGGACCGTGAACTTCTCCGCGGTGCGCGACTGCGCTAGTTGGCGTTCGATGCTGACGAGATCCTCTTTTCTCCATAGCTTGATCCCCAAGTCATACAAGTCTGCTGCGCGCTGGCTGCTAATTTTCCAATGCGAGCACCCGTAATCAAGCAATGGTTCCAAGAGCGTGCCCAGTTCATCTTGTGTGGACCCCGGCATATTGGGAAATTGTGCGTTTGTGGGTGAGTTGGGGTGAGTGCTATTAATCGTTCGGCGTTTCCCACCTACAATTCGCCTAGCACGCCTTGTAGGTGAGGGATAGCGATACTCAACGAACAGCGATACGCAAATCGCACCAAAATTTGTATAGGCAAATGGGGCAGATTTGCACCACAATAACGCCTTAATCTTTTAGACTTAAAATTTACTAAGCTAAAGGGCCTATACCTTGGGATCAATTCCCAATACTTAGACACTATTTTATTACGCTGCGTTGTGAGAATTCAAAGGGAGAAAAGGAGAGATTCCCACCAAAATCTCAGATTTGCGTATCGCTGTTCGTTGCGTATCGCTATCCCTCACCTACAAGGCGTACTAAGCGAGTTGGAGGTGAGAACCACCGAACGATTAGCCGAAGTTCAATGCCCGAGATATGCTAACCTTACTGTAGCCCTCCTGCCAAAGCGCACAGGCCAACTAGTACAGCGGCGCACCATTGGCATGCGCGACAGATAAGACTGGCCTCGAACCTTCGTTCAAGCACTGCAAGCGACTATATACAGTGCGAAAGCGAAGGTTCAGTTAGAGTCTAATTTCTGCAGGGGGCTTGGCAGGGGATATTGTTCCTGATTCTCGGTTGGGGAGTTCCAAACGGAGAGGGGATAAACGCAAGCATCCAAAAGCTTGTATTGGCCAAGAAAAGCCATTCGAGATCTGGGTCTAATGTGGCTTCAAGTGGCTGAAATTTTCCCAGTCATATTGCGTAACAGTTCGGACATGTCTCAAATCTCAGCCCATAAAGTATTGGTGGCGGTGTCAAGGCTCCAATTTGGGGAACCCATGACTTCTCTGCGGAATTTTGAGTAAACATTTCCAGCTCCATCACCTTCTTCTGCGTACATGAATTTTGTCATGGCGAAATTTTCTTTCCGGGTGCTTCACGCGCTGTCGTTGATCACTCTTTGCGCTTCAGCTGCAGTCAGTGGCAGGTCCAAGCTACCTCTGCCAGCTCCACTCGGATCCTATTCGGTAGGAACCACCTCCCTTGAGATGATTGACCACTCGCGCATGGATCCATATGCTTCTACTCCCCAGCCAAGAGCAATAATGGTCTCCCTCTTCTACCCCACAACCGACACTCACAAACCATTCGCACCTTATCTCCCAGCCAAGCTTGCAGCAATCGCAGACCAATACCTTGGGCTTCCAGCTGGATTCATCGAGAGCATCCAACCGCAAGCACACCTCAATGCGCGTCTAGAAGAGATACCTGACATTCCAATTATCCTGTTCTCGCCCGGCCTCGGCGCAGCAAGAGAAGAATACACAATTCTATTCGAGGGACTGGCGAGCTATGGATATCTCGTCATTGCAATGGACCACACGTACGACGCTGTGCTCGTCGAGTTTCTTGACGGAACGATCGTCCTTGGTTCTCCTGACATAAATGGCGACGCGCAATCCATTGATGTTCGCACAAAAGATTCAAGCTTCGTCATCGATCAGCTTTCAAACAAGACATTCATTACCCAAATCCCCGGCATCGTCCACCGCACTTTCAAGGAGAGTAAAATAGCAATGTTTGGTCATTCTCTCGGTGGAACAACGACTCTCTCTGTTCTCGAAGCGGATAAGAGAGTTCTCGGAGGAGTCAGTCTGGACGGGCCAATTTTCGGAGCCGAGGAGGAGTTGGGGATAAACAAACCATTTTTGATGTTTGGCAGAGACAACCATACGAGATGTAATGACCCAGCATGGGCGGAAGTGTGGAAACACCTGACGGGGTGGAAGGCGGAGATCACATTGGCCAAGACGACGCACTTTACGTTCACGGATATTGGTGCTGTTTTCACGGAGGCGGGACTCATTGACTCTTTGGATCCTGGGAGGTCGATGTATGGAAGTATAGATCAGGTGAGAGCTACGGTGGCGGAGATTACGTACTTGAAGGCGTTCTTTGATTTTGTTTTGAAGAGGGGGAAGGATACGATGTTTAGGCACTCTGATCCTGCGTTCCCTGAGATCACGATTGTATGAAGTCAGCTTTCTCAATCTGCTTGATCCGACTTCAAGGGACTATGAAAGAGATTCTGATCGAAACCTGCTTTACTCTCCATCTAATTGACCTCCACCCCAGCCTCCCAGGGTCTTCCATTCAGCATAAAGACACGTGACTTCACGAGAAACAAATTATCTGGGGCCGATAACTTCGTCTGAGCTTGGAGTAGGGGCACAATTGCTCAAAATATTAAAGCTTACTTATCTTGCAACTGAGTGTGACCAGCTCAGCGATTTGTAATTTTCACGTGTTCTGGTGGCAGGCGTCACACCTCAGTTGCTGCACCTCAGACATTTCAACCTTCAACAATCACCGTCTCCCTCTGAAGCCACCTGCAGATCCAACGCACGCCCAATTCGGCGAGGAACAGTCAGATATCATTGCAGATCACCCTCACCGATATCCTGCCGGGTTCAGCCTCCACGTGAATTCCATGATCAGAAGACACGCGCCCAGCGGGCGCGGTGTCATAAAAGGTCTACAGAAATCACGAGAATTAATACCCACAGCCAGTGAACAGCAAGCGTCTGACGGGAGTTTTCGGGAGCCAAGAATACGAGCACCAGCTACGGCTTATGGCAGACGTAAGACAAGTGGTACAAGCATCGCACAGGTGCTTGACGCAACGAGGCGGTGACAGTCTCCATCAGTCAAGGGGGCTTGTGAAGCCCGGCTGCAGTGACAGAGCATGTAGCTTGAACGGGGAAGTTCTGTCTCGCAGACCCATATTTGATCTCATGCGTTGTCTTTTTTGTATTTGGTCCATCTCGAAACTCGACCGGAGCATGCTGTCCCTTTTCATCTCGTCTTACTCGGCAACTCGGCTGCGGATTCAGTCCGGCCCGACTAGCTGGTCTGCAAGGTGAGCCCAAATGCATGCAGGGAAAGCTCCCGGCTGCCTGTAAATAGCATCCGGGGTATCACAAGCATCAAAAAGAGGGGTAGTAAGACTGCTGCAGTGGTTGTAAGGCTGAGAATTTCTTACGGATGACACCGAGAAAGCTGCCATGGCTGAATTCCCCCCTCCACTCAGAATCTTCTCCATCCGCGCAAAGCAGCCACAATAGGACAGAATCCTTCTCGTGAAGCAGTTCCGTTTGCTGATGGTTCGTAATTGCAGATGTAAGCAGCATTCGTCCTTTGCAATTTGGGATGTCTCTCCGTCTCTCCTTTCTGATGCCCCCAAGAGCTAGCACAAAGGAGGCTCAGCTGTCGGCTTCATTTCTGTCTCTGCAGGAGAGAGAAGCCGCACGCGACTGCCTTGCGAGTATAAAATTTACCCAAGACTCTCTCAGGTTCTCTTGAAATCAATTCCACTACATCTGCGTCATCTCAAGAATAAGAGCATCCTCACTGCAAAGCACAACCATTCCATACACTTCACAGAGAAACAGTAATCAACATGTCCGCCATCAACTACCCCGTCGTCGGCGCTCCAAAGCCTTCTCCAGCTCCGGTTGATGGTATTAAAATCATTCTTCTACGAGACAAGGCTAACTTCGGCAGGATCCGTCCCACTGAGAATCGAAATCCGGCAGCTTCAACAAAATGCAGACCAATGGAATTTGTATCTATTGGGTCTCGACGCCTTCAAGAAGATGGATGAGAAGAGTGATCTTTCATATTATGGTGTCTGCGGTAAGCTCCAAACTACCACTTGAGCACCATCAAGCTGATCTCAGCAGGAATCCACGGTCGCCCATATCGTCCATGGGGAGGTGTTGCCGGTCACAACAACGTCCAAGCAGGTTGGCAAGGCTATTGTACTCACAGCTCGATCCTTTTCGGACCTTGGCATCGACCATACCTCGCGCTGTTTGAGGTAATGTGTCTCTCCGGAACCAGGTCTTCCTACTCTAACTCTAGATAGCAACTTCTCTATGGCATTGTCCACGACATCGCAGGACAATTTCCAGCCGAAACCAAAGCTAGATATCAAGCAGCTGCTTCCACCTTCCGGATTCCATATTGGGACTGGGCAGCGATCCCTGACAGCGGAGACTACTTCCCCAATGCCGTCGGAGGCTCTACCACGGTGAGCGTGATCACCCCAAAATCGAACGGCCAGGCAGTCTCGATGCCAAACCCTCTTTACTCGACCACATTCCACCCTCTGAATCCCGTACAAGGAGACTTCGCACCTCTCGGACGAACCCCAGTAAGTCTCCTACTTCGCCGCTGGTCACTTGCCCCAATCTAGGCTGACCTGTCGAAGTACAATCAATGGCCCACTACCCTTCGTTACCCTTCCTCATCTCGCTCACTGAACGCGACCTCCGAGGAAGATCAAGTATTTGATGCCATGGCAACTCAATTCGCGGGTCTGCAGCAGAATATCAACATCCTCATGAACGATCCTAACTACAAGGACTTCAGTGCGTTCAGCAATCATCTCTGGGTACCCGATTCTGTCGGCACCGAAGCTTCACTCGAGGATGTTCATAACTCGATCCATGGAGCAGTTGGAGGATTTATGGGTCATATGTCTGAACTGGACTACTCGGCTTTCGATCCTGTCTTCTGGCTTCACCATTGGTAGGTTTCACCATCTAAATAAAGAACACACACTTAGTCCTGTGATGTGTGATTCCATGTGCTGACATATGTCCTCGTGAACAGCAACGTTGACCGCCTTTTCGCCATCTGGCAAGCACTCAACCCAACCTCCTACACAATCCGCGAACGCACGCAGGACGGCAACTTCGTCACCCAAGCCGGCTCCGTCGAAACCTCAAGCACACCCCTTACACCCTTCGTCGACGCTTCAGGAAGTAAATATTGGACATCAGAAGGAGTTCGCCGGACGGAGACCTTCAACTACGCATACCCAGAAACTCGACGCTGGGCCTTCACAAGCGAGTCCGTCTACGAGAACAGTGTTGCGAATGCTGTACAACAATTATACGGAGGACTCAGCAATCAGTTCTCGGGGGAGGAGGCATTCAATCTAATGTCGGTTCGTCCTACAGATGCTGCTACGGCTCCGGCCATCGAGGAGAAAGTCGAGACCGCCCATTCCACTTCCACCTCCAATGCCTCTGGACACGCAAATGGAGCCGCAAGTGGCCCCGCTCAAAAGCCTGTTGCGGACACCAGTGCAGGCTTCCATCCTTTCCATAATCTAGTCGAGAAAGTCAAAGGGGCTGTTCCTGGCCTAGACCCCAAGCCAGAACACCAGACACAGCGCGGCGGCCTTGACCTTGAGAAGGAAATCGGCAAACGTATGTCCCTCCCCCGCCTCTCACACCTTCCGAAGCACAAACTAATAAGAACGACAGCAGCGGCACCAGTCCCCGAACAACCCCGCTCTTACACCGAATACATCGTCAATATCAAAGCCCCGAAGCACCTACTCGGCCAATCCTACCGCGTGCACATCTTCCTCGGCGAGTTCGACTCTGACATTAGGACCTGGAACACGCAAGACGCGCTCGTCGGCACCTTTGCCGTCTTCGGCAAAGAGACGGCGCCCGGAAGCGATGACGAAACGAAGTGTGGAAAGTGCAAGGATGATGCGGAGAAGAATACGATTATCACTGGTACGGTGCCGCTGACTGCGCAGATTATTGGAGAGGTCAAGAAAGGCCACTGCGGAAGTCTGGAGAAGAGTAATGTTCTTCCGTATCTGAAAGACAATCTCCACTGGCGTGTCACCCTTGCAGATGGGACGGAGAAGAACAGAGACGAGGTCCCGGGTCTTGTTGTCAGTGTTGTGAGCACTGAGGTTGCGCTTCCGGAGGGTAATAGACCGAAGTATAGTGGTGTTTATATGGTGCATCCGGAGGTTACAGCTGGTAGGCCGGCGGGACTTGGTGCGGGTGCTGAGACCACGCCTGGAGCTTGAGCATGACGTTGAGAGGGACTGAGATTGAGATAAATTTAGCGTGGGAAGGATGGAAAATGGATGCATGCGTGGGTCTGAATGCCTTGCATGGGTTAGGTACTCAGAAATTGGCCTTCGGTGAGCCTAATGAGGCCATTAGAAGTAGAAGTATCCACTAGCCAACCGCCCAAACCCCCATCCGCCCACGCCTAAAAAATAGATTTTTAATCACAGCTTTATTATAATTACAAATCCTTTAATATATTAATATCCCATAGTATTTTCGATATCCTGATAACTATATATTCAATTTAATCTTGTGGTGCGGCTAGAATCGCCTGTTAATATCGACTTTTTTTGATTTTTGGTATGCGGCAGTACCCATAATTTTTAGTAAGCCGGACGCGTACCAAAAAAATAAAAAGTCGATATTAACAGGCGATTCTAGCCGCACCACAAGATTAAATTGAATATATTGAATATATAGTTATCAGGATATCGAAAATACTATGGGATATTAATATATTAAAGGATTTGTAATTATAATAAAGCTGTGATTAAAAATCTATTTTTTAGGCGTGGGCGGATGGGGGTTTGGGCGGTTGGCTAGTGGATACTTCTAGCGAGCTAGTCGACAAAACGCACAAGCAAAAAGTGATTTTCTGATTTTCGTACTAGCCCCAACCCCCCACCCCTACCCGACGGCAATTCCTCGCTTTGCTGGGGCCTACTTGCACTAGCAAGTCGGACCCAGCAACTCCGACATACCACCAACTCCGATATTTGCAATAAAATATTAATTATTAAATTAATTATATAAAATATCGAAATAATAAAATTAAATTATTATAGCCCTTAATTAAATCTATAATTACCTAATAGAGATTTTTGCAAAATAAAAAGGTTCTAGTACAAATTATTAATAATCCACTTTAAAATTATAATAATATTTATATTTTTTATTAAAATTAATTTATAATATATTAAATAATTAGTATATTTATTAATATTAAAGTATATATTATTATTTAAATTAAGAGACTATATATTTCCTTATTTTATTTAAATATTAATAGCTTTAATCTTATATTTTTTATCTTATAGCTTTTTATTTTTTTAGTTTTTTTAGTTTTTTTCTTTTTTAATTATTTTTTGTCTTTTAAGCCTTTTTAACTTTTCTTTTAATCTTATTTTTTTCTTTTTTAATTATTATTTTATATTAATATTTAGTAATTTCTAGCTTTTTTCTTATTTTAATAAATTCATTTTTCTTTTCCTTATTATTTCTAGCTTTAATATTATATAAATCTTTTATAAAAGAGATTATATAGCCTTTATAAATAGATTTAATATATAATTTATAAAAAAAAGAATTACTAGTTTAGAATTTTTATTTATTTTTATTTCATAATTATTATTTAATAATAACTCTTAAATTAGCTTTAATTTAGGCTTCTTTTCTAAACTTTTTATTTAAAAGCTTTCGAGAAAAAAAAAATTATATTTTTTATATTTTTTAAGAAAATTTATATATATAAAGATTTCTTTTATTTTATAAGAAATTTATATAAAAGCGGTTTTAATATATTATTATAAATTAAGATCTTTAATTCTGGAATTCTTTTTATTATAATTAATAATATTATTCTTAGAAAAGAATTAAATAAAATTAATAATATTATTAATAGTATAATTTTAAGCTCAATTAAATAAAAAAGGTTTTATTTTATTATTATTATTTAAAGAAATACTAGAATAAAAAGACTTAAAATTAAAAGAAGTATTTAATTATTTCTTTTATATTAAGTATTTAAAAGGTTTTATTCTAGCTTAAGGCTTATTTAATATAAATATATAAATAGTTTTATTAAAGTAGTTTTTATTAAAAATATAAATAGTTTTATTAAAGTAGTTTTTATTAAAAATATAAAGCTGTTTTTTAATTTTCTAATTATTTAGTTTTTTCTTAGTATAAAGCTTTATAGTTCTAAGAACTAGCTTAGAATTAAGGAAATAAAGATTTTCTTTAATAATAGTTTTTTTATAAATTCAAATTAATATTTAAAGAAATATGGTTTTTATAAAGTTATTTTTTTATATAAACTTTATTTTTAATAAAATACTTATATTAATACTTCTTTTATAATAAATAGCCTATATTTAATAATTAATAAAAGTATATAAAATATATTAATAAATTAAAAAGTATTATATTTAATTACTTATAAATAAATATAAATTCATAAATTATATAATTATTATAACTATTAAAAATAAGAAAATAATATTTGCCTTTTTATATATTTTTAATTTAATAATAGAAATACTATAGCTAGCTAATAACTAAATTATTATTTATATAACTTGTTTTATTTTAGGTTTTTTTATATTATTAAAAAGAAATTATTAATTTTTTTTAAATATTTTATAAAATATAATAATAAAGGCTTTAATTATAAAACCTTTAATTAAAATATATTCTATTATTATAATTAACTTTTATTTAGCTAAATATATAATATAAATCTAGAATTATTAATTATTAATTAGTAAATATAAAATATAAAATACTAAATATAATTATTATTAAATTAGTAATATATTTAATATAAAAACTCATTTAATTAATATTATATATATTAAATATTTATATTTTATATTTATCTAAAATAGTCTAAAGTTATATAAATATTACTAAAACTAGTTCTAAAATAAATACTCTTTTTATTAATAATTTATAAGCTTTATATATATAATATAATATTTTTGAATTTCTTTTATTTCTTTATTTAATAGAAAGTCTAATTATTATTTTTATTAATTAGATTTATATTCTCTAAAATTTATATAATAGCCCAAATAATTATATTATATATTATATTAGACTTATTTTCTGGGTTTTATTTAAATATATATTATATTTTTTATTTTTAAATAATAGCTTTTTTTCCTGTTTTCTTTTATATAAAATTATATAAAAAATATTAAATATATTTATTATAATTATAAGCTAGTAATTTCGGTTTCAGATAAATTATAATATACTTTTAAGGTCTTTTATATTCGAGTTTCGGTCTATAATAACTTAATATCTTCTTATAATACAAGCTATTAACCTATATTTTCTTGAATATAAAACTAAGATTAAGTTATAAGTAAATATAAAGAGATTTTTCTTTATTATCCAATCTGGTTTTATATAAACTAATAATATAATATCTTTATGGAAGCTTATTTCTATTTAATAAGATTTATAATTAGGATATTAATTCTGAATCTTTCTTTTTTATTTAATCTATTATATATTTAGAAGAAATATATTTATAGAAATAATAAAGGAAATAGAAATAAATATAATAGCCTTTCTAATTCTCTTAACTTATTCTCGAATTAGCTATATAATAAAGGAATTCTCTTATAAAAATAGGCCCGAGAATTCGATATTTCTATAAATATAATAAGAGATATAAGATATTAAAAGAATAAGAAAAGAAATTGGATTTAGATATTTAGATTATAAGAGAACTTAAATAGGAGAAGAAATATTCTAATAGTTTTCCTAACTAGTTATAGAAGGTTTTATATAGTTATAAAATAGTTTAATTATATATAGAAAATAGTTATAGGCCTTTATCTATATCTAGCTATAATAAGAAATGCTTTCTAAAGCAAGAATACTATAATACTATAGGATTAGAGGCCCAGAACTATTTAAAAAAAAGTCTTTTTATTTCTTATAATTTTTGATTCTATTCTAAATAGGACTTTGAGTTCTAAGAAATACTTCTTAGTTTAGTATATTCTTATATTCTTCGGAAAATTTCTCAAATATAAATAATTATTAAATTAAATATATATTCGAGTTTCTTTTTCTAAATATAGCTTTATTTTATATTTTAATATTTTTTAAAGCCTTTTAATAAGCTTTTTAATTTATTTTCTTAATATTTAATATATGGATTTTAATATAGTAATTAAATTAATAATTAATATAATTAATATCCTATAATTTTTAGTATTTTTTAGCTTTAATATTAAATATATTCTTTTTAAAAAGAATTCTAAAAATTGTATTTTAATTTATAATATAATATTATAAAATTATAGAATTTAATATAATCTATAATTATATATATAAAAAAATATTTTTATTAAATATATAGTTATTTTTTAATCTAATATATAAACCAAAAAATTAATATTAGAATTAGTATTACTAGTAAATACAGTAAACTTATCTAAATTAAATATAGAAATACCTATAAAAAATATTTAAAAAATTGCAACTTTGCTTTTAATATTAAAAATAATAGTAAATCAAGCTAGTATATTAGTATATTTCTAGAATCTAATTAATAATTAAAGAAAAAAATAGAAATATAAGAATTTTATAACTAAATATTTTCTTTTTTTTTAATTTCTTTTTACTAAATATACTTAATTAATAAATAAAATATAAAAGCAAGATTTAATTTTCTAATTTTCTAATTTTATTTAAGCTTAAAATATATAAATTAATTATAATATAATATATAATAAATCTTAGAAATTAAGTAAAGAAATTAATAATTCTCTTATATTATTATATTATTATTATATTATTATTTATATTATAGGCTTTAAATTTATAATTCTTTAATTATATATATATATTATTAAATTCTTTTATTTAGAAAAGAATTTCTTAAATTTTATAATTAATATATTTTATAAAATTTTATTTATAACTTTATATTATTTTTCTTAATAATATTTATAAGAAAAGTTTTTAAAATAAAATAATAATTTATTTTCTTTCCTAATATAATAAGCTTTATAAATAATTTCGAAACTATTTATTAAAAGCTATTATATAATATCTTAAAAATATATTTATATTAAAAAACACTTTTTAAAATTCAAATATTTGACTTATATTATAAAAAGTTCTTTAAAAAATAAAAAATAAATTTTATAAAAAAAAGCAATTTCTAAAACTTAATTTTAAATTTATAATAAATATTTTACTAAAATTAATTTTATTATAAGTGCCTTTAAAAACAAATTCTATAATATTTCAAAAAAAAAATAAAGCTTATTAGTATATAAGATTTATTTAAAGTAATTTAAAGGTTATTTAGCTAATATACTTTAAGCCTTTAAAATTTATTAGTAAGATCTTTTTATAGAACTTCGAGGTTTTTAATAAATGAATTATAAGATAATTATTAAGTTATATATTTAAATAACTAGTTTTAAAATTAATTTTAGATTTTTAATATTATATTATTTAATTATAAGACGTACTAAATTCTTGTATTTATTCTTTTAAGAAATAAGATATTATTTATTTTTATATAACTTAAAAAAGCTTGGAAAGCAAAATTTATTACTTATTTTAAATTAAGTAAAAATTAGAGAATTTAGTAAAAGTAACTTTACTTTTAAGAACTTTAATTTAGTAAATTCTTATTTACAATTTTATTAAAAGAAAAAAAGATAAGTTTCAAAGAATATTTAAGAATTTTTCAAGTAATACTTTAGCCCCTTTTAAGCCTTATTATAGTATCCTACTGCAAGCGCTATTGAATCAATAATCAATTTTCTTGCTGCACAGTAATATCACCCACATTGACGACTTCGGGGTTCATTTTTGGCAACTGTCTTCTGCTGATGCTCTATCTAATGATCTCGTTCTCAGGACATGCTGCAAGATATCCCACTGGCTCTTACCGCCAGATTGAGCTACCACGAATGCTCGAAGCGCGCCACTTAATGCACACTACCAATTACCTCCCAAGTATGTTCTTTACACTTGAGTGACTGCAAGATAATTGCTTTCAACGCCCGAGTATTCTGATCTCCAGGCCTCGAAACGTCGCCAGCGGTACCACCACCTGAAGATGTAAAAGTCTGTCTCCAAAGATGGTCCAAGGCCCTAGCCCACTTATCTTTCCTAGAGGAGCTAATTTGTTGATGTACACAAAATTTACATTCGGAATTTTCCAATCATCAAGCCTCTCCTCCCCCTTGAATGCGTTCAGCTCGATGCGAAATGAGCTCAACAAGTCCGAGTAATATCTATGCGCGTTGAGATGTTGCTCAAATAAAGCAAGATATCTGCCGTCCACTTCTTCCAAGGTCTGGATGAAAGGTTCACCAGGAACAGATTGGTAGCGTGCCATTACTTCTGTATTAGTCCGAACCATGTAGAAAATTTGTAGAGAAGGAAACTCAGATACGAGCTACATTCGTGGTCTTCCACTGGGTTTGGGAATTTTAGGACCACGGTGCAATTGAGCTCCAGCAAAACCTTCCAGACATTCTTCGGTCAGCGCAACGTGTTGCACATCCGCAAAGATCTTGCGAAAGTCGGGAATCGTTTCTGGAAGGGAGTATATGCCTGGGAAAGCCCAACAGCACTTCTTAGGTGTGTACATTAAGATAAAATCGTGATCTTCGTTGAAGCGGATCTTCCGATGTGCTGACTCGATGCAACCAGAATGAGTCTTCAAGATGACTTCTCGAGATGTCTTGCACGCTCGGAGCAAACTGGAAGCTGGCGTAGTGGTGACGAACTGGAGTTCGCGGCCCGGTGTGAGTACTTCCATGTCGCAGAGTTGCTCGTCGGTGGGTTCGGAAAGTTCTGCGTTGCGATAGAACGGGTAGATGGTATGTATTTGGGGAGGGCACAGCAAGCCTCCGGATTTTGAGCTGCAGCCTTCGGGGAAAACGGTTAAATCCTTTAATGGATCTTGACCAACACCGTTGGCTCCTCCAATGTTTGCCATTGTCCTGATAGGACGAGGTAAATCGTGATAGTCAGACGAAGACTCTGAAGAGTAGGAGAGGGAGCTGCTCGAGTGTTGGTGGTTCTCACAACAGATTAAAGTGGACATTATATAGATGGGAAAAGCAGAGGATATCGCTCTTTGAATAGCATAAATTATTTTCTGGACTTGGGCCATATAAATTTATGTCAAAGTGAATTCGTTGAGTAAATATCTAGCGAATTCGTTCAGTCAGGTGCCTTGGAAGTTCCCAAAACCCTGGGTCAGATCGAGAGGCCAAGGCCAGTCAAGCAACAGTTCCTGTGGCAATTGGAAAGAAAATTGGGAGTCCAATGACATATCGCCCTGATTGAAATCCACTTGCGTGCCAGCGGGCCATTCGATTTGTTCTTGGTGAGTCTCTGCCACCGGAAGGGAAATCTCTTGTTGGCGTTGACTACTCATATACTCATCGATTCGAGAGAGCAAGGCTCGCAGACGCTCGCTGGCGCCAGCTTTTCTGGTCAATGAAGCTTCGAGGCTTGCTAGAAGATCCGCCATTGCCAACCTGGCATTATATCAGCATGATCATTCGAGGCGTCGACACAATACAACCACTACTCACAAAACTGTCCGAACTCGAAGGTACTCTGACAACGACAACTGCCCTTCGATGACGGATCCCAAAATCGAACCAATTCCGGCAAGATGATGCAGAAGAGGCGAGGAAATTGCCTTTAGGAAGAAGATTGGGGCTCTGGCAAAGTCATCAAGGAGTTCTCGTGCGATGGCGCATTTCTGTTCAACTGTGGCATCTTCTGCTGTAAACAGGACCATGCGTGCTAGCTGATTCCGTCAGGAAATACCCCATGCTGAAAGAAAGCAGTACTTGCCTGGAGGGTGGCTGCAATGTTCGCCGCTTGGAAACTGTATCTATCCGCCGTCATTTCACCCACAACGCCCCTCGTCTCTTTGAATCTCGCTGGCAAGTTCTCGTGCATGAGAATGATTTTGTCAAGAACTACAGATTGGGGAGGAGCACTCCGATGAAACAGATCAGAAGGCGAGAACGGCCCAATATTCTGTGGCCGACGACGATGAAATTCATCCATGGCATGCTCTAGGATTCGGTAAAGTTCTGTGGTAAAGTTCCATCCGTGAAGCCAAGAGCCCGTGTCAGTGATGGCTGGTTTGGAAAAAGCACTGTCTCGTCGGGTCATTGGAGAGCTAGGACCATTCCTGATACCCGTTGGAGAAAACACCTCGTCGTCGAGCTCGCTGGGATACAGGACCCGAGACTGTGATTCTCGACAGCGAATCACGCCGCCCCAGACGATTGACGAATAAACGTCCAAAGTATAGATGGACCAGAACTAAAGAGTATGAGTAATTAACCTTGCATAGAATCGAGGAACTGACAAGCCTTCTCCGCTCCTCAACTTGGACCATGTCGATATCCCTGGGCCAGTTTTTTTCATCATGAAGCCCATCCATCGCCACCAGGGTATGGTATGTACCCAAGTATTGGTGCATCATCTGGATGTTGCCTACTTGTATTCCAACAAGGGCTAACACCGCGCATGTGCGCATCCAATCGAGGCCTTTCATTTTGCTCCAGTCTGATGGAAGCACGGCAATTGCAGCAGAAGAGAAATCCTCCGCTGCAGGCTCTAGGAGGTAATCTGGATTCCATTTGGTAGGGTACAGCGCTCCATCTCGTGCTCGGGCAGATGCCAAAGCACATATTGCCATTGTCATGGCAAATTGTGCTTTGTCTGATAGGTAGTCGCGGGTGCTGATCTTGCGAAGAAGGGTTGGTCTGTGGAACAGTGGGAATCTGACTCAATTAGATATCTTTCGTTACGACACTCGCCTCCTTAGATGCGAGGGAGACCCATGAGGAAGATGCGCTTGGTAAGTAGGTCTGCACTGCTAACTCGACAAGCGCGCCATCGCAAGTAAAGTGCTCGACACCACTCACATTGGATATACGACTTCAAAGTAGACTGTGACAAGGTCTTGAATCTTTGCGAGATTATCAAGAACTAACGCCTGGTGATTTTCACTGAGGTCGATGGAGAAGTTAATCTTCAGGCTGGATTCTGCGCTCTCGTGGGAAGTGCCATAGGATGGCTGATGTTGGTTGATTTGCGGATTTGTTAGATGTAATAAGAGGTTTGCATGCTCGCTTGACGGCGACTTATAATCCTCTGCTTGAGGCTTTGCCTTAAGTTTGGCTCCTCTTCTCTTCATGGGCCTATTAAAAGTGCATTCGACGCCAAAGTCCGAGCAGTTCCGGCATCGACTGCCATCATCTTGAGTTGGTCTGCACCGTATACTGCGCCTGTGGCAGAAGTCGCAGGCTCGTGAAATACGTCTTTGTTTTTTCGGTCTGAAAGCTCCCTCAGACATGGGATTGAGGTTGGCTCGACAGTTGCTGGGCTCCATCGCAGCAGAATCCGCCCTATCGTGGCAACGGTGGCATCAAAACCATCGGTTATGAGACTTCATCAGCATGCGCGCATGTGCTCCTAAGTCCACAGACCCTTCGGTCGCTGCATATAGGAAAATATGAGATGCGATGGCTTCATTGGGGGTTGTGGATGTCTTCGTCTCGAAGGCGTCGAACGCAAAAAGCGGGGGCTGATGTCAGGGTCGTCGGCGGAGCCAATCATGCTCGTCCTAGCACGACCCACATGGATACTCCAGTAATTATGCCCCTGACTCGACTATATGATAGGATTTGCTTCTTTGATCTTAGAAAAACAGTTAAAAAGTGCATCTCCTTCACTACTCTTGAAGAAGTAAATCGATTCATGGTGCAAAACGGTGCTCCTAAGTCGAGCAAGGGGTGGTGAGTGGGTCAAGTTGATAAAAAGCTTTCTCCGAAGGTCAACGTAAGATGCTGCGCCATTTCTCTGCGTACAGCATCCCTCGATTCACTGACTCTCATTAAGTATTCCAGGACGTCTGGTATAATCGAATGTTCTCCTCAACTTGGTCCTAGGGCAGATTATACGAGAATATACTGGGACATTTAGAGGCAGACTAGAGATGTCTTCCGTACAGTGGACAGGTACAATAGTGTACGCAGAGTAATGACGCAGTCTCTTACACAGGGATTGCTCATGACCATTTAATCTCTGAGTAAGGTGCTTCATTGTCTTACGGAAGCTAAGCTCTCTGAGATGAGAGTCTCATGTAATTACGCAATCAGAGCAAATAACAAATATGGAGTGAGTATAACCTAAACGCGGGTCTCCACACAAACATAAGAGCAAAAAGATTAGCAACGCCTTCACTTTCCATCAAACATTTTGCTGCGACTACCATTTGTTATCAAAAACCTTTCCATCAACATAGTTCAAAAGCTCCTTCACGGGAGCAAGATGATCCGCACTACCTCCAAACATCATCCCTTTTCTCATAACCTCCCTATAGTTCTTCCCCGGAGAGACTTTACCGAGTACAAATTCAGCTCGCGTCTCAACTCTTGTGGGGACAGGAATTGATCGGCCAACAATAGCCTCCATACCTTGCCACGCGAAAGTGATGGCCTCCTTTGCCCCCCCAGGAATTCCCGCCTCATCAAGCATCATTATTTTCGTCTTTGGGTAGCTCTTTTGAATGAAGGCTGAGATGTTTGGGTTGTAGGCCCCTCCACCACACATGAAGATCTCGTCGATGTCCTGAGAAGGTGCGTACTTCTTGTAGTGTTCAACGATTGCTTGTGCAGTCACTCTGGTGATGCTTGCCACAACGTCATCGGGGCTCAGTCCTCTTTCTTCTGCCCTCTTGATAAACTCGAATGCAAGAGTGTCTCGAAAGACTTCACGGCCTGTAGTTTTTGGAGGTTCCAATTTGAAGTATTTGTGTGCCAAGAAGCCATCGACAAGCTCCTGATCAACACGACCTCTCTTGCCCATAGCCCCGTCTTTGTCATACTCTTGCTCCCCATTTGTGTAGTGACGAACAACAGCGTCGATAAAAACATTACCGGGCCCAGTATCGAAATCGAAGCATTCGTCAACACCACCCTCGCTATCCGGCGGTATGAAGCAGACATTTGCAATACCGCCAATGTTTTGGCAAGCACGCAATTTTGTGGGATGATGGAGAACGAGAGCATCGAAGAAGGCTATGAGAGGAGCACCTTGACGACCAGCTGCTTGATCTGATATCCGGAAATCCGTAACAGAGGTGATGCCAGTCCGTGCAGCGAGTATTGAACCTTCTGCCATGGTCAGGGCAGATTTCACTTGACCTTCTTCGGGCATGGAAAGGAGCCAAATTGTTTGCCCGTGAGATCCCAATGCGTCAATGTCGGTTAACTGAACACCGTTCTCTTCCGCGAACTGCTTGACAGCAGATGCAAAAGTCTCCCCCAGCAAAACGTTCACTTCGCTTAGCTCTTCAGGCGTAGTCGTGTTGTGGAGGATCATTTTCATGACTCGCCTTTTGATCGTTTGTTCCAGAGGAATCTCGCCATACTTGAGAAGCTCGAAATGCATGGGCGAGGTTGGTGTTTCCTGTCGAAATCTGCAAAGAGCACAATCGATACCATCCTGATAATGTTAAATGTCGCTCAATTTGTGGATATAGAGCATAATTACCATGGAGGTACCACTGTTCAGCCCAAGCACTGTCAAGTCAAGTCCCTGTGATAATGTTGGAATGCTGCCATTCGTATCACCATTGCTGTCGACGTATGTAGCTGAAGGCATGGTTGATCTGGAAAAATAGCAAGTTTTCGGCGGAGAACTGTCGACATGTACAACGAACAACTGCGAAATGAAGGGAATTTAAAATATTTCCTCGTGGCGAGCATGAGTTCAGTCTATAGAAACTCGCTTAGGGCCAATACTTGAGCCGGTCGTCTACCAGGACTCGGGAGGCTTCCCGAGGAGACACGGACAGAGCTCGGGTTTTGGATACTGGAAATAACAGCGAAAATGAAATAATGAGCCATGTGCAAGTCGGTAGCGAAGCTTTAATGCCGTTTAAGCTGCGGGGCGCCTTTTCGGAGAAGTTGGCCAGTGGCGATGCTCTCCTGCGCTTAAACGCTTAAACGGTTAAAAGTCTAAACGTTGGTGCAGACGTTGAGCCGTTTAAGAGGTCAGGCGTTCTGACAACTTGGCGTGCTCATTGCCCGCCCTATTCCCGGATTTCAGTGTGGAGAAAACCTCAAATCCGGAGAACATGGTTAGGAACGCCTTCAATTCTCGGGGTTCTGGCCTTTTGGGGGCTTTTGTGGGAGGGAATCCTGCAATACTTTAAGACTATATCTTCCCCTCAACTCTCTCAGCAAACAAGTATCTGCGCCCCACAAATCAAAAGCTGTCAATACCCTGTCTTTCCACTTACTGTCATCAATACTCACCATGGCTTTGGGCACCTTCTGGAAGAAGTTGTGCGTATCTTTGTTAATCAACAAATGAACGAGGTCACGCTAACTTGAAGCTTTGCAGGTCGAAGACACAACTCTCTGTCTTCATACAAACCTTCAGTCTGATTGCCATATTCTTTGAGGGATATGACCAGGGAGTTATGGGAGGCGTATGTTTTACATCCTTTACTTTGATACATACAAATCACTAACCTGGGCTTTCGTAGGTCAATGCCAGCCCCAATTATGTTGTGGAGGTTGGCATTGGTCTCCCAGATGGAACAGTCACAAATACTACCCATCAAGGGGGTATCGTCTCCATTTACTATCTCGGCGCAATCGTGGGCGCCTTCGTTGGTGGCTGGATTGCAGACAGAATTGGCCGTATCAATGGTGTCTTCCTAGCGGCAATATTCGCTCTTGCCGGTGGTGCTCTGCAGGCGGCTACTCAATCCTCTGACTTCATCTTGGTTGCTCGAGTGGTCACTGGACTTGGTACCGGCGCACTCACTGCGATCGTCCCGGTGTACATTGCAGAAGTCTCCTCAGCAGGTCATCGTGGAGGCTTCCTTGGATACGTGTTCATTGCGAACTACCTAGGAATTAGTGTTGCATACTGGCTTGGTAAATTCTCCCCTGGGCAGTGACCGTGGAGGTGTGTCAAGGCTGACTCGTGAAGACTTTGGACTTTCCTTCGTCGATAATGGAACGTCGGTAGTCAGATGGCGCTTCCTTCTGGCATTTCAATGCTTTCCAGCACTTCTGTTGTTGGCAGGTATTAAATTCCTGCCGGATTCTCCCCGATACCTGGCTTCTGTCGGGCGATTCGAAGATGCTAAAGAGGTATGCGAGATCTGTTTTGTCTCGAAGATAATGCTGACTGTCTTGCAGGTCCTCGAGCACATTCGAGGTAGCACCGGGCCCGAAGTCGAGAAGGAGTTCCTTGAGGTAATTATCTATCATCATTCATTTTGCTTTGGAAGATATACTGATCTCGACAACCTAGATCTGTGCCGTTGCTGAAGGTACCCAGCCAAGCTCACCCGTACAATTCGTCAAAGTTCTCCTTGGACGTGCGACCAATGGAGCCCATCTTGGGAGGCGAGCGTGGCTTTGCCTTTGGCTCCAAATTATGGCATCCTGGACGGGTATCACTGCCGTCACGGCATATTCTCCAGTCCTATTGAAACAAGCAGGCTACAGCTCTATTAAGCAAGCTGGTCTTGCTGGAGGCCTTAACACTATCGGGATAAGTAAGCCGTCTTGGACTTCTGCTGCACCCGAGCTAATAAATTGCAGTCGGTACCATCATCAGTGCTCAAATTGTTGACAGAATTGGGCGTAGACGCTGTCTGCTTGGAGGCGCATTTGGTCTCTTCCTCGTCAATCTCATCGCAGCTTCGCTCTATGAGGGGTCCGTCCACAACCCTTCAAAGGCATCGTCCTTTGCTCCTGCGGCCGTCACCATGTTGTTCCTTTTCAACCTCATCTACGCCGCTACCTGGGGCACCGTCGCGTTTCTGATCCCCACGGAAATATTCCCATCGGAAATGAGAGCACAAGGAAACGGGTTCGGCATAACAGGATGGGCCATTGGCGTCGGCTGGACAGTCCTAGTCAACCCTATCATGTTCGCTCATCTCAAATCCCGAACGTACTTTCTCTTCGCAGGCCTGAACCTCCTCTGGATTCCGATTGTTTATTTCTTCTACCCTGAGACGGCTGATCGATCATTGGAGTCGATTGAGGCAATGTTCTCGTCGAAGAGCCCATTTTATTCCAAGATGGAGCAGGCATACAAAGCGGAGGGAGATGTATTGGCTGTGCGCCACTTGTCTTTCTCAAATCCACCCCAGGCGGCCAGAAATCTCGGTCATGAGCATAATGATGACTCCTTCGAACACTCTGAGAAAGCTTCCGACAATGCTTAGACATCACAAGGTGCAGTAAGAATGTAGGAGAAAGACAGAGGAGCAGTCGTAATGACGAGAAGGAAAGCTGTATCTATCCCAATAATTACCCACATCGCTTCCACCAAAAATCTGTGGCCTCTCGCAAACAGACCGCTCAGGCACTCTCCTGAACCACCTCTTTGCCACCTTTGCTCCAAAACAGACTCCCAATATAACTCCCCTTCCCTGTAATTCGATCACCTTCCTCTCCTTTCCCGATCCTCACTTTGCTGAGCACCATACTGACCAGAATACCCAACCACATAAATGCTGTGATCGCCCAAAACGCTAATACGGTGCCCCACTATGCTTTCTCTTGAAGAAACCAGTTCCTTAGCCGGCAGGCTGGAAATCTCGCTAAACGAAGAGGACATAGTAGAGTTAAAAGATATTTCAGCCGTGGAGAGCACATTATTAAAGATATTTAGCATGATTATTATTGCGAGTATGCCACTAAGCGTTATAGCAAGAGATATAAATAAGACAATAAACGCGATTATATCGGGCTAATATACTATTTCATGCAGGGTTCTAGGTATTATATATAGGCTAGTACTATTGCCGGTTAAGACTAGAATGCTATAGATAGAATAAAGTAAGTCTTAGTTAATAGTAATAGCAAAAATAGTTATTTTAATAGTTTTAATAATAAAATTACTAAAGAGGGAAAAGAGGAAGGTTTAAAGGAGCCAGATATTACAAGCAAGTATTATAAGATAAGTACTAGCTTTTAAAATATTAAATATTATAAAGAAGAAAAAACAAAAAACAAAACTTATTTCTTAGCCTAAATATATAATAAGCCAAATTAATACTTACCTTATTTATAAAATAGTCTTTAATAAAAGTAAAATATAAATTTATAAAATAATATAAGATTATAACTATTTTATTATAATTAAAAGCTAGTAGCCTTATATAAGTTTTAGGGCTAGCTTTTAATTTTATCTTAATTTTAATTCAAGATTATTTAAATGCCTTAAGTACTAATTTAAAGAATATTACCTTTAACTTTGAATTTATTTCTAAAAAGCTAGTATTTTCTTTAAGTAAACTAAATAAAGTAAGTTTAATTTCAAATTTTAAATCTTTTTTTCTTTTATAAATATAATTTAGCTAAAAATAAATTCTTTAATTTATTATTCTTTTTCTTTATTAATTACTGTCTGAACAGCTGCACTGTAAACTTCTGGTCATGTGACTAGTCATGTGATCTCGCGTCGCAGGCGTGACTCGACCGGTAGACTAGTCCCCATTAGGCTTAGCAGATTTAGGGGTCGCATATTAATACCACGATACTATAATCCTTACTTCTAAATAATAATAACTTTACTAATTTAATATAACTAGTATTTCATATATATTATATAATAATATTATATATTACTAGTAAACTAATACTAATTTATTTTATTATTAATTTCTAGCTTTATATATAAAAGTTTCTCGAGCTAGAAATATAAAAACTAAATTATTTTTATTAAATTTAATAAAGTTCGAGAAATAGACTTTTATTTATTTTATAATAAAATATTAAAATAATATATAAAATCAAAAAATATTTATATATCTAAGAATTTTAAGATTATTATATAATTAGCTCTAATAATTATTAAAACTATATTATAAAAGCTTTTTATAGCTATTAAAGGGATTTATTTACTATTTTAGCTTTATATATTTATTTAATTATTAGAAGTTTTACTTTTATATTTTTATATAATAAAAAAAAATATATATTTCCTTTTTTAAGCTAAGTTTAGAAATATTCAAATAATTTCTAGTATTAATTAGCTATATTAATACTCTAATTTCTATATATAATTTTAAATATTTCTTATTATTAGCTTTTATATACTTTAAAGTCTTATTAAGATATTAGCTTTATAAATAATTTCAAATGAATTTACTTCTAGTTTTATTTATTTTAAACTTTATTTTTTATATATAATTTTAAATACTTCTTATTTCTAGCTTAATATATATAATATCTCTAATTAGTAAAAAAAAAGAAATCTAATATTATAAGCTAGGCCTTTATATAAAGAAAACTAGTAATTTAATTAATTAAATAGAATTATTTTAAATAAAACTATATTTCTTAAAATATTCGAGCTTTTTAAATAATATATAATTACTTTATTAATTAAAAGAAACGTATTATATAATCTAATAAAGGTTTCGAATTAAATATATAAATCGGGGTTTAATTTATTATAATAATAATAATAAAGTACTTTATATAAGATTTTTTTAAAAAAAAGACTTTTCTGCGCCTTATTAAAAAAAATAAAGATTAGTTTTATACTAAATATAATATTATAATTTTATAACTTACTAAGTTATTTTGTTATTTTATTATTTATTAATAAATATCTTATATAAAAATAAGAAAAATAATTTAATAAAATCTTAAATCCCGGAAAAGCCAAAGTAATTACTCCTCTAATATTACTAATTAGCCTTTGAATAAAGGATCATTTAGGAATTAATATGCTTTTAAAAAAGATTTTAATAACTAATAAAAATCAGAAAATCACTTTTCGCTTGCGCGTTTTGTCGACTAGCTCGTTAATGGCCTCAGTAGAACTAGAGCAATCGTTGGCTTATCCACATCCAACCTGCACAAAGCAAGTGATCACTGCCCCTCCAGGCACCACCGAAGCACATCTACCAACCACCGCTCTACTTCCTCATCCCCACAGCCGACACTATAAATGGTACTCATATGATTATGTTCCTTTCCCACAACTTCTTTCATCTCCCCTCTACCTCCCTTCTCAACCCAAGCATCCCAAAACCTTTTTTGGGGATCAACTGCTCCAAAATGATCCCTCCTAGCATGCAAACACAACAACTCGGGTAATTCTCTCGCCTGCCCCACCTCTTCTTTCGACCTTCCCCTATACTTATCCTCCAGCGCCCTGACCAGCGCCGTCGGACACCGCTCCCCAATCTTCTCAAAGTCACCAAAATATCTCGACCAAGCAATCTTCCTCTGCTCTCTCGAATGGATATAATCAAACGTCGCACTCAAACTTGCCCATTTCTTCAAGCTTCTCCTCAGTTCAGTATCTGACTGGATGAATTCCTGCAGCAAGAGAGCAGTTGCGAGATGATTCGCGCCGGCACTGTGTCCCATCGCGAAGACGGTCTTGGTATCAGCGATATTAGACAAGTTATGCACTGCCCATTTCATAGACAGCGTGACATCCTCACCGCCCGAGGGGAAGCGTGCATCTGTCTCGGGGTTGAAAGTGTAGTCTGTTTTCATGTTGACAAGTCTATAATCGGGAATCACGACCACGAAACCGTGGCTCGCGATGAAGGTTCCTATATTCTGATGATAAAGCTTATCAATTGCTTTCGGATCTTTTTTCAACTCCGGTGTTTCTTTGGAGGGGAGGAAGGAGGCGAGACCAGGGAGGTACACGTTCCCTGCTTCTGGGCTGAGAAGCAACATTTGTTTCCGGCCGGACATGTAGCCTCCGCCGTAGTAGAAGATGAAGAGCGGCGGTTTAGCGTGCTCGCCGGCGGGTGGTGTACCTGGTGGTGGGGTGTAGATGTCGAGTTGTTGGGAAGACAAGGGGCCGTATTGGTGTGTTTGAGGTGTTGCAGCTTTTATGGATGGGTTATAGAGCAGGAGAGGGATGAAGTGGGCGAAGGTTGGGGCGCTGATTTCTGGTAGCTCAGTACCCGGGATTGTTGAGAGGAAGTCCATTGCTTTGGATGCTCACAAAAGCCGTATGTTCTTTTGATGACAAGTGTTGTCTGTGGTGCTGGAGCGGTCTTGTCTGACTTGGTCGTCATCTGTCATACCCCGCGGCGGCCGCCAGACCCACTTCAGGGGTGATTCACGTGACCCCGTGGTGTTCATTGCTTGAAGCATTCTATCAAAATTAGATGTTTAGTGATCAGCACACACTGACTCGTAATCGTATGTCAACTGTCAGAGTATTTGAGCAACTAAGCATGTCTAATATCTTAATATAAGTCTCACGAACTTGACATCGGAAGGAATTAATCAATCGGAGGGATGTTTTGCCATCGTAAGTTGTTGAAAGCAATGTTTCTGGGTAGTCCAGGATTTCCCCTTCGATTTCTCTTATGATTCCTGATAATATTTTGAGTTGAGGTTTGTTCTTTAAATGTTTAGCACTCTTTTTGTTAGGCAAGCCTTTTGACTCGCTTAGCGAAGCGAGTTGAAGAAAGGGGTAAATATAAGTGTCCATTTCTCGACCCACTCCCGATCTATTGCTTCACGTACTATATTATAGTTCCAAATTGAATCTACGAATACAAAATATTACCCACGCAGCTTTTCACCACAGCTTTTCCTTCTTTAACTTAGCGCAGATTGTCTCCCGGGTACAAAACGTGACACTATGTGGGTGCTGCAGAAAGCTCTCCCGCTAATCGCAGTCAACACTCGCCGGGGACGTGACACTGAATTTGACGTAGATTTATTTAGGCGATGATTGTAAAGGAGGGGTCATATCAGTGCTTGTAACTGGCTCCGAAGGTATCAAGTAAATCCGCTACTCAGCTCATTTCTCAGCTAGATCTTTCATGGTCATGTGTTACGGCCCTGGGTTCCCCCGGACAATTGCCTCACTCTTGGGAGTTTCCCCTCAGCTTCTTGGGAGTGAACGTAATCTTCTCTTTAGTCAGTTCTATGAGCTTTTTAGCCAGGATTTTGATATATTAGTCTGACCAGGTTGGACAGATTTAATTTTACTATGTCTTGACAAAGTAAAATTGTGGAAACCCAAGTCTCCAGGTCTTGTTGTTGTCATTCTAGATGTATTACGTGGTTCTGTTTTTCCCTTGTCCTTGTTCACGTCAAGTTTATATTTTCTTTTGGGTTTTGGTAGGCGTGGGGCTAATTGACTCTCTTCTACGAAGCGAATTGGGGAGAGAGACGTAGTGTAAATAGGCACTCAGCCGGGGTTTCATCTTAGCCTCGGTCGTACTGCTATTTTTGTGACTTTACGCTGCTTGTAAATTCAGAATGTTGGAAATGAAGTTATCAAAGTTCAGGCACACTCATACTTCACTCAACTTTTTAGTTGTGCTAGCAAAGTCCTAAGCCATCAGACGATCTCAGTAGGGGAGGACACGAGGAAAGCCGAGAAGGAAGTACAACGCCTGACTGTAGGCAGCGGCAGCGGCACCAATTTCAACGTCCTCTGTCAAGTTGGACTTTCGAAGGAGGCGATTTTTGAATATTCTAGGGCCCGTACACAGCAGTAAGAAGTAGATCAAAAGGGGGAACTGTCGGAGGAGAAGTATCCACAATAGCCTAGAATGAGAGGATTGCCGAAACGAGAACGCAACATAGCGACGATGGCATGATGGGCATCTTAGTTACTGTCGATGGAGCTATGTGAGGAATCCCTCAGCAATTTTGACATTACTCCTCAGACTTACGCTCTCCGAGGGCAGATCTTCACTATATTTATCACTTAATGAAAGTTCCAATCATATTTTCAACACTTCACGAATGAAGTAGCTAATGCTATCCAGAATCAGATAATAGTGGCTGCTTGCACTATCTCTACCGACAAGCAATGTGTGACGACTGTTAACCAACACCTACAAACCAAACAGTCTTGGTCATCAATATATAAATACTCCATCTTCACCCAACTTCCCGCCTTCAGTGAGCTCTTTTATCCCCTTCTTCACTCTCTCTACCATGATTGCGCCATACTGAGTCCCAGTGGTGGCATTGATTATCCCAGATCAGGCGTCGTTCATCAGCTTGAATCTCGCATCGTCGTACCCTCCTCCGGTGACAATAACAACTGGCTTTTTGGAGTAATTCTGGGAGCCCACATTGTCGCTTGATGGGGGGGATTTTCCTTCGAGAAGTAGCGGGATTTCAACGGCTCCTGCTTCAGCAGAGAGAATTACGTGGATGGTTAGAGAGAGTTAGTGCTAATGAATGAAGAGATGCACGGAGAAGGAAAGAAAAACCTTCGATTTCCGGTAGTAGGCCATTCTTGACGCCGGTTGCGATCTGGGACGGAGCACCGCAAAGAACTACGGAATTGGACCAGGCATTGTGTTGGTCGATATGTAGGTCGGCAAATCAAGAGAGTCGAAAGATTGGTCTGGAATTTTAGCCGACTTTGGATTTGGATAGAAGGAACGGAAGTTAGTGATTGAAAGTAAGAGGGGTGTTGGGCCTTAAAAAGCTTGGCGAGCTTCTTGCCACTGCATATAAGCACACTGGAGGCGTAGCCAATCACTAGTTCCATCATCGCCTTTCCAAGTCAAAGTGCTTTGCTTTTAATATTCCTAATGGAATATAATTGGTCTTCTTCATCATGGCGTCCTTGTGGTGCTGAAGAGCCGAACTGGTTGGTCCGCGTTTATTTGAGCCACTTTAATAAACTAACGTCCTAGATCAAAAGTCAAAGGCTGAGAGAATCGTCCAATGTTCATCACTGTTATTCATGATTCTAAGTTGCAGGGAATAGTTAAAGCTGCAACTTGCTAGCCTCGAGAATTTGATATTCCGATTCGCAGAATTACCCCCGCGATTACCCACCCCACTTGCCTATTTGGGACAAGAAGCAGGTGAAAAGCTCGGCACGCGGATTGCAGGTACGTCCCAAACTTCAAGCAACATAATAACCACTGAATTATGGATCACGTATTGTGTTACCGGTATCTAACCCGAGAGCAAGCTCTGCCCCAAATCGCGAGAAGAAGAGGACGAAACCACGCATAGCAGTACTGTACACCAAATCAGGATCTCAAGCCCACAAGCTCCTTCCAATTCCACAGCCAATAGTTGCCACCATGCACCACCGTTTGAGGCCGATAAAGCATAAGCGCTATATATTACAATAATATGTACAATCATTCTCTTCCGAGAGGATTCTAGACTTATTACTTAAAATCTAGGTAATTGCAGAGTCATGTGAAAATAATGTGCGCTAGACGATTTTCGGTTCACCGTCGCCTAACTTCGCCATATACCCCTGGACTTTCTCGGATTCAAAATGCTCCTGCTCATTCTCATAAAGTCCAGAAATTTTCATCTCGAATCTCCAGCTCAGTACCATGTCTTATACAGACCACACTGATCCTGTTTCATTCGATGATACTGCTTTCCCTTTTATCGACGACTTTGATTGGGACGCATTCTTTAACTTTGATCCTGAACCTCTTAACCCTTCACTTTCTCTTGAGGACGTCTCTTCAACGCAATGGAAACATCTTGATTCTGCCCATCAAGACCAGCCGCCTTTGGTTGCTCCTATTGCTGGTCTTGGTATTCCAAGGGATTTGGCTACCGAAGACAGTTCGCCGGCCATGGGAAATGCTTCCGTCTCCAGCCAACCGACAACAACAAGCAATTTCATTGAGCAAAGCCAAACCAAGAGGGGGATTCAAGATTTCCTTTCGTCATTCTCTGTCAATGAAACTTCGGAATCGCCACCGCGTAAAAGGCAGGCATTCCCCCCCAGCCGACGAACTGAAGTTGCCAAAGTTCGGAAAATCGGAGCATGTCAACGATGTAAGATGAGAAAATTAACTGTAAGTCGATACTTCAACTTGCCCTTACGTCCAAGGGTCACTTGTTAACCATTCGTTAGTGTCAAGCAAACGGGGCTTGTAGGAATTGCATCCTCTCAGTTTCTGAAAATGTAGCTCTTGGAGAACAAATTTGCTTTCGCTATACTCTGGTGGATCTGAGATTTGGCTCAGGAGGTGTGTATTCGCATTCAACTAGCACTTCAGCCTTTAACACTGACTAGATTTATTGCGCCAATCCTGGGACAAAGACATCATCGACAAGCTTCCTCACAAGGCACATGCAACCACTCACACTATTTTAGTCTGGTTTCGTTCTGAATTCATCCACAAGGCACTGCGACTTGAAGCCGAAGACTACTCGGAGAGTCCAGACGATAACGATCAATTGCTGATGTTTTCTGTTTCTGAGAACGATCCAAGTCAACCGCAATTCCTTAGCCTTCCCACCCCCAAATACGTGATCATCAATGACTCGTTGCCCTCAGTGACACAACTGAATGAATGGATCAAGGAGCAAATCGATCGCAGGAAGCCTGGATGGAGTCCAGCTGCAAGACTCTTCAACACGTTCCACACGTTACTGGATATTTATTCGAACACTGCATCCGATCCACCTTCTGTAAGTGTGTCTTGTGCTGTCGAACTTCCCCACCACAAACTGTGTCACTGATTTCGTGCTAGAAAGAATTCTCGAAAGCCGCCCTGCAGATTACGAATCTCTATGAATGTTGGCGTAACGTTCTCTCCGGCAATAGATCACAACCTCAAACACCAACATCACATATCTCTAGAGTCGCCGGAATTCAGTTTGCAATGATCGCTAAGCAAGGGATTGCAGACTGTGAGATTCAGATGCTCTCAAAGCTTGATGATCTTGTTCAAAAGTCCAAGAGACCTTCTAAAGAGAGAGAATTGTGTATCTGGGCTGGGGTCTGGACATTGGCCCTACTATATCGGGATATCTTGTGGCGTTACCTGCAAATGTCTCGGCGGAAAGGCAGTTCGATCTTTAGTGAGTATGATTTCGTAGGCAGGGAATTTTGGCTGAGTCGAGAATAGACTACGAGACCTCGATATTCCTGGCGAGGCAGATGTACAACGCTCTCACCTCGACCTACAATCTTTTATTCCGTAACAGATCCCCACTGGACCTTGATTGGAATAATGATGAGAATTACGCCCGAATTGCACGGAACACGGAAATTCGAGATCTCCTGAATCTGATCAAAGAACAGACACAAACCTTGTGTAAGATCTCCTATTCACTATCAAGACCCTCGCTGATTGTTCTCTGTCTGTATCAGATGATCGATCTTTCGACCTTGGCGAAGATGACCACATCCTCCAATGTTTGATTGCTAAGCAGACACACACGGTATCATCTCCAATATCTCAATCTCTGACACATAGTGCTGCTAGGGCAACCTCGGTTTCGGGCGTCGGAGGATCTTTGTCTCGTAGTGGTGATGGTGGTGGCGGCGGCGGCGGAGGAGGAACAGGAGGGGGTGGTCTGAATAGGGGTGGGCATCCGGGTGCGAGCTCTTCTTGGGATCCAACTTGGGGGCATTAGGTAGCCATAATGGTGCTGAGAGACCGGGAATAACTCCATTGAGAAGCACCCCAACACTGAAACCCCACATATCTATTGATTGTGGCCACGCGTCCAAAAGTCTGAATAAGACAATAGAAAAGTTGGGATACCGGGAGCTTCTGAAGACAGGGGATCTCCTTTAATTACTAGCGACTCGATCAAGTTCCGCCTGATCTGGTAGCCAAGAGTCCAAAGTCTTAACCGCAACAGTACTGTATAATGCATCCCGTAGCCTACAGGCACACATAGGGTGACTGACTGAGGGCTTCGAGCTGTCGGCGGGGAGTGAGCAGAGGCTGAGTTGCATGCTGTGATGTAAAGGGGGTGCGTCTTGAAATTGCGTGCACGCGGAGCAAGGTAAGGATTCTGGTACAAACTCGATTGCAGTTCATGAATTAGGCCAAAGCCTTCGGTACAAAGGTGGAAAGCGCCGGGCTTGTGCTCTGAAACGGCAGCGCTTTCGGTATATACCATATCACAGCGATGAAGGTGACCGGCTCTGTTTTGCCAATTGCAACTACGGTTTCAATTGTTCAGGCGCCTTGTCATCGCCCCCTTCACGACCTTATCGTCGATACCATCGTTAAAGCTACTCAACCTCGGTTATTGTGGCTGAAGGGATTCGTGTGCGTCTATGTTTTAGGTAAATCACGCGAAAGATACCATCCATGCAAAAAGCAGCAAGATCATATGGCAACAAGACCCGGCAACAATAAATACAAGAAACCGCAGTCCGCGATACGAACGTTAAGGGGGGAAAAGCAATCTGATCATCTCAATGCTATTGAGCTTGACAGCATGCCCACTCAGGCCGGGTTCATCAGAGCCACTCAGCCAACAACTGCGCCGTTTCAGCCCAGGAAAGTCTCCGCGACGGCTCGGAGCAAGAAGCTCCAAAACGGCCAACTGCCTGTCCGCAATCTCATCACATCTCTCAAGACTCAAGGATCTGCCCACATGGCATTCCCACGTGGGAATATTGACGTGCATACACCCATCCCCCGCCCGGCCAGCACGCCTCGTCGAGGCCCCCTGCCCCGGTCTCGAATCCTGGTATCCCACTTTAATTTCCCGGGTCAAAAGGATCAAACGAGCTGAACCTGCACCGGTGACTGGATACCGGATCGCGGGAGACTTCCCCTTGAGACAGGGCCGCCGTTGTCTTTGCTTCTTTGTAAGTTTCTCTGCACGAAATACCAAGTCCGTCTTTGATTCGGGCCACCGGTGAGGAGAAAACTGCCTTGGAGCCTGGAAAGGGCGGAGGTGTGGCGTTTGTGGGAGATGATCGGCCGGTGTGGGATAACCCCCACGGGAAATGTGTCGAGGCGTGGAGCAATTGCACTTTGTCAGGAGTAAGCCAGGGCGCCAGGGTGGTGGATGGGGGAGGAGCAGGACTCGTTCGCGAGGATGCGGGCGTGAGGGGAAGATCATAAAATTTACTGTATCGGGAAAAGAGGGGTGCATTGGGTGTCTTGGGTGTTATTGGGCTGCTACTTATGTTGTACCTGAGCTGAAGAGGTGGCGCATTTCCGTGGGGTGGGGGTGGTGGCGAATATCTTGGATCGGTGTGGGAGCGAACATGGGACTCGTAAGGCTGACTGGCTTTTTCTCGACTCCTGTCGAAATTCAGGGTTTCAAGGGAATTTCGGACGAGTTTCCGGATTCAATTGTCACGGCCAAGGCTAAGTGTCACGGCCGCGTGGTTGGCTTTTCTGGGGCCTCCAATGCGGCCTTTGTCCCAGATCCGACTCAGATCCTCCCCAATGCAGCCGCGTGCATCGAACCCACGTCAAGATGCGATTTGCTGAATAGGTGAGGGATTTTCTTTTCTCCTTGTCCGCCACTTGAGCCTCAGAAATGCTGGCACGCCGATCACTTGAGTAATCAGGAGCCTTGTTGGTTTGATAGGAACAGGAAAGGGGTGTATTGTGCAGGCATATTGTTGGATATGTTTAACTCATCCTCAATTGAACACGCTAGCGCTTATTCATGAGTGCCATTACCAGTACGGTGTAAGGATGAATGATGTGTTCCTGCCGCCAAGGTTCCTTGAATTCGAACGTTTCGAGCTGGCCGCATAGTTCGCAGAAGAATTTTTCGCCACACAGCTGCACTGCAATGAAGGAAGAGTATGATTCAGGGCCCGCATCCAGCAATTCGCTTGGTCACGCTTTTGTGGCGCTGAATGAATTACGTTTTTGAGCCCGATGGCTGATCCAAATGCCCAACTTGCATGTGCATTGCAGCACTAAGATGTTGTATGGTCAGCAACCAAGGTACCTGCATTCCACAGATTCCAAGATGACAATGGAAGCAAGGTGTCTGATAACACGACAAGAAGTGAGGCCTACGATCGAGGTAGGTTGGAAAATTCTTCCTTGCTAGCTCGTTCGCTTGAGTTTGTACAACCAAAGTGCTAGGAGTTCGCGGAGCATCGTGAAGTGCTTTATATATCAGGGGGGAACTTTCCTGGATTTCAGTTTGCTAGTCGTGAACAACTATCGTTGCCGGAGAATTCAGGTTACCTTGCTTTGCTGCCTCTCCGGTCCCCTCAAGAATGGTAAAACGGACTCGATCACCCTACCACTACAGCTGGTTGCTGCCACCCAAGTGATCGATACGCAACGATATAACCACACACATCGAAACCAGAAATCTTTTGAAGGAAAAGACATTTCCCGGGTCAATCTGAACGCTTGATTCAAAATGAGTTCAGTAGCTTCTCTCAGAACGTTAGCCGGATCCATTGATGGGTAATTTTCCTCTGACTTGCACATCGTTTGCACTTGCTGACGATTTCTTAGATCTCTCGGTAGAAGAGTGCGTGCCACCAACAGCACCATGCTCAGCCGGTATCTCTCCGATCCCCAGCGCCACGAGAAAGTAGCGTGTGGCATTCCCACCGTAAACGCCAAGACCTCCCCAGCGGAGGACATCGCGGCAATGAAAGTGAAGATCAGGACGGTCATTCCGAAGGCAACCGGGGGCGGAGCAGGTCCGGGCCAAGTCCACTGAGTGAACTTTGCTAGCGAGAAATCGGCAGCCTCAAGTTTCTTGTAATGTCAATGTTACGTTAGAAAAAAGAAAGTTGGGGCGCAGGGAACCCAACGACACTTCGTCCGCCTCGTTTGGCCGGGGTGTGCCCGGGTGTGACTTTGGTCACAAAACCGTTAGACAAAAGAAAAAAATTGATTATTCGGCATGTCAAAATTACCCTTTCGCTCCTTAAATGCAACCTCAGCTCTCATTTGAAGAATATTTCAGCAGCGTGACTGTGTTCATCACTTTTGAGACCAGAGGTGATCCTCTTGTACAGAGCAGCTGAGTTGACCTGAAATCCCAGTTACTGATGCTGTGGATTCAACCCGCCACCGCTGGAGCAATGAGACAGGCGCCTAGCGGCCCAAGGCTGCCAAAGGAAGCCCTGTCGGAAGCGGTTGTCTCGGGACGATCTGAAGGAATTTTGTGGAGGTCTACGAACCTGGTCTAGCCTCTTCTCCCCAGGTCTCCTCCGCCTTGTTGGGTGAAAAGCAATTATGAAACATGCATTTAGAACATCGGAGGTGACTGCCTCAACAATGATATGCCCGCTTCTGCCAGCATTCTCAGGTCACGAGAGCATTTGGTCGTGGAAATTAGGCTGCGAGAGGTCGCTTGAAAATCGCTCATATTTTGTACGTTGTGTGGGAACACGACGTTTGTGGCCTGAAACGCCAGGTTTGACAAAAAGATCTCCAGCGCAGGATGCTCCTGAATCTTGTACGACTAAGTTTTCTTCTAGAACAAGCTGGAAGCGGAAAGGGTCACACAGCATGCTGCTGCGCCGTGTGGTGTGACTTGGGTCGACGTTTCGATGAACAAACCGGAGGGAAACCATCAATGGCAAGGACAAAACATTCGCTTGAAGCTGCATGCATTGCTTCGGGTCACCAGGTCGGCGGAATCAAAACATTATGAGTTGATCCACCAATTTCGAGGAGCAAAGAAAGGGGAGTGACCTGACAGGCACGCAAAAACGTCCCAACAAGGGATGATCCATGGCAAAGTGTGTCTTGATCGCTGCAGCTGCAATGGCTTTCCATGCAGCAATCGTTCGATCAAGCCCAGAAACGCTTCAAAAGCAGGTTTAGGGCTTGCTAGTCCCTTTTCGGATAGTTTCAGCTGCCTCGAGCACGAGGCTGGGAGATGATATCTAGATTAGCGTCACAGCCTGGGTTGTCGACAGGCTGCAGCACGGCTAGGCTGGCACGCTTTGCAAACGCCTTCCACGCGAGGCTCTGGAGTGCAGAACGTGGTTGACAAGCCAATTCGCCCAGTGCTTGGGGGCGGCGTGTCGGAGGTCGAATCTCTGCTACACTCGCCAACGGGGGAGAGGTCGGAGGAGCATCCGCATGCAGCAAAAGAGGCCACAGTGCAACGGCTGCTGTGCTCGGAGTCGATCCCAGGTACAGGCGACAGACAACCTGCAGAGATAAGGAACTCCAATAGGCCATTGGACAACCCGATTTCAGGGGAAATTGTACCTGCTGCAGTTGAAACCTCGGAACGAGCTTCTAATTTATGAAATGGGTGCCACTTGGCAGTTGCAAGTTCAACGGCGAAGATCCAAGGCAAAAGAAAAGGGAGTTTTGGGTACTATGAGGTCAATGGCGGCTGGCAACGCAACGTGGTGTGATTTCTGGAGAGTCCCGAGGGCGGCTGTTATTGGAAGTGTGCTCGGCATGGCTGAGCGAGGCTGAAACTGGATGAGGCCTTCCTGGGCCGAGTTTATGTGACACTCTCTAAAATAGGACGTAATCCGGGTTGCATCCGGACTCCGATAGTGTGGTGGCATTGGGACTCGTCACATTTGGAACTGTGGAAATCGACGCCACTAAAGAAGGCATTGCGTGCAGCTTCCATCCCATTGCGTATCGTGGGTAATGAGAGGGCTGGCAATGTCGATTGACAGGAGTTGGCAAGTGGACCGAGACATTCGCTGCAAGGCGATTATGACATTTCTGCAGGTGATCTCCGCCCATGGCCGCCAGGTGACTCGCAGTCGCTTGCCATTTTCAGGGGGAAATGAGCTGCAGTTCTGAAGCTGTCAGAGCTGATGCAGGCATTCAGACCACGAATCTCGTTGCAGCAAATTTCTGTTGGGAACCTCTCTCAGCAAATGTCCTTCGGATTTTGAATGAGGGACTGGCATTCAAGAGCGTCCCAGGTACGCAGCTGGGCCAGCTGGAGACGCACATCATGTTGTGTGACCGCGCACCGTGCATGGAGCTGGCACGAGGGCAGTAGCCGAACTATCCGAGGACACTAGCCTCGGCGCCTGGGCTTCCACTTTGTTGATTTACACAGTCTTCGTGGACCACGTCCGATCTGTGGAAAGACGCAATGCACCAAGATACAGCTTTGTGTTGTTGATGTATGAGTCGCGAGTCGCGAGTCGCACCCACCTTTGTGATGAAAATAAAGAAGGAATCTTACGCGCTTCAACGCGCAACGTGATTAGAGGCGGCCGTGCCTCCGCCACTCAAGCGCCATTCGCTCGCAGTCCATCTTAGCCGACCTAATCTTAGACGTCCCCTACTAATTTGAGAATAGGGGGAGACAATGTTTTGTGAGTTGTTCAACCTCACCGTTTCACACTTCAGCCCACCTCAAGCTGCCCTGCGGTCCCATCTGCAAGGGACCACGCTGATGGAAACGGATCCTTAACGCGAGGAATGTTCGATGGGCGCTTCCATGCAGCCCATTCGTCAAGGCGCGGGAAGCACGCAGTCTGCCGTGCATCCCAGTAGAGCGGCCACAACGTCGGCGACGTTGTTCTAGAGGTTTGCGCAGGACAGAGAGTACTGACTTCTGGACCAAGCGTTCACCGTTCACCGTTTTCCGTTTCCTGTTGACTTTTTGCTTTTTTTTGCTGTTTTGTTACCGACTCGTTGCCCGGAAGCGTTCCCCGCAAGGTTGGGGAAGCAAGGCAGACAAAGCTGCAAAACGCTGCCGAGTAGGACGGCGCAGCTTGGGTCAGGGGTGTCTGCGCTGCCAAGCAGGCCATTTTACGAGCTTGTTGATTCCAGAGATCTCTGCCCAGCTTCTCTAGGGCCCCTTGTTCCCGCTTTCCTGGGCGAGCTTGTTTTGCTGGGCCGCACACAAGGGGAAGGTGACACAGATCCTCGAGAGTGCCGACGGGTGGCTTTCCACCGGCGATGCCAGCAGGGACTACTGTCCAGCCTGTCGGGAGACGTATCGTGGAGTATTGTTTTGTATGGGTGGCTTCTGGAGATGGTGTACGCGTTTCAAGCTTAATTTAGCCTGGTTGTTTTTACATGGAGGAAGAGCCCACAGACAAGCATGTTGCTAGCCTCCGAGTCGCTGACCTCGTTCGCTTTCTGATCGATTTTGACAAGTACAAGTTCAACGTCTTTGCCCCCTTTCAATGGTCGTTTGATTTCGCCCACACCTGCCAGCAGCATTCTTGAACATACTCATCCATAGAAGAAGGCTATCTCCTGACTTCCACACATTCTTTCCAAATCCTCAAACAAAAATACACTCCTTTCCTCTCTTCAGTTCCTGTCTTTATCTACGGTCCTCATGGGGCGACCATTGTTCCAAGTGAAATCTCGGTCTTCCAAGTCAAAACCAGCCTCCTCCTGTGCCTCTCTCACAATGGCCCCGGCCTCGAACTCTTCGTCGCTCGTGCCCCACAACGGCTCCGCCTCCGCACAAAGGTACCAATTTCGATCTACAATGCCAAAAGATCTCTGTACTAATAGTTCAGTAGCAATAGCGGACAGTCCCCCCGAAGGCATGGCTCTTCCCATCACCGTTCCAGACACTCTCATCGACCGCCACAAAGAAACCATCCACGCGTCACAAACAACGTGAATGGGATCCATCACTCCGAGGCTCAGGTTCATGAGCCAGCATATAATTCAGCCTACACATATAGGATGTACTCGCCAGAGCAGGCCGTCCCCGTTCCTCCTGAGACTTCCTACCACGAAGATCAATTTTTTCACTCCTCGGCACAATTCCACACCTATGGTTCTGGACCATACGACAATGAGATCAGACTCGACGGAGAGCAACCTCCTGCAGCACCCGCGCAGATCCCACAACACAACTCTTATCCAAGCGGCGTCCAGTACTTGCAGACTCCAACTGAAGGGCATTACGGGCCCCAGACTCCTGTTCCACAATACAGCACTCAACAACAACATGTCGCTACTTCACTAACCACCGTTCACTGGTCAAGGCAAGAATTGGCTGAGGAACGACTCCGACTCGGTCTCCGTCGATTTGAAACACAAGAAGAAGTCGAGGCGGCACGCCGTGCTTACGAGGAAGCCACGCAGCGAGCTCCTCAATGACGATCATCTCCGCGATTACACGACTTTACGAACTCTCTCATATGTCTTGGGCGGAAAAGTTGGCTGGATTGGTTACGTGGCCGGCGAGCCAGGGTGATGTTAATGTCTGTTTTCCTTCCGTTCTCTTTTCACTCACCGATCTGGGATCGGTAACCTGCTGGCGGCATCCTGTAATACTAGTTTCTTGATTCATCCCGCTGGCGGCTTTTCCGTGTCTTTGTAATGGGTGGACTTAACCGTGTACTACTGTATCTTGATCTCTCTTTCCTTCTCAAAAAGTGGACCGCACTACAGGACAGCACATATCGATCAGAACATAGTCTTCATGTACCCTAATCACACCACAACATCTCGTAAATTTAATCAATCAATCAATCACTCACTTCATCGCTCGGCACTCTCCTGTGACCCAAAGACTCGGCCATCCCGACAATTCCACAACTCCAAAACTCTATCCACAATCCTGGATAATTTGAAAATAAATATGTCCCCAGGGACTAATAAACTTTCGATCCGACCTCGGCACCTCCGACTGTTCCCCATACCTCGCGATGTCCGGAAATGCGCCAATCGCATCCCCTTTCCCCACACCCACAACACCTTCGCCGAGTACGATTTTCAAGCCCGGCCCCAGCTCCAAAGCGAGAAGCCACGATATACCGTGTCCTCCGATTCACGTTGGGAAACGGTTGGGGTTTGTGCATTTTGGTCGTGAAGGAGGGAAGTGCCGTCCCGTCGTTGAGGTTGGGGTTCACGGGTGGAAGGGGGAGTTCTGACAGTGCCGGGCGCCATGCTCGGCTTTCAGCAAACCACCCCACCACCTGGAACCACAAACCCAACACGACCCAGTGTCCTTCATCTCAACCTCTTCTTTACTTCATAGGTGCAAATCGATTCTGATTTACATTCACATTCTCAATTCGATTCCGCACTAAAGTCTTCAATCTCGAGCCCGTCAGGTAAAATGAGGCTGCTCACCCCGCCAATCCGCTCAGGTCCCGACGCCCAGCCCCAAAACGGCCCCGCCAAAATCCCCAGTCCCTGGAGACGAAGCCCCGGAATCCAAGCCCGAGACCCATAGTTCAAGTCCAACCAGACTTCAAGAAGCGACCAACTCTTCGTCGAAGCGAGTGGCAAGCAAGACGCGTTCATTTCAGCCTTGACCTTAGCTGGGCAATGGTCTGAGCTCGGATGAAAAGGTTATTTTGACTTCTCTCCGCAAGGGCTTATTTGTTTGAATTTATTTAGGACAGGGTACTCCCAGCGCCACAGTATATTCCCAACAGCGTGATATGATTGATTGTTCCAGCATCAAGTGGTACAGGTAGCCATGTCTGAGATACATTCCAGATCCTTTCATTGTTCTGAGTCGTGATGATGGAATGGCATTCATTTGTTGAGAAGTATGTCCAGGGGAGAGGCGCAACAAATTCAAGTGCCGACGCATGGAACCGCGTCTTCTTGACCTCGCCAGTCCAATCATCTCGAGTTGGCTTTATCAGTCAAAACTCAAATGAAGGTGTTTCCTTTCATCCGGCCCACTCGAGCCGCAGCAGGGTTCGCGTCGCCTGGAAATTTCTGCCAAGTACCTCACCGCTCTCCCCCGGCTCCCCCTATCCTCCATTCATCACCGAAGCTTCACAACATCCACTTCCAACCTTCCCAATCCATCTCTCTCCGCATTTTCGGTGAAGCCGCGGTCACCGCCAGGACCTCCGGATCCTAGTTCCGCGAGACTTGGGACGCATTGCTCAGCTCCTGCCCGATGCACAACTTTGCACACCGAATCAACCCAAAAGGCAGACCGGAGGCATGAACGACGATCCAAGCGTTTCCTATATCGATCTCTGGCCGTTCACCGCTCTGCCACGTATAGCGTATTCCCCTCTAGATCTCAGTATCTCGATTGAAAATTCAATTCCGAATCCAGCCGTGCGAGCAAAAATGCCTCACGTCCCGCTCGGAACCGCCCGACGGAAAGCGATAAAATCCAAGACAATGCGAGAAGTCGGAAGCAGGGCGCGTGGTATGGCAGCCTCGCAGAATCGAGTGGTCGAGGACCATTGGGCTGGGTCGACGGTTGGGCAGCCACGCTCAGATCGATCAGATTCGTGGAACAGGCACTATCGGTTGGCGCTTCTAGCGTTGGTGTCGCTGGGTCGAGGACGATAATGTGATGATCTGAGGATGCGGGTATTCAATGGAAGTTTTGATTGCTTGAGTGCATGCGGGGTGAGGTGGTGGAGTCGTGAAAGTCGCGACTTCAAGCCTCGCGTGTTGAGGGGGATTTGCTGACTGCTGCCAACACATAAATCAATACTTTGACATGCTGCATTTGACACCGCGCTGGCGAATGTTCGTCGCAATAAATATTTGTTGGGATATATATTGCTTTACCATTCCTGATATTGTTGAGGCTGAAGACGCTCCTGACTTGTCGAAGTACCTTGACTTCATTTCGAGGGACACACGTGTTTGTGCGAGAGTGACTTGGGCCGAAAATGCCTCTGTCAAAGGCCCGATAGAGAAATTCCAGACGAATCCATCCCTGCAGGATGCACTCTTCCGTGGTTCCTCACCCTGTCCGTGAGCAGCCGTTTCTCCAGTGAAGCCCCGCATGAACGAAATGCACTTAATTCTCCGACTGGAACCATAGCGTCATTCAGATCCGCGAGCCATTGGATTTGCTCCCGGTAGAATGGATTGCTAATTGATTGGTGTGGATGCGAGGAGGTGATGGCGAATGAATGAATCTTCAAGGGGTCCCTGGCGGCGAGAGGAAATTAACGGCAGGGTTGTTCATTATGGAATCGCCGTAAGTGGCCCTGGAAGATAACGCGTTGAGCTTGAGGTACCACGTTGCGGGGCAGTAGATACGAAATTCAGCGAGAGTTGCTCGGGGAATCAGGTGAATGGAAGGAGGCACGGGCTTGGATTTTGCCCTCCCATGGCCTTGATGATTCGCAGTGGAAGAGTGGGCGGTCAAGTCCGTAATGTATGTATAGACCAGATGTGCCACATCGCACCACCGTGCCAGGAAATTCTCTTCACGAACAAAGGGCAGCAAACTCGTTGAGCTTGACTTCCAGCTGAAGCCCATGATGTCTGATGCCGGAGCTGAAAACGGTTCGAGTGCAGGGTAACCAAAGACAGACTCGTTATATATCTTTCCAAAGGTCCGTGGACTCCAGCTAATAGGTACTCACATGTTCTAGTGAAGGTGATCCCGATTCTCCTCCAAGGAGGTCTTCGATAGGTGACGAGGACTTGCCAAATCATTCGGCGACGGAGAGCTACGTCGAGCAAGAAGAAACCCACGAGCGAATCGCAATCGGAGAGGGTACTTCCGACCCAGATGAGGCTGTTGGAAACCATTGTGAGAAGATGAAGGATGAAATCAAGGACGCGGATGATAAATTGGATGGTGCGAAGAGCTGAGGGTGAATCCACTGGTTCCTGGGAGTTTGCATCATGATTCTGTGATTCCCCCCGGGAACAAAGGGCGCTGATATGTAAGAAATAAATCAAATGTAATGAAGCCGCTTTCCCCTGTATTGCTTCGTGATGATCTTGATGACCTCTTGTGCAACCATGCCAACTGGCAATGCCGAAATACTGTGCAGTGCAAAGATCACCGCAATTAGCGCATGTTACTTGCTAGACACGATTCGCTCGAATTATGCGAGTCCAGCCAAAAAAGCCCGATTTTGACGACTCCTTGAACCTTCCCAAGGTAAACGTCAGCAGAAGATGGAAGTTGGATTCGATTGTGGCCGGGTGTAATTAAACTGGAGTGTAATAAGCTACCAACAATCTATTCCGGCACCACTCACCTCGATCCTTCTTCTAAAACCATGTGGTATATTTAAACGGGCGAAATTCTCCTTACTCAGTGTAAATCAGGGGATTGATTTCACGCCATGAACTTCTTTTGCCGTTCGAATTTCGACCTCTCCGTTCTCCATGCCAAAGTAGGCTGCGACTGGCTTCTGTCCACCACCTTCCTCCCCCGCGGCAGCCACTTGAACGCCGTTTCTGCCATGAAACAGTCCGACTTCCAACACTCCTGTTATTCTCTTCAACCTTCTTCCCAAATTATGGACTTCCCAGGTTCCATGCTCTCCATCGCCATTATCATGCCCTTTGAGGTCCGACTTCAAGCAAAGCGGGGGAAAGGGAGCATCAATGATCCACATGCTGTTGTCGGTAACAACTGGTCCTGCCTTGGCACTGCCACCTTGCCGGATTTTTGGATCAGATGATCCTAATGTGATGAGTATTCTCTTGACGGTCGGCGCAGATAGAGGCGCTATCTCAATTGGAATCGTCGGCCATTTCGTGAGGAGACGCTTTTGAAGTTTTCGGGAATCTGTAAAAAGTGAGCTGGGGATCTATTCGCTAAAGCGCAACGACTAACCAGCAACGACAATGAACTTCTTGGCAGAGGAGGCCACCAGCTTCTCCTGGAACAGACATGCTCCACCACCCTTTATGCAGTTCAGTTCGTCGTCAATCTCATCAGCGCCATCAAAAGCGACATCTAGACTTTGACGCTTCCCCTTCAACCCCAAGTCCTGGAGGCCGGTGCCCACGTTAAGCGCAGCGACGCCTCCCATTTTCGTTTGGCTTACTTCAACTGGGGGTAACGCATCGATGCTTCCAAGAGGAAGGCCAGCTTCAATGATAAGCTGCTTTGACTGATCCCCACTATGCAATGGCGAAGTCAGCGGTTGCGGTAGCATCTCTGAATGGAGCTTCAGCAGGAAGTCGGTCATACGTCGGAACAAATATCATTCCATCGGTGATCTTTCGGCCTTTGGCTGCAATTGCTTGAACAACATATACAACGGTGCTGCCGGAGCCAATCCCAATGTACTTGTAAGAGGGGTGGAAGTGGTCATCGACAGCCTTGAATGCAGCACGTTGCTTTGCAGCTTCGATGCCACTGAGGGGGATTTGTTCCTCAAGAGCGTGCACAATTGATGGGGCGGAAGGTTCTGAGATTGGGTCGCCGGGCGCCATTGAGTGAGCAATCCTGCGGCAATTGGATCTGCGAAGTGTAGTTGTGATGCAGATGGGGCGATGTGAGGGTCGAAGGAAGGTTCGGGAGCAGGTGAAAAGGATGTCCATGGAAAATGGTGGGGTGAGGCTGCCACCCTACTGTAGCGGGGCAGCTACGATGACAGTACCTTAGCGCCGCGCTTGTGCCCGCTAAAATCACCAGAACACGTGCTGATAGGCGTCTTATCGGACCTCAACTTTATTTAGGCCTCCATCGTGACTTCCTCACCTCGGCTTCAAATCAACACCGAAATCACATTGTCCTCTGTGTCTGCGGTACAACCAGGACGCGACACTACCTCTGATTGTTCCCTGAGTCTGCCGTACAATCAAGCGCAGCCTCCAAGATGACCGAAGTCATCACTGATCCGACTCTTCCTATACTCCACGGTCCATCCGACAAGGAGAAGAAGTATGACAGGCAGCTCCGTCTGTGGGCGGCTTCGGGTCAGCAGGCGCTGGAAGACGCACACATTCTCCTGGTCAACTCCGGCTCCGGCACTGTTGGCGTAGAGACGCTCAAGAATCTCGTTCTTCCGGGTATGCCTGGAACCTCGCAGTCGTAGTCCTCAGCTGACGAGTATTAGGGATTGGCAAGTTCACCATTGCAGACGAAAACATGGTCGATCAAGCAGACCTCGGAGTCAATTTCTTTTTGGATGAGGATTGCTTGGGAAAACCAAGATCGGAGTGCTGCGTCAGGTTGCTGCAGGAGCTGAACCCGGATGTGAAGGGTGACTGGTTTCCCAAGAACAAGGTTAGCTTTCCATTCTTCAGACAGAGTTGGCACAATGCTTGAATGCTGTTCCGCGAAAATTGGTACATTGGTCGATCCAGCTTGTTCTGGTGAGAGATGGTACATTACGACCAAGATTGATCCGCGAGAATTGGTACATTGCCCAAGCTAATATGGTGCCATAGGACGAGGCCATTGAACAGCTCTTCGACGGTACAATCAAATTCACGATGCTTCTCTATACTACTCCGATCGCACGGACTAGGATGGAGCTGTTGCAGGAGTATGGCCAGAAACACAGTGTACCTGTGATCGCCGTACATTCGGCAGGCTTCTACTCATATTTCCGAATCAGCCTCCCTGCCAACTTCCCAATCGTCGATACACATCCCGATTCTACAGCCACCACCGACTTAAGACTGCTTACGCCGTGGGAGGAACTGTCAAATTTCGCTGCAAGCCTTACAGGAAACATGGAGAGCCTCAGCGCACATGAGCATGGACACATACCATACGTGGCACTACTGTTGCACTATCTGGCCGAATGGAAACAAACCCACGGATCTTTCCCAAGTACATATAAGGAAAAGACGGCGTTCAGGAGTACGGTCGCAGCAGGAGCTCGAACCGATACTCCAGAAGGAGAAGAGGAGAACTTCGATGAGGCAGTTGCTGCTATTCTGAAGACCGTTTCTTCTCCAAGCATATCCAGCTCAGTGAGAGAAATGTTTAATTACACGCCAAACGAGGTATGTCAGAGAGCCAATACCTCTTTGTCTCATCGCTAATCTCGTTCAGATGGAATCAACATCCAGCTTCTGGATCATTGCAGATGCCATAAAACAGTTCTATAAGAAACATAACGCCCTTCCTCTGCCAGGTTCTGTCCCCGATATGAAGGCCCAATCAACAGTTTACGTTCAGCTTCAAAACATTTACAAGGCCAAAGCTCGCCAAGATGTTGCGGAGGTCCTCGGAACGGTTCGGTCTCATCCGATGGGCAAAAATATTGATTCGGCTGAGATCGAAAGCTTTTGTAAGAACGCCGCTTTTATTAAGCTCATTCGTGGATCAGAGCCGTCCGAAGCTTCCCCTGCCAATATCAAAGTTCTCGCAGGTATGGCACAATCACTTGACTTGCGTATGCCCATGGATACTAAAATAGAAAATAGAAAGGGAATTCGAAAATGACAGCCACGCACCCTTGACGGCCATACCTCTGTCACTCTTTCCAATTTATCTATCCCTGAGGTGAGAGAATGACCCAGCTGTCCCGGAACAATTTCGTGTTCCGCTCCGGAGCAAACGTTCCATTTCTTCATTGAACATTGCTGACTCCTTGCTTCCACTAGCGCAACGACCTCCCTCCCAACCTCAAATGTATCAGATATTATTGATACAATCAAGAATACCCTCCCTGACGCCGCTTCCACGCCACGAATTATAGAGGCGGCTGAGGAGGTAGCCCGTGCTAATGGCGGTGAACTGCACAATATTTCGGCATTGACAGGCGGTATGGTCGCACAAGAAGTCATCAAGATCATCACGAGGCAATACATACCAATCGATAATACATGCATCTTCGACGGCATCACGAGCAGGATGCAAGTACTAAGAATATGACCAGGTCTGGAAGGTGCAATGGCGAATTACGACGAGGTTTATGACGGAATGAAAAGCGAGCATCTGTGGCGTTAGCTACGTCTTGATTGTACACGACCAAGCTCGAGCAAGGACCTCGGTCTGAGAACATACTGCAAACCCTAAGCTTATTTCATGGAGTCTACATGGTCCCCGGTCATCTGAACCCGACTGTATCGCAGGAAGCTCCACAAAATCACTTTAGAGAAGTACATATCACATGAGCCTCACCCCTCTGTTTTGGATAACCTACTGTAGCAAAAGCCAGCAGTTATCACTGGTTGCAAGTCATGTTATCTGATGAGCTCCTCACTCGCCACAAATCATTTTATCCCCCCAAGCGCAGGTACAAGGTATGGAGTGGTACAGGACGAGCCTTCCCTAGGTACGATTTGAAATATGATATGTTGCTATTTTGATGGCTGAAGTGGGGGTTTCAGCACTACCCCTGCTGTCAAGTCACAACACCGGTCTCCCCCGCCCGCCCTCAAACCTTTTCATCGGTTCCAAACTTCACTTTTTCCTTCTCACCAATACACATTCTTCCCTCCAAAGATAACACATTCTTTCTGTCGGCAACGCATGCCTAGCTTGAGCCATGACATTTGCTCCGTACCCTACCGTACCATATCCAATATCCTCCTTGGCGAGTGGCTGAGCTGGCCGCTTCCCAGATTATCGCCTGCCCTGGAATGGCTTGATTCGAAGATATGAGCGAAGAAGGGAGACCGCATCCTCCCTCCGGCGGCTTCTCGCCGTTTCTATTTTATTTTCCTCCAAGCACCGAAAGTACCGGCGTTCCCCTCGCCCGCAACATGCCTAAATGTCATCCCCATAAAGTATCTCAACCCCAGATTTCGGGGGTACCGGTAAGCTTTAGTTTGTCCTGGACATGTGGTTGTGTTAGCCGCTGTACTGTCAGCTGGTTGATGGTGGGTGTGGAGGGGCTGGTATGCATTGTGCTCTGCATGCATTGCCCGGCCTTTCATGGTTGCCTGCCTCCACCTGCAGAGAGTTAAACAGCAGACGGCATGCCAATGGTGGAGGCACTCGAGGTGAGTGTGTGTCTGCTGCAGGATAGAGAGACAGGTAACCAACAGCGTGTGCGTGCTGGAGGTGGAGGGGAAGTGGTGGCCCTTGCAGGAAAGGGGTGAGCCAGCCGGCCCCAAGCTTTCAATATGAACGTGTTTGAGTGGACAAGCTCTGGAGGTGCACCGAACCATGCAGTGTGTTTGATGCCCTCGGCAGTGGGCCTCGCCGCTGCTTGCAAATTTAATCTAGTTTTCAGGGTGTGAAGAGGTTGGAAGTTGGAGGCCCCTGATGATCGGTGGAGGTGTGGAGGCCGCTGGAGAGGTGTGGTGATACGAGGGGGCAGGTGGAGTGATGTTGATATTGGATGTTGACGTTAGGTCTCGGGCCAGAGCCGGCGAGGCGATCTGGATGCTCCGGTTTGTCACTTTGTAGACAGGGGGAATGGCCAGGTGCACGACGTTTAGGAGACATGACAGAGACAGACGGTATGCGTGTGCACCTCGTCTGGATGGATGTAGCTAAGTGTACCAAGCTTTTGTCTTCCTGGATACCCCCAAAATAAATGGAGAAGTCCCCTTTTCACAGTAAGTGCTGTCGGAGGGAGAGTTTTTCTCGCCATTGTGGATGTTGTGAGGAGCATGGCGTTCTAGGGACGAGAGCACTTCCCAGTCTGTTCGCGGGTCAATATCACCTTTGCAGCTTTTGACTCAGATGCCTGTATATGTTAATCTTGCATGCTTCTCCAGAGGTGTGGGGGAAGGGGTTGTTAGTGGGTCCGAATAGTGACATGGAGTTACAAACGAGAGCGAGGTACCTCCAACAAACTTGATGTTACGCTCCCTTCTTTCAAATGATGTACCGGTCTGACTCGACCCAGTTCTTCGCTGGCGATCATCTCGCAGAAACTTGGTAGCATACCTGCCGGACACTCTCATCTCCCATCTCACACCACACAAAGCCTCAAGATCTCAATTGCTACCTTATCCAAGATGGATCTTCCTTCATCTCACTCCACTCAACCCTTTAACTCCTCATTCAAACCTTATCCAAGATCATTTCCCTCTCATTATACCCTTTCCTCGTTTTCGGTTCCTCCCGACTGCGCATCTATCCCCGTCTATTTACCCACCCTCCCGGGCCATCCCCTCCCCATTGTCTCTCAAAATACTCATCCCATCATCTCATCTCATCTCCCAACACTAACCCTCTTCTATCCGCCTCTTTCCGTCCCCGTCCAACCTCGGTCAAACTCTAACTCTAACCCTATTTTCATCCACAATATATACAAGCTGCACCTCATCTCATCAAGTTTGAACATCAAATTAACCTTGAGTTCCATTGCATCTGCACTTGCAGTCAATATAATATATTTCCATGACGCCACCATCACTCCCTACTCACCCCAATCTCTTGATTCTATTCTTTCTCTCTTGAATGGAAGCGAATGCAACCCAATGCAAGCGATTCAATTACATTCGATTAATTCTGCGCGGGATACCCCACGCCCGCACACCTCCTTTCCACCGCCTCAAATCAGCCTAAACCCCACACCCTTCAATCAACCAACTTTCCCCAGCTGCCCTCCCCTTCCACCCAACTCAATGACGCCCGGTATCTCGGTGCGTGGCCGGAAGACCTCGAATGCGGCCTGGCAAGCCGTAAGATCGGCCTGGTTGGGCATGAAGACTAGATGACCCCGGTCTGATACCCACTGCAGAAACTCCTCTGCTCCACGTGGCGGGAGGGATCACCATCTATCTATCTATTTTTGCCTGCCTCCATTGGCACAATGTCCACGGCCTCCAAACTCCCTTACCTGCTTATTGGAAGAATACAGGCATTCGGTATTAAGGCACCAGGAGGAGGAGGTCAGGGTCAAATCTGGAATCTGGGCTACGTTTAGATTCAGGGTGCGATATGAGACGAGACGTTTGGAACGCAAGCAAGATAAAGGTTAATGATCAATTCATCTGTTCAATGAAGACTTTTGTATTGGGAATGTGCAAGTGCATGTTCATGACGAACGGGGTATGGTGATAACTAACTAGTGACTAGCGAATTTTGTAAGAGAAGCAGGCAGGCACCAGGAGGCTAGGGCTCGTGGCCCGATGCGTTTTGGGGGAGTAATGTGATAGAATAGAAGTAGAAAAAGCGAACGTGAAAGATAGCACATGGGGTATGGGGTATGGATGTGCAAGAAAGCAAAGCAAGAGCAAAAACTCCGGAGATCCGCTTCCCAAGCCAGTCAGTCATGCCCGTATATACGTGTATTACCATCCAAATCCATCCGTCCTTCCCGCCACCGTACCGCCATAAATGCAGCCCCGGAAAACGCCAAGAAAAAACCCTGAAAACCTAAAATAAGATGTCGTTCATTGAGGTGTCATGTAGCTGCCGTCGAAGTTGGCGATGCCGCCACTGTCGTCGAATTCCATGCTGGGCAGGCCGTCATAAGGCATGTCGAGCCCGTCTGGCAGATTGCTCCACAGCATTCCGTCGAGATCCCAGATGCTCCCCTGGTCCAAGAGCATCATCGCGTCCTCGGCAATCATACCCCCTTGGTGCGCGTGCATGTTCTCCACTATGTGTCCATTCACGCCGTTCATTCCATTGGGCCCGTTCATCATGTGCATCCCGTTCACGCTGTTTACTCCATGGACTCCGTTCGTGAGACTCATGCCGTTAACGTGACCGTTCACACCGTTGACCACTGCAGGTCCCAACCGCGGACTCGGCTGCCTTGTCGACGGCCGCTTGCTGGCCTCGTACATCTTGGCCACAACCTCGCGACTCCGTCGCGCAGCAAGAGACCAATCAGCCAGGCCCTCGAACGCCTCGAGCACAACCTCGATCTGGGCCTGGCACTCGCGTACCTGCTGCGTATTCCAGGATTCCCAGAATATGGTCACGAGGGGGATCATGACAGCCTGGTACATGAACCAGACGCCATTCCAGCCGAGCATCTGATTGGGCGTCCATTCACGCGCGATGTCCTCGATCGTCTCCTTGGCGATGGCCCGGCATTTTGCCACGGATTCTAGCTCCTCCTGGCTGGCTGAACCTTCATTTCCGCGATTCGCAAGGTTGAGTAGAACGGGCCTGTAGAGCACTATGCGAAGGTTTTGGTACCGCCATTTCATGACTGAACGTGAGGTGTAGATCGATTCCGGGCACGGCTCTGTGGACCGGAGGAGCCATGGGAGATTGTCGTGCCATTCTACCAGTTGCCGGTCGAAATGTTCACGATCTTCAGATCGCATGAGTGGAGTTTGAGCGAGCACGTCTTGAATTTGCGTAGCTATTTTGCAGAATTTGATGTTCTCAGTAAGGGGGATGATTCCTATGTGCTGGCCAATGACATTCTAGATAATATTAGTCAAGTGTAAACGAGGGAGACTTTTGCACTGACTGGATTACGGGTTCCTTCTGGAGCATGGATGGAGATGCCAGGTCCCCATCTTCCCATTGAAGGTCGTCCCAAAGTAGTAGATGCCCAGGTGTCAAGGCAGAATAAGCTCCACCAAGTCCTTCGTCTTTGTTCAATTATGGCAGTGTTCGCATTGCCGGGCTCGGGAGGACTTTCTCTATGTAGACCCATGGCGCAGGCCATTCTGAGAGCTGCACCAAGTATAGCATTTGCCATGTTTGGTCTGTTGATATAGTGAAGATAGTAGCCTCCCATCAGTATAAATGCTTGCAAGGTCTCCAATTGCCCACTGCCAAAAGTGTCAATCCCAAGGTGATCTTTAGCATTGTTGTAGAACGTGACATGGCTGTGATCATCCGACTTGTTGGCAACTATGCTGCCCATTGAGAAGACCATATTGAGTAATGCTAGCCACGGGGGGTCATTTCGCCGCCCGCTAAGGTAATCCGCTCTGAAAGCTGGCTCATCGAGGAGCGGCACAAATATTTGGACCCGATTGAAGTACGCATCGATGAGAGTCTGGCCCTCGGAAGACCATGCAATTGGGGACAAGGTCGGCCTGACAGAACTTCCTGGTCGCGGTGTAGGATGATTGCTGACACTCAGTTGTTTGTTGTGGCCATTGCTTGGAGGTCCAAGGAATGATCGAAGGGCTGGTGCAACCTTGAGCATCACCAGGAACGCAGCTTTGATTGAGGTTACGCCCAGATAAGAAGTTTGTCTATCCACCGAAAACGACAAAGCATTCACGTCGTCCGCCTCAGCTGGTATAGGATCCCGATTCCGTCGTTCCTCGTCCCATTCTGTATCTTGGCTCGGTATTTGTTCGAGGTGTGCGAGGCTTCGGTCGTCGTCCGATGTTGAGGCGATCGGGGACTGGAATTCGCCTTGTGAGACAGGCGACGTATTCGAGCCAGTTGGCGATCGCTGTGAGGGCGCACTTTGGGGACCAGTGCGATCAAGCAGAGAGATGAGTTCTTGCCGTGAGAGGGGCAGCAGCGATTGTGCATCTCGGGTAGGATATAATCGTTGGAGGACGGTTCGGCATTCTTCTAGAGATTGGGAGAGCGCATCGAGAGTTCTGTCACGTCGTCAGCAACTGCCCCGGCACGGCAGACTGGAGTTGCACACTTCCTAGAAGGAATGACCCGTTGGCGATGCTTGTCATAGTAACATGGCTTCGGAGACCTGCACCCCAGGCATTGTCCACAGGGCTGTCGTCCATCGCAGCGGATCTTCCGCCGTTTACATTCTGCACAAGCGTGGGGTGTCGTTATTCGTTTGCTTACGCCGTTCGTGGTAGGCTTGGGAGCTTCTTGGGCGTTTTCAGAGAGAGGCCGAGGCGGCGCAAGTCCTTGAACTATTTGAAAAAGCAATTGTTAGCATTTACTGAGTTGGAGAAGTAGTGGTGGTCCGTTCTCACAAGTGTGGAACATCTTCGATGATCCAAGTGACTGAGGCATGAGGAGACTGCAATCGGCCCACGGCACACAGTTCTCACCACCCCTTTTTGAGGTGACAAGAGGAATCGACCCCACTGTGCGATCTCTTAGGATCTTGGTAGAAAAACGATCTGCGACGCAGTGGTTGCAACTCGAGACGGGCAGTTCTCGCGGTAGCGGTGACTCTCACTGTGGGGAAGATGCGATTTAAACTTCCGCGAACACGGGATCTCGGCAGCTGCAGCAAAAGTGTGTAAGAGCTGACAGCCAGATCCAGGGCTTCTGTCAGGACCTATTTTGCGTTCAAGCGGCAGACGGAGAATGGCTGGTAGCTAGTCGCAATCAGATTTGATCGACCAGGGGCCGTCGTCTGGGGCGCGTTGATGCGAGATGCACTGCAACAACGGTGAGGAAGTTTAGGGAGTGGAGTAAGTGAGGGAGCGGCACGATCCTTTCCTTCCCTGCTATGTTGGACAAGAGCAAGTTAAGAGATCTTCGATACCGGTTTCGGGATTGGTGGTGAAAGACGAGTGTGCAACAGGTTGGGAGAGCAGGTGCATGGGTGCAAAGGGCTGCAATCTGGTTGCTTTAATAGTTTGACTTGGCTTTAACTTCACGAACGGTACATAGCCGTATGAGGCTTGCTAATAAATCCTGTTATAAGGCGTGGGGAGAACGCCCACTGGGATAAGTTCACCCCAGATCGTGAGAGCCTGGGGGTGGGAGGGCACAGTCTCCTGGGGGGGTTCCCATCGAAGCCCAGGTCGCCGAGCATCGTACAATTATGGCGTATGTAGAGGATGGCGAGAACGAGCAGGAGAACTAGTAACGAAAGGGGAAGGGTGGGCAGGCAGGGGGGAGAGATGTGGTTTCGTGACTTTCGAAGGAATGAGGTGCAGCGGTCGGTACCAAAGAATGATGGAATTCCTCTCCGCTACTTCTTCAAGGCTTCTAGCCGCAAATGTTATTCTGAGGGTCTGGGCAGGGTCTGGGCGACTCGCAGGCAGGTGTGGCCACTGGCAAGTCCTCTTTTCGCTTGGGCGACTTTCATCTGAACGGGCTGCACGCCCATGGTCCAATCCATGCGACCCCTTCTTCCCCACACTGATCCCCAGTCCCCATCGATGTGCTTCACCGCCTGAGTTGTAGGGCACGGCCCTGCGGAGAAACGCTGGTGGTAGGTGCATGGCACTGATCCTACATGCCGGCGTAGTCACTCAACACAGCAGGAAGCCACCCCCCACATCTATCAAAGTTCCCGTTTCAGTTCCTCCCTCCTTCTCCCACTGTTGTCCGTTTTGGAACACCCCATTTCAATTATCAGGCTGCTATGTTTCTAACCTTACGAGCCCGCCCCAAAAGTCCCTTTTTTGGGCATTTCGCTAAGAAACAAACGCCAAGCCCAATTTTGTGCCTTTTATTATTTACTAAGTCGTTTTATAGGATTTTCAAAACTCACTCTAGCTTCTTTAATTATGTACGTATAAATTGTAAAAGGTCACAATTAATAGTTGTTGCATATTTGTTAAGTAAAGTAGGAGGCTTTGGCGATGCCTGAAGGGCTCGTTACCCCGTAACTGCCGCTCATGCCGCTTTGTCCACGCCGTCCCGGCTCTGTGGCACCACGAGTGACTCTGTAACTTGCGCAGATTGATTAAAAAGCGCGAATCTTCTACGAAGTTAGATGTCTTGCATGACCACGTATCAGCTCCTCCTTGCCAAAAACATACCATTGTCCCAGCTTCTGCAAGCCAAACATCGTCTGGCCACCTACGATTCTCAGTCCCAGCCACACATGTGATATGTGGCGGGCTAACTTATGTACATGATCGAAAACGAGAACGAGGTGCGCTTAATAGGGGTCTGAGGACTGTGATCAAGTAGTTCTCTTGTTAGCTGTGGCAAGTGAGACAGCTAATTAAGGTTTCTATGCTCACATATTGCATTCGGTGTCCAGTACACTCGCCCCCTTTTTCGTTAAAATAAGGCGGGCAAACCACCAGTGCCGAGCGGGGGATCTCCGCGCCCGATTTGCCTCCTAGAAGGGTTCCCTGGCCAACCAGCCTCTCACAAATCAAACCACTCACTAATTATTTTGGCTTGCAAGATTGTCAGAATAATCTTTACTCTATAGCAACAATCTATATAGCAATTTAAACTACTTTTATAAGTTTATCCGTTGCATTTTTTTGCTGCTAGATTAATGATTGAAATAGGGTTTAAAGCTTGAATTTACGCGGCCCGCTATTCTAAAAATTTAGCGAGGAACTCAAAAATCTCAAAAGCTACATTTCGTAGTTTATAATAATATAATAGCAAACTCTTTTTTGCTATAATATACATTTTCTTAGATTTATCAATCTAATTTCTTAATATCTTTAGTTTTACTTGCAAACATTACGTGGTTGAATTGTAAAACGATTATTTCAAGTGGCCAGTTGACCAGGGAACCCTTCTACCATGAATGGCGCCCGCCTCGACCCTCGTCCAGCTGGTCCACCACCGCCGCAATGTACGGAGTATTCTATTGTCCGCGGCATGGCGCGCTGCCCAATGGAGCTCAGCCAAGATCAGATTGAAGAAGGGCTTTCAGTGGGCCACAGTCGTGAGCCGTCTGGACGAGAAATGCTTCTTCGGAGCCTTGTTGGGATATGACCTGTACAACATCAAGAATCCACGATCTCTGGGGCTCTCCAGGGCCGTGTATGGACCAATCATTGCATGAATTTCCGAATTGGTACATACGAGGGCGATCCAGGGTGCAGCAAGGCAGGACCGTCAGGGAGGATCGCGTGGAGTCCTTGTCATCTCCAGGGATTTTGAAGAAGTGAAACGCGAAAACGCGGGGGCGGCAAGTAACATGTCACTCCCCTATGCCCCCCATGCCCTTAGCAGGGCGTTGATCGACTTAACGATGTCGTGTTAAAGGGCACCCTTTATCCGACGAACTGCTCTTTTAGCCAGCGAATCCCTGTCAGCGTACCGCACTTTAACCCAGCACTTTTGGTGTCTAGGATACCTTATGATCCGTCGCCTCAACCTGCATCAGAGTCGCGTTTCTTTCATTCAAGCCTCATGAGATCGTGCTGAAATCTCCCTCGAGACGGTGTCGACGAATGCACTCCCCTCCTTCTGAAACGTATTCTCCTTGCTAACTGTCCCGTTGGAATGGGAACCCAGAGACAGACTTTGCGCGGCAAGTTAGTCAAAGCAACAATTTCCGACGAATAACGCAGCTTGGTATATTCTTCGCCCTGTCTCGGACCGTACTCGTTGTAGAATAATAGGTCAGCCAAAAATGTAAGCACTGCTGTGTGGTGGCCTGAGCCGGCTCGGCGTTGGAGCTCAAGTTCGGGACTTGTGATACTTCGGCAAGGGCCTCGATATTATTTGCTGAAGGCTGAAAGTTTACGGAAAGCCGTAAGAACGTGCGAGAAACCCAAAACGTGCATCCCGCTTGCCTGCTTCACCGTACCAAAAATCGCCCTCGCTTGCCGACTACGCCCAAGCCGACGCCCACGCCCAAGCCCACGCCCACGCCCACTACCACGCCCCTCCACCTCTCTCTAAGCCTCTACCATTGCTTAAAATATTTTCTCTCTCTTCAGTTCTTATATATATAAGTATAAGGGTAGGAGAGGGGCAGGGGGAGGGGGAGGGGGAGGGGGAGGGAGGGTACGGTCGTATGGAAAGCGGGAACTGGAAAATGAACTTCAAGAGTCGCGCGGAAGCGCTATAATTATAGGGCTATCACCGCTAAATTCTAGGCTATAGGCCCTGAACACTGATGATTAAATTTAATTTTTTTTGAGTACGACACAGCATTTTTAGGAGACTAGCGGAGTGGTGAACGATGAAAGCGCGTTTCGCAAAGTTCGCTTGGACTAGTGATCTTACTGCTTTCCGTGTAACGTTGAGCTGCTGGTGCTTGCTGCCGTTACTGGCTGCCATACTTGCTGCCGATACTGTGCCAGTGCACCCTCAGAGGACCCAACCTCGGGAGCCACAACCCTAACCAGATCGCCGGCTACAGTAAATCCGGGACGCCACCAACCGATCTAGACCTCAGTAATCCCCATTTAGTAACTTTCTGGAAGTTTGTGAACTTCGACGGCTGCTTTGGCTCTGTTACCTGCTGCGACTATTGCGTTGGCGGGAGGAAACTTTGTTTCAAGAGAAGCAATTGAAATCGTTTTAGGTAACCGAGCAGCTCACCTGCAGTCTGCAGCACTTGACTTGGGAATGGAGTCGTATCTGAATTTCAAGGTGCGTCCCTGTGGAAAGAAAGATGGAATTTCTCAAAATTAGCTTCCGAGCTCCTCGAGGCTCGACCGCATATACTTTGCTCTATTCATTAAGTCGACAGATTCCAATGCTTTGGGATTATTATCCAGACCTGAAACACCTGGTTCACGCCCTCATCACTTTTCACAATAAGCACGACGTGGACGTGTATCAATTCTTCGTTGAGCTGCCAGAGTCGTGGGATATTCCATGGGGAAAACTCTATTCTGACGAAAGTTAAAGCGGGTTTAATCTTTTTGAAACCTTCTAGAAAAAATTTGCTCACCGATGTATAATCTCAATTACATCTCAAAACTATGCTCATGAAGTTCATCTGAAGTGAAGTTTGAGAAGTAATATCCGCTGAGCAGATCGTTCTTGGTTGAAATTGGGATCCGTTACGAACGTATATTTTCTTCGAGGTGGACTTTGTCCGTCAAAGACATTGCCCCACGGTGCATCTTAGGTGTGTGAAACATGTGGTTCTTTCTTACAAATGTGCAAGGATAATCGGGCTTGAAATTCTCGGCTCCACCACCATGTTCTTCTTCAAAGTTCGTGCGATCATGCTCGCACCAATATACACCCCTGGTATATTAGTGCGGATGAGCAATACGGTCGCAATACGGTCGCCCTTGTTCCCTAACAAAAAAAATCTAGAGGTTTTAATAGTCGGACTTAACGTCGCACTAAAGGGGCCCTACCCTTTAGTCGGGGAAAGCGATGTATCCCGGGAAAGCGAAGTGTCCCGCACCACACCAAAATTACTATGCGACCGTAGACAATAATTAGGCACCACACAACAGATAATCCCCTAAATTATAGGTAATTAAAGATATAATATTCTATTACTCAAATGCTACAAAATCTGTATTTTGAGCTATAGAATCAGTTAATATTACTAATCTGGGTAGTAAAGAATATAGATCTACCTCCTCCCCACCTACCCCTCTATTTATATCCCCTCTTGACCCTCCTACCTCCTGATCTGATCCCTTAGATTCCTCTAATATCGCCCGTATATATAATTAGCTAAGAGAGTTCCCCTTTACCCGGTAAGCTTGTTCAGATGCGAGTATTACAGGATTAATAGGGATATCGGTAAAGATTACGGGATCTTCGGCCTGTATATAATCGAATTCAGCTTGCTTCTTAGCTACCTTATCATAAAGTAATTAGTATTTAATTCGAATAGCTTCAAGCTCGCTTTCCGTAGGTTCGTTTTGGGGATCGCGAATTAGTATTAGGAGCTCGGAAGGAATAATTATATCGGTTCCAAGGACTTGCTTCTTTGCTTGTGCCTCCAGATCTCTCACTCTCTTCTTCCTCTCTCTCTACCGCTCGTATAGCGATTCCTACTCTTTTGAGAGCTTCCTTTTCAGCTAATTCAGCCTTTGCGAGCTGTCTTTTGGCCTTCTTTAGCTCCTCCTCTGCTACGTTCCTCACTTTAATCTTCTTCTTTTCCAGAGTATCAGATATATTTAACCACCTCCCTCTTTGGAAACTAAGCCGTACGTTTAGCTTAGCCTTATAACGTTTAACCTGTGCCTTGCGAGTATTCTGGGCATCTAGCTCTTATAAACTTCCAAGCATTAGGTGGTTCTTGGTAGCCTTAATCATAACTAAATACTCTTTGCAAGGGGAGAAGCTTAAAGCATCCAGAATCTTGTTATTGAGATTATTGAGCCGTAGAATGCATTCGTTATATAAAGAAGGAGGTTTTGGAAGGGTAGGTAATTAGTATTCGTAAACAGGAGCAGGAGCAGAAGCAGGCATAGTAAATCATACGTTTTCTGTATCCGATTCAGTTTCCGATTCAGATCCAAACTCCAGAAATTAAAGGCCAGTATCTTTCCTTCTCTTTTTACTATACTTCTTAAGCTTTCTCTATATTACTTTAAAACTAATAGGCCAAATTCCAGTATTCTAAAAGGCGTATTTAATTATACGAATAGTAAATATCTTCTCCCTTATTCCAGGAAGATCGCAAAAGAAGTACTAGATATTATATTCCGGCTTATATAAGCAAATCGCATTTATAATATTAACTTATTAGTAGTATTTCCATTCCCTAAAAATACTAATATTATACGGTTAAAGTAAGTGGGTTTAGTAAGAGGGGAATTAGACGATTTATATCTTATTAAATATAGCTTTTAAGATAAAATTATTCGCTTAGTAGCAAGTTACTCCGTTAATTAAGAGAATATACTATTCCTTATTAGGACCGTAATTATTATACTTAATAAAATAATCTAATTAAACCATACAAATACCCTCGTTTATATATCCTATAGGAGAGACTATAATAACCTTATAGCCGGTTATATTTTCGTGGAACCAAGAAACCATAATTATAACTCCAGGGATAATTACTACTAGAGGAATTGCTTTACTATCTATAGATATATACTCAATTATTATAAGAGATATGCGATTTTCTGGTATTCCTGTATATATCTCCTTAATTCTAATTAGAATAACTACTTCCTCTCCTATAGGCATACAAATTCGTACTCCTTTCTCGTCCATATTATATATCCGATCCCCATAGCATAATCCAGTTTCCTCTAATACCAGACGATATTTAGTTTCAAACCAGTCGCATAGGCTCTGTTCGGTATAGAGATCGATATAGTAGCTCGTAATAGGCTTTGTCTTAATTATATAGAGTTCTGGAGTATTCTTTAGCTATTGAGAGAACCACTTCCAAGATAGAGCCGTTTTATTATCCTCTGTTTATATCCACATTATACAGTTATATATTATTTGCTTTATAGCTCCCTTCCCTCCATTAATCGCATATAATACCGTATACTAAATCAATGCCTCGTATTAATTAGGACAGAGGATCTTGTTCTGCCCCCCCTTTTGCACTCTTACTATCCCTATCTTCTTCCTCTCTCTCTGCCACGCTTTCCTTACTATATCTTTATTTCGTATGCAATACGTACGTACTATAGTCGCAGGAGTCTCTTCTGGATTAGCCTTGAGGAACTGAATAGCCTTACGGAGCTTATCCTTCTCTGGCATATTACGGAGAAGCGTATTCTTGGGGAAGTCACTTAGGCGAGCCATTGCTATCGAATTTGACAGATTTTCAGGGTAATTTGGGCTAGTAGTGATCAAATTAATTAATTTTCACTATGGGTATTCCATATAAATTAGAAATTTTTGTAATCGGTGCGGGACACTTCGCTTTCCCGGGACACATCGCTTTCCCCGACTAAAGGGTAGGGCCCCTTTAGCGCGACGTTAAGTCCGACTATTAACAACTTCACAAGGTAAAACAGAATCTTGAAACAAAAATATATAGAGGTACGCCCGCCAATTACACAATTTTTAGCTTCTTACGATTTTTAAAATTGTGAACTTGTGGAAGTTATTGCAAAACCGACCGTATCGCTGATACGACTGAACCGGCAGGGACGTAGGGGCTTTGGTGCAGGCCCTGACGCATGATTATTACTGCACCACCACATGTCGCAATTGTTTTTCTAACGAACTTCTCAAAGCCATCTCCGATTCAATAGGAATACGCAGATAGGGCCCAGAACACCAACATCAGATTTAGAATTTGCCGTTTCAAGCGTACCCGGATTCTTCTTCATCTGTAACGTAATAGTTGCAAGTACCTTCGCATGAACTGTCTTCGCAATTCCTGTTTGTAACGTGCTCAAGTAATCAATGCCATGGCCAGCTGCGTTTCGTAGACCTACTGGACCTAACCTATTCCTTCTAGGAGTTAGCAAATACGTAAAAAGAACTATCCATCAATTTTAAAATGATATTCACAGGACTCGGCACATCATCAAAGACGGCGGCACGAGTACAAAGGGGTTAAGCGAGTTTCGGCTGATTAAGTACTCCTACTTGCCTGCGTAAACTTTGAATAGTGATTGAAATATGGGGCTACTTGGAAGCGCAATATCCTCACAGAGAAGTGGATAAGGGAGCTCTTATTAATTTAGTAAATGTACCTGAAATTCAAGTTTTCCCTATCCGTCAAGTCCCCGAACGCAGATGAATCCAGGTCCCTTTCATATTCCTCCAAGATCTCACGATCAGTTTGACTCCTATCAATTCCCTGCATCGCATCTCTCTTTCCATTATTCCTCTTTAGCAGAAACCGTAGTACAAATACGATAGCAACCTCGAGCAGATGCGCAAATATCATGCTCCAGATTCCGAGTGAGTAGGTTGGCGACTGGCTGGTTTTGTAAAAAATGGCCCGGCAATGTTTCCAACGCAGTACCCGAGGAAAAGCATTGCGTTTGTAACGACTTTCTTGGTATGGCCAGCGATGTTCGCCGTTTGAAGGGAGAGGAGGACAAATGAGGCGTTGATTGGGCCCGTGAGCTACGGATATGTCAGCAAATAACGTGTTGAAAAGTCGAGAAACGAACGTAATAGCATATGAGACGACCAACTCGTTGGTCGAACGGTACGAAGCGTAGTCCGAATGCTCCAGCAATATTTGGGAGAAGGAAGATGATGATCATCACACATCGATTATTGGGTGGGAGCCGGTCATTCAGGAATACACAGACCAGGATTGAGATAGCAATGAGCACGCCATAGGGTATTTGCATTAGTGTCGTCACCACTAAAGTGTTCTCAGTATGGTGGGGCAGGCTGAGGGAAGAGTACATACGAGTAGAAAATCCAAACCCTTTGATAATGATAGTTCCAAAATTCGATATCCCTCCGTTGACGATGCTCTGCATAAGTGCAATGAGAAAGAACATGTACAGCTTGTAATCCAGGAACGCCTCCTTGATTTGGTAAGGCTTCAGAGTCTTGTTTTCGACGCCAGTCTGGTTCTCACGCAATCTCTCAACTGCAATCCTCTTCTCGTGGAGTGTTAGCCGTTTGGCTGTGACCGGACTGTCCGGTACCAGGAAGAACATAACCACACCCCAGATGCAACACAAAGCGCCTATGATCAGGAACTCGTATTTTCAACTTGGGAGGGAGCCCCTGATATTGCCGATTCCGTACCCGAGAAGCCCACCGAGGGCGACACCAACGCCATTTGCGGTGTACCAAAGTCCAATCTTGATGGGTTGCTGTCTTCTCGTGCTGGCGGAAGATTTCTGAGTTAGCATTACTTCTTTCAGGTAGATTTAAGAGAACTAGATTTGATTTAAGAGCAGCTGACATCGTTTGGGAGGGGAATCGTGTTTCACGGCTCCCGAAACGTTCTGGAAGGAGCAGAACTGGGTCGGGGAATACCTACTACCACATGCTAGTGATGAGCATGAACGCTGGGTCGGCACAAGCCTCTGCGGCTCCGCTGAGAGCACGGAGGGCTGCTAGCTCTGCGAAGTTCCTAGCACAGGCTTGCAACATGAGGAAGAAGCCCCACATGAAGATGTTGACACCAAGGTATTTGCCGATTGGGAAGCGTTGAAGTAGGAAGTTGATTGGAAAAGCCCAAGCTAAAAATCCAAAGTAGAAGATGGATGAAAGCCAGCTGTACTCGGTTCCAACAAGGTTGAGATCCTGACGGATGTTGAAGATGGCGGCATATGAGAGAGTGGTTTTATCGATCTTCGGGATGTAAGCAACGCTCGTCGACAGCAGACTTTTAAATGGCGTGATAGTACAATACTTACATAAAAGAATGCGTAGCAAACCGACAGGTAGGGTAGAATCATCCAATCAATCTTTCTAACCAGTTTTCGTTCCTCGTCTGGATTAATTGCTTCACGGACATCTGTAGGACTGTTGAATAAAGCCATTGCGGTGTCACCACCTCCGGTAGCAGAGATCTTCCATTTGTGGTGGGGTGCTAGAGATTCGTTTCTGATTTCAGTGTGGACAATCTCCTGCTTGGGATCACCAAGCTCGACGTCTCCAGGAGATGTTGGGGACGGATTGATAGCTGGAGAAGCACTTCGAGTAGACTTCGCCATGATTATGAAAAATTATGAAGTGGTTGGTTAGGAAGTAGGTGTCTCGTCGGGCAACCTGTGACTTGGGTAGTTTTGGGTGATGGGGTGCGCTTTATATCAAAGCCCCAATCCGCAAGCCCTCGCTTGAGAGATATAGGGCGCCCAGTAATCATGATTCTATCTTACTCTGGATTTTAAAATCGAAACATGACTTCTTCGGATATTGACAATTCGTCAAGACCAAGGTCTAAAGAGGGGTAAACTTACCCCACCCCCCAATCACTAAAACGACGAAACTTGGTAAGACAAAACCTCTCAAGGAGTTCAAGACGGATACTTATCCGGGACTTGCTCACAAAGGTCACTGCGGCCAAACGATTTGACACCTTCGAGTTTTGTTGAGACGTTGCTTGAATTAAATGAATTCTGCGATCAGCTACTATTAAACCTCTTCAAGCTTTTTCATGGCATCCATAGCTACACTCCAGGATTCCCACTCCCCTTTGGGCATTCTTCCCTTCAATGGGAGTCTCCCACCTTGTAAATTGCCAATCTTTAATACTTGATAAATACCCTCTTTGATACCCACGATCCCCCATTTCCCAACCATTTCCTCTGCCCGGCTCACAGCAAACTGCAGCAATTGTATCTCACTCAACGCTTCAGGTGTGACGGGACGTTTAGCAGCAAGATCAAAAAGTCGAGACACGGTGCGAGGATATATAGCTGCAAGACCATCAATCACACCTGCTGCCCCAAACAAAACTATAGGTCCCAACTGCTGCCCAAATCCACTGAATACACGGAATTTCGAATGATCGATAGTAGGATCTAATGATACTTGTACATGATGTGAGACATTTCCGTGTGACATCTTGCAGCCAACAATCTTCGGGTGAGCGGCAAGTTTGGTATACGTTTCGAGGCTGACTATGATATTGTTTGTAACCCCAGGGTAATTGTATCTGAAGGCTTCATCAACACCAGAAAGCTTGGAGAGTGTAGACAAACCTTACATCAAAATTGGAATTGGGCTCGAATCTGCAACAAGCGTGTACCACTCCTGCAGATTTTCCTGGTTGGCAGCTGCTCCGAAATACCCAGGAGCAAGCACGAGGCCCCATTGAGCACCAGCTCTCTCCGCATCAGCCAGCCATTCCAGGGCCTCGTCCACAGAATTTGTCAAAACTCCGGCCATAATCGGATAATCCAAGAAACCCGCCTCAGTCAGTCCCTTTCGGACTCCTGAAATAAGTTCGAATCGTTCCTCGCGAGAAAGATGAATGGCTTCCCCGGTGCTACCCAAGAGTACGAGCCCTCGGATACCATTCTTGGCAAGGTGTATGCTGTGTTGAATTTGTGCCTCGATGTCCAGAGGAGCTTGGAGTGCTGGTGGTACTGGCGAGGATTTGAAGAATGTTGGCACTGGCACAGTGTGAATAGGTTTCTCTGTTGTACGGGTTTGAGTATGAACAATCTTACCTGGAACAAAGACTCCTTCCGGCGGTGCAATTGAACTTGTCACGACTGTCATGATGAATCAAGTAAGGGGGTTAGCTGCCTGTTGTCGAAATGCCCCTAGGGTTGTACGACGTTTCCTCGGTATTTCTTATGTTTAATCCCTAGTAGTTTTTTTCAATGAAAATGCGACATCTCCGTTATAGGAGACAATGACCTCACGTACTGCCAAGAGTGGGTTGTTCCTGCATAAGTGGGGTGTCGGAAGACGGAAAAGCGACCAAAAGAAATTCCCGGATCCGGCTCCGTGGAGGTGTCTTACGGGCATTTTAGATTTGCATTTTATGTCAACTCCATTTTCCAATTCGCGTTAAGAACAATTTAATCAGTTTCTTTGCTTCAAGTCTAAGTCAAGATGGCAATGAATCGATCGTTCAAATTGAATTCGGGTTACAGCATCCCAGCTGTTGGACTAGGAACATGGCAATCAGGCCCGAACGAAGTCAAAGAAGCGGTTGCAGCGGCACTCAAAATTGGGTATCGGCATATCGATGCAGCAGCAGTGTATGGGAATGAATTTGAAGTGGGAGAGGGAATAAAAGCTTCAGGGGTTGACCGAAAGGATATTTTTGTGAGGCTCCCCCAACAAAATACTCGAAAACAAAACTGACATTTCGCGAGATCACGGGAAAACTCTGGAACACGGATCATAAACCTGAAGATGTTGAAGCTGCTCTTGATGTGACTTTGAAGGATCTCCAAACCGATTATCTCGACTTGTATTTGATCCACTGGCCTGTTGCGTTTCCAAAATCTTCTGAAAGGTTTCCAGTAGATCCAGTCACGGAGCAGATTTCAGTGATCGATGTACCAGTCGCAGAAACATGGAAAGCAATGGAGGAACTTGTGAAGAAAGGCAAAGTACGAAGTATTGGTGTCAGTAATTTCACTCAGGCGAAGATTGAATCTCTTCTTACAACGTGAGTTTGGCTCTCTCTTTGCTAGGAATTTCTCTGATCATTATTAGAGCGGAAATCCCACCAGCAGTTAATCAAATTGAGGCACATGCGTACTTACAACAACCTAAACTGCTGGAATGGTCAAAGAAGGAGGTAAGATTCTCAAAAGTCCCCTACCTTTCGAACATTCTACTGAATAGCAACAGAACATTGTAGTAGCAGCGTACAGTCCGTTGGGAAACAACATCTACAACCTTCCAAGAGCTGTAGATGATCCGACAATCATTAATCTAGCAAAAGATATGGACAAGCAGCCTGCTCAACTGCTCATCAGCTGGGCCATTCAGCGAGGTACTGTCGTTCTTCCGAAGAGTGTCACTCCTTCTCGGATAGCAAACAACTTCCAAGGTAAATCCGGAAATTATGATATTCGTGATTACAGTTTGACAATTTCTTAGATTTTCAACTACCTCAAGAGGTGTTTGAGAAAATCACAGCCTTGGATAGGCATCATCGTTATAATTTCCCAGCCCGTTTAGGTGTTGATATTTTCGGAGAGGTCAGCGAGGAGAGTTTGAAGAAAAGTGTTGAAGACTGGAAGGTAGCTCAAAGAAAATTGAAAGCGGCTTCATAAAAGAAGTTTTTTTTTTTTAGCAATATTTTCAATTCAATACATTACCAATCTCTCAGAATTCTAGCGCCTGTCCCAAAACCTGCTGAAAATCAAGTGGATTTTACCCCGCTATCGCCGCAAATCTACCCCGCCAGGCCCCAACAACTTTTTCTATGCTCTATCCGGGCCCGATTTCGGACTTAATCCCAGTCTTCCGAACACATTTCGGCTTCCCGGGATATCTATATCCGAAAAGTGAGGGGGGTACATATGGAAGTCTCTTATACCGTTACACACCTCACACACCACCACCAACCCCACGAGCCAAGATGCCAAAAATAGCACAGATCGAGTACTTTCGTGTGCCTCCACGGTGGCTATTTGTCAAAATCACTGACGATGCGGGGAATATTGGGTGGGGTGAGGCGTCTTTGGAAGGCCACACCCAGGCTGTAGAAGGATGTCTGGATGCTTACATTGAGCGGTATACCGGGATGGATGCTGAGTAAGTGGTACTTTGCGGCTACGCACGTGACTCAACTGATGTGGTCAGTGATATTGAGCATATTTGGCAGACTACATGGCGAATTGGGTTCTATAGAGGTGGCCCAGTGTTTATGAGTGCGTTGTCCGGAATCGATATTGCGCTTTGGGATCTGAAAGGTATGAGCCAGAGCAACAACATTGCAATGCAAGTTGACAAAGAACAGCCAGGAAACTGGGAGTACCCATCTATCAATTGATTGGTGGGAAAGTAAGGGATAAGATTAAAGTATATGCCTGGATTGGAGGGGATCGGCCATCTGATATTACGGCTCAGGCGTGAGTGTTTCCCCATTGATGCTTTGAAGTGAGTGCTGACCATAAACAGTGAAGCAAGGAAAGCTCAGGGGTTCACCGCAGTCAAAATGAACGGCACTGAAGATCTGGGATGGTTAGATTCTCCTTCTGCCCTAGACGATTGTGTCGAGAGACTCAAAGCAGTTAAGGCTGTTGGCATGGATGCGGGCATTGATTTCCACGGACGAGTTCACAAGCCCATGGCCAAGCAGTTGGCAAAAGCACTTGAACCTCACCGTCCACTCTTCATCGAAGAGCCTCTACTCTCGGAACACCCAGACGCGATCAAAGCTTTATCTCAGCTGACATCTACGCCTATTGCACTTGGAGAGCGTCTTCATAGCCGATGGGATATTCGCCCTTTTTTGGAATCTGGAGCAGTTGATATTTTGCAACCAGACATCAGTCACTGTGGAGGCATCTCAGAGATGCGACGAATTGCAGCCATGGCAGAGGCATATGATGTTGCTATGGCCCCTCATTGCCCTCTTGGGCCAATTGCACTTGCGGCAAACGTACAAGTAGCTGCCGCGACTCCGAACTTTGTGATTCAGGAGATGAGTTTGGGGATTCATTACAATGCTGGGAGCCAAGACTTGACAAGTTACAGCCATAACCCTGAGGTTTGGAAGGTGACAGGAGGCTATATTGATCTGATGAAAGGACCCGGACTTGGAATAGAAATTGACGAGGAACAAGTAAGGAGGTTGTCCAAAGGAGCCAAGGCTTGGGTCAGTCCGGGCTTCATTGGACCAGGAGGTGAGGTAAGAGAGTGGTAAAACTCTTAGAGTGTGATCAACCCAATTCTAACAATACTTTTGACACTGTTTGCGATATTGAATTTATCAACCACGTGAGATTCTTAAAAAGGGGGTGGGGCGGGAACGAATCAGGCTTAGTGCCTTTACGAGGATCCTTTTCCGTAGCTTTTATCCGAACGTTTTCCCCACCTCTTCCATGTTTTGTCTGGCCATAAAGCACTCCAGCCAGACTTCAGACACATACGACATGGCGGATAATATTCAGCTTTCTTCTCCGAATCACGGTTCGGATGAGACGCATGAGGACCATCCTAATTTCCAAACATCCGCCGCGAAGCGACGCAGAAAGGATGATCGGGACCGAACACGTGTCAGCCGGGCTTGTGACCGCTGTAAGAGGTAGGTTTTCCATATCCGGCCTTTCATTTGATCTGACTTCAGGCAGGAAGAAGACTCGCTGTAGCGGAACTCGGCCATGTACACTCTGCTCTCACGCTGGGTCCGTTTGTGAGTTCACCGCGCCGTACACCCGAGGTCGCGTTCCATCTGTCCCTGTCGAGGAGAATATCAATGCAACTGGCGCAAATGTGCCAGGGGAGAATGTACGTTCTGTACTGGAAAGCAGGCACCCGATCCCAGGTACATCCGATCAAGTGACTGGGGCGTTAGACGCGTTTGCTTCAGCGCCACATTTGCTAAATCAACACGAAATAAATATGGGCCAATCACAACTTCCGAATACCAGTCGAGTGGCTTCAAGAGCTCAATCGTCAAGGAATTCGACTGAGCCCCCACAAACCGATCTACAAGGCCACTACGTAGGTAATTCTCGACTTGCCCTTCTGAATGTCCTTCAAGCGTGGGACATTCAGGATTCAAAAGAAATCTCCGAATATCCCAGATTCTGCAAAACATTGAACTCTCCTGATCAGGCTGACTTTAAACCAGGTGGGGCCTTCATCCGGGGTCTCGTTTCTTTTGAGGGTGCAAAAGAAGCTCCACCAGAAAGTTTCTTTTTCGCCAAACTCGTCAATATTTACGTTTGGTGATGCTCCTCTTCCGGAATTTGATCCATCTTTCTTCGTCCTGCCTCCCAAAGACGACGCACGGACGCTAGTGGCAAGATATTTCGAGTTCGCAGTTGCAACACATCGATTCCTCCATCGCCCAACAGTAGAATCTTGGCTAGAAGAATTTTACGGGGGTCTCGGAGTATGTTGTCCCAGTTTTCGATCTTCCATTTCAATGTCTCCTGAAATCCGGATCATGCAGTTCCTTGCTAAACCCAATGTTCCACAAGCTCTGCTACTTACAGATTCGTTTCCCTTCAGTTCCTCCCCGTATAGCAAAGTTATATTTCATTGCTAATTAATACTGGATTCCAGGTGATGAAGGATAAAGAGGGTGCCCGAGAACGGACCGCGGTTCTGTTTATGGTCTTTGCGCAGGCGACTGAGTATATGACTGAGAGGACCAAACCCACTGGTGTCGATACGAGTGCCCGTTATTTCCAGATCGCGGATCACCAACTGTCCTCTGAAACAGGGGAGATTCGCCTTACCAGCGTGCAAGCTCGTTTGTGTCAGTGCTTCTACTTGCTTGCTCGATCCCGGGTGAACCATTGCTGGAGTCTTTTTGGGACAACCGCTCATCTCATCCTTGCGATCGGAATACATAGAAAGCGCCGGGTTGAAGCATCTAATGGAGCTGATATGGTAGAGATTGAATGCCGTAAGAGAGTCTTTTGGTGCGCATATGGTCTGGATAATTATCTCAGTGCCGCTCTGGGAAGACCTAGGACGTTTCACGACGATGATATTGACCAAGGTAAGAACCTCTACCCGCACCTTGACCAATAAACCTAAAGAACAGCGAAGAATTACCATCCTGCGTTAATGATTCTGACCTCACGCCTCAACGAATCAATCTCAATGCCTCAAAGTCACAGTCGATAATGATGGCTTCCGTCGCTCACAACACGCAAGTCTTTACATCTCGGTTCGATAGCTTAGACTTACACAACTTCAGATTAGCAAAGATACTCAGCAATATATTACACGACCTTTACTCAATTCGACCTCCATCAATGCCAGTCCGGGTATGTCCCAAAGCTTATTTTCTTCCTTCCCTAACTATCCCCCGAGCCCAAGAACGTCCAAAATTCCTACTTCCTCAATGTCTCAGGAAGTTCTACAACATTTGAAATGCCCCCGAAGCTGATTCTTGCGTCCAGTGTTCGCTGAGCTTTAAATATTCAGATGAGCTCCTGAACTGGCGGAAAGGCCTTTCGAGATTCCTGGATGCCGAAGGTGTCGACACTTCTCTACTCATCCCATTATTCCAGCGCCAACGTAATGTCCTCAATCTAGCCTACTACCACGCTTTAATTCTAGTTCACCGCCCATTCCTCCTGAGCAATTTCGCTAGTCTGAACAGCCGAAAGGGAAATACTCTTGGAGCGCCAGGCACGCCCGACATGGATAGGAATGTCACGGAATGTTTGAATGCGGCTATGAAGATTACAGAGATTGTCGACGAGTTGACCGAAGGACATCAGATTTTCCGTGCTTTCTGGGTAAGGTATCTCTGCAGCGGACAAACTGGTAACTGACGTCTTTCGAAGTTTACGCAGTATTTTGCATTTTGTGCTGTGGTCGTACTGTATGTCTATACCATTCAACAACGGAATGCAGCTCAGGATAAGTACCGCGAGTACTTTGACGCGGCTGCAAGGTGTCAGAGGCAAATATCTTCTATGGCTGAGAACGAGTCACTTGCTCAACGATACACAGTTGTTCTCGAAGAACGTAAGCGAGCCCCTTTTCCGAAATTCAGTGTCCCGTGACAGATGATACTTTATTTTCAGGGCTTGTGGCACATCGGTTTTTATCATAAATAACAATTGACCTTGACCTTGTGTAGTACGTCTCGAAGCAATAAAACAAACTCAACGTCCGATATCCCACGAGAGTGAACTTAACCCCACGGTACAACCGAACTTTTCAGTTCCACAAGCTGTCATGCGGTCAGGTCAATCTCTAGGTATTTCGGGTCAGTATTCATGTATTTAAATGTTTCATATGTCATTGTACATTTGAATCTCCCTTTTCATTAAGGTTTCACGAATGGAGGTGAATTTGTATTACTTTAGCGAGAGAGTGCTAACTTGCTGATCTTCCAGACCATGGAAGCAATCAAGATGGAGTGCAACCAGTGGTGGGCAGCATGTTTTCCGCTCCTGACCCAACCATGTTTGGCGATGGTCAGCACTCTACGACTCCGTCAAGCTTGATGGCCGAGTTGACCAGCTGGGGCGAGTTTGATTCTCTGGTAACAGCAGGAATTGGGGGACTGGACTATATGTTCTTTGGAGATTCGACACAATCTTGGGAGCACAACACGGAAAATGAGGCTAACGGAATGCTTCTTTAATGAGATCATAAGAAAATGATGGATGCCTCAACACGAAAAGACTGTGGCTTGGGAAAGCGACTCTTTCTAGAAACGCAAGCTAACATCTCTATGTCATGCACACGGATTTGCGAACGGACACGCAAAATCACAATCCATTTACTTCACTCCTGCTAAGCCCTCAATCAAGCACAAGATTCCGACAGCTCCCGGGTCGGGAACAATGTTCCAGGCGCCTTCTTCCACATATACCGCCCTACCAAAAGTAGCTTTCATACCTTTCGTCGCTTCGACGCCGGCCTTCGCTCTTGCAACTGCTATGTCAACAGTATCTCCATTCGCGATGCTCTCTATGAAAGGCTCAAGAGCATCCATCAATGTTCGATCACCTTGTCTTGCTGGTGTTGCCGATTGCAACTGGGAAAGGGCGGCTTTCCCTACAGTACCCCAGGTTTGAGTGTCGAGTGTCCGCTTTGACGGTGGTATGGACTTGATAGCCGAAACAAGAGCCGCTAGGAATATGCTAAAAATGGCTCCGGATGTGCCATCCATATTGTCTTCGATGATATTGGCAATTCGGAGCATGGTCTCACCGGCGTTTGAACTCAGTTGTGTAGAATTGACAAACGACAATACCGCATGTGCCCCACGAGCGAGGGTCATGCCGCAATCGCCATCACCAATGATGGTATCGAAATGTGTAATTTGTGGCTCAGCAGCAATCACGTTTTCACACGCTGCAGACACCCTGCTCTTGAAAATTAGGACCTCTACTACTAAAAATGTTAATTTGTGTTCTGTATTCCCAGCATTGACGTGCAGCAAACTTACACTCAATTCCACCTTGGATCAAATTGTCGTTCTCTAAATCAGTCTCGGATTCGACAAGACGAGAAACTTTTTCTTTCCATATCGAGGGTTGAAACGATGGCGCGGACCACCCAATGGCTTTTGTTGGGGTGTCAATGTACTCAATCATCTCCGAGGTTGCTTTCAACAGTGTGATGCTGAATCCAGGTCCATCAAGACTGGTCATGAATGTGCCCGATAGGACTCTTGAGATTTTCATTCCTCGGAATTCTACACCAATGTCAGCGCCATTCAGAGGTCAAGACTACAGGTATACGCACTTAGAGCTGCCGCGACGTGTTTGGTGATGCCTCCTAGCTCCAGTGCAGACACACTGCCAAGATTGTTCACGAGAAGCACAATATTTTCAGCGTCCTGTAAATTCGCATATGCTCTATCCGAGTCATTCATGTTCAAAAGCTGGTCAAGCATCACGTCGACCAGGTAGGGCAGATCAGGCTGTAGGCTGAGCACTCGGCACCCTGTTTCGTTGTGGATTCCCATTCCAAGCTCAATCTGCTCAACTTTTGGATGCCCATGTCCATTCGAGATTGCTCGCCCAGGAATATGAACATGGTCAAGAGACGCTCCAACCGTTACAAGGTTGGAAGCCACCAACTTCCCCGTCTTGACCAACTCTTCGAAAGATACCCCTGGCTTCCTGCTCATAGCACCCAAGATTTTATGGACAAAAACTGTTCCGGCTAATCCTCTCCTCCCAACTTTTCCACTTCTCTCCCTGCCAACAGAGACATCATCACCGACGACAATGATCTCTACTTTCAACCCGTACTTGGCGCGAGCTTTCTCGGCAGCGAGATGAAAGTGGAAGATGTCTCCAGTATAGTTTTTGATGATGAGTATCGTTCCGGCTTTACCTCCAACTCGAGCGATGGTATTGACAATTTGAGAGACATTTGGCGACGCGAATATGGAGCCTGATACTGCTGCTGTGAGGAGACCTTCGCCGACATAGCCTGCATGTGCCGGTTCGTGTCCCGCACCACCACCAGATATAAGGGCTACTGTTGAAGATGGATCATGGCCTGAGAGGAAAATGGCTGTATATCGCCAGTCAGTCAATGTTCTCCGGAGTTTTCGTCGGAAGGTAGCATGCATACCTTTGTTGGTTTTGTCGAATCTTAAGGTTGGGTTAGTTATTGTTAGACTCTCTAAGGAGTCCAACACGAGTGATTCTGCTTCGTGGAAAAAGTGCTTGGTCGACATTCTCAAAGACGCAGAGTCATGTGACCCTATTTCCTCGTTAAGGTAGAGAGTCCAGAGATTGATTTTCTGCCATGGAATGCGCCATTGATATCAATTGGGTAATTCCTGCGGCAGGAAATCGGAAGCAAGGCCAGAAAGGTTTGAAGGATGCAGGGCGTTTTCCACACAATCGAACAGTTTGAACTTGAGTTTTCCGGGTTCGGAAACACGGGATTGGCCGGAAAACAAGGAACGGGTGACTCGTGCCACGGATATTCATCAACGCAAAGCTAGTGGACACAACTCCACTATGGCTCCATCACACATTAGGATTGGCCTCGGTTTTCCGCCCGATGAATCTTCAAGGCCCAGGAGCAGAATTCGCGATCAATTCCGAGGTCAGCAAAGGCGAATCCGCGAACCTTTCTCGCTATCAACACCTAGCCTATCCCTAGGATATGGAAATGATGGCGGTCCCCTATTCCGCAAGCTTTTATAACCATACCAGAATTCTATGATTTCAATTTACGAGTCTCAGGAGACTGTACTACCGAATTTCTTCACATTATGTCGACGACATTCACGACCACGAGGGCAATTGCCACGGCGGCTTCGAAACCTGACAATGTGGACGTTGAGATCAATGAGATCAAGACGCCAATGATGTACTCTGTCGACGATTTACTTTTCAATCGAAGTCAGACGATTCCGGATATTCCCTTGGTTGGGTATCCAGCGACAGCTCGAGGTCGATCAGGTTATGTTCACTACACCGCTCGAGATCTGGATCGGTTTGCAGACCATGGAGCACGGAAATACGCTTCACTCGGAATTGAACCCAAGGTAGAAACACTTAGCAACCGAAGTGCGAAGATGTGTCTAACATCTCTCAGAGTACTGAATCTGACGAAGCAGAGGTCGTGGCGTTGTTAGCACCTTCGAACCTAGATTATGTGGCCTCAATTTTCGCTTTATCCCGGTTGGGCTTCGCAGTCTTACTCCTTTCAAATCGTCTTTCCACTGAAGCCTACGTTTCACTGCTTCAGAAAACCAAATGCCATCGAATAATTAGCTCGGAGAACCACGCCAAAGCCGTTGCAGCCATTCAAGCTGATATGCAAATTTCTCAATATCCGCTATTCAAGCAGTCAGATTACGACATTGAGCCGGCCATGTATCCCCGGTTTCGAAGGCAAATGAGTGGCCCTTCTGCCTCCAGCCGGACTGCCTTCATCATTCATTCTTCGGGTTCGACGGGCCTTCCGAAACCGATCTTTCAAAGCCACGGTGCTTGTCTGTCGAACTATTCCAGCAGTTTCGGTTACCGTGCATTTTTGACACTTCCCCTTTACCACAATCATGGCCTCTCTTCTTTCTTTCGGGCCATGTATTCGGGAAAGGAAATCTCAATGTTCAATGCGAACCTACCATTGTCTGGCAGCAATCTGATAGAGGCTATGACGGCGGTGAATCCAGAGAGTTTTCACGGTGTTCCATATGCTTTGAAACTGCTGGCTGAGACTGAGCGCGGCATTCAAGTTTTGAAAGATTGCAAATTGGTCCTCTTTGGTGGAAGCAGCTGCCCCGATGACCTGGGAGATCGCTTGGTTGAAGCTGGGGTTTATCTTGTAGGGCATTATGGAGCGTGAGTTTCCCTCAAATGCCTAAAGTCACGGATTATGAGTGAAGCTAAATCTATCTTAGTACTGAAATGGGACAGCTCATGACCTCCTTCCGACCAGCTGAAGACAAAGCATGGAACTATGTCCGCCCGCTTCCTAAAGTCGAACCATACATCCTCATGGCACCTCGGGCGCCGAATACGTTCGAATGTGTGGTACTCGACGGCTTACCTTCCAAAGTTGTTTCAAATTGCGATGATCCTCCTCGTTCATTCAACACCAGCGATCTCTTCAGCCCCCACCCCACCATCCGCAATGCATGGAAGTATCTTGGACGTCTCGATGACCGTGTCACTCTTGTGAATGGAGAAAAGGTTTTGCCTATCCCATATGAACATCAAATTCGAGAGCATGAGCTCGTCCGAGAAGCGTGCGTCTTTGGCGTGGGGAGAGCACTTCCAGGTCTCATCATTGTACCAAGCGAAAAAGCACACGGAATGAGCAAGAAACGTTTGCTTGATATTTTGTGGCCTGTTGTTGCAGGAGCAAATGCCAGAGTTGAAAGCTTCAGCCACATTTCTCCAGAGATGATCGAAATCCTCGACGTTGATGCCGAGTACCCATGCACCGACAAAGGGACTATGATTCGAGCGGCGTTCTACAAGAAGTTCGAAGATTTGATCAATTCTATTTATATCAGATTTGAAGCCCCAGCTGCAGGGAGAAGTGAAGGGGGTCTGATACTTGATCATGATCAACTCAAATCTTACTTATTCGACATCTTTAGAGGAAAGCTGGGTTTCGAGGGACTGAATGAGTCTTCGGATTTCTTCGAAGCTGGCGTGGATAGTTTGCAAGCAATCACGGCACGAGGTATCATGATGAGAGAACTCAATCTCGGGTCTAAGATTCTCGGTCAAAATGTTGTTTTTGAATATCCAAATGTTCCAGCTCTTGCATTACATTTGTACTCCCTTCGCACCGGCGAAGAATCGTATCAGACCGATGAGATTGAAGTTATGAGGCAGCTCATCCAAAAGTATTCAAAATTCAGTTGCCATGTTGCCGGACCAGACGTCCCAGACGGGGAGGTAGTTGTAAGTACTTGTGCTGCAATATTCAGGCTTGCCTTCTAACTCTGTATTTAGATCCTTACCGGAGCTACTGGATCTCTTGGTGCCCATGTTTTGGCTCAGTTGGTCACCAAGAAACATGTCAAGACTGTGTACTGTCTTGTACGGGCATCATCACATGACACAGCTCGAGATCGTGTGTTTACAGCTCTTGAAGCTAAAAAGATTGATCTTCCTAAACATGGAATCAAAATTGTCTGCTTTCCATCCGATCTTAGTCGAGATGATCTCGGGCTCGATAAATCAACAGTTCATCTCCTCCGGAAGTCACTTACAACAGTCATCCATTGCGCTTGGGCGGTCAACTTCAATCTTGGCGTTCAAAGTTTTGAGAAGCAGCACATCAAGGGGACATACAATCTGCTGAATATTTGTCTCAGTGTCACAACACCATCACCCGCCAAGCTATTCTTCTGTTCCTCTATCTCCGCAGCTGCAGGCACACCTTTGCCAGCTGTCATCCAGGAGACTTACATTTCTGATCTCTCGCATGCTCAGAATATGGGATATGCACGGTCAAAATTGGTCACGGAGACAATCATCAAAGCTGCCGTAGAGCAGACAAGAATGGTTGCCAAAGTCCTGCGAGTGGGCCAGATTGTTGGAGATACGCAAAATGGCATGTGGAACAGCACCGAAGCAATCTCGTTGATGATACGAAGTGCAACTACGATCGGCGCTTTACCCGCGTTAGAAGAGGTGAGTACTCGTTGCTATCGACATTTAGGTACTTTTACTCATTCCTTTAGACTCCATCTTGGTTGCCTGTGGATATCGTCGCACACGCCGTCCTTGAGCTTGCCCAAATCAACAAGCGCTCACCAAGCCCTTCAAGATTTCCGGCTGAAGCCGAAGACGCATCAGTAGTTTACCACGTCCAGAATTCCCGCTTCTTTCACTGGACAGAAGATCTCTTACCTGCCTTACGCGACGCAGGGCTGGAGTTCGAAACTGTTTCTCAGCGAGTGTGGGTTGAGCGTTTACGCAAGAGCGAGAAGGACCCAGAGAAGAATCCTACCATCAAGCTCCTCGACTTCTTTACTGAGAAATATGATAATGATAAACCTGGGCGAAATGAACTCGTATTTTTGACCGGTAAGACAGCGGAGAATACTGAGGCGATCAGAGATGGGTATGATGTTGTTGGGAGCGGGCTTGTAAAGAAGTTTGTTGACAGCTGGAGGCTTGAATGGTAGTGGAATGGTTTTGGTAAATAGCTGGAATTTCCATTCTCATTTCCTCCGAGCAATAATTTGAAATGCTATGAACTATTAGATCGATATCCATGCTCCAAGCGTGCCCCGACTTATAGGGTGTTTTTATGGCAATGGCCTAGAATTATAGGGTAATTTAGTGACCGAGTGCGCTAGAAACAAATACTGAAGTGCCGTTAAAGCACATACGCCCTGCAATCCTGCCACTTTGCGCCGTGATCTTCGTACAGTGGCCCGCCTGGTCTCACACTTGTGATGACCGCACGAATGCGCTCAAGCGTCAATACGCCACTTCACATCCGGGATGTACTGTAGCATCCGGCTACCGAATTACATGAACTTGAGAATAATTTCTTTTCCATGTAGATCAATACTCAGTAAGCACCCGGATCGACAACCGGAAAACCGTAACCTCAAATTAAACCCCGCTTTCAATCCACCAACGAGAACGATAGGCATATGCGAGGCTGACATCAACCCGAACCACAGGACTTGAGGTTGACGCCGGGGCCCCGGACCCAACGTTGCTCCAGAGTGGGCAGTGGGTCCATAAATTCCAAGTCATTTCCCTCTACATTTGCATTCACGTCGAGGGATCCTCACCACCAAGCACACTCCTGCTATCATCAGACCACAAAATGGCAGACACCATCAGCCAACATCAAGAAATCCCTTCTACGGTCCCCAGCAAAGACATGAACAAAACCAGCTTCGACCAGCTCGAGCTGGTAGAAGATGCATCCGTCCATAACAGCGTCCCAGGCAAGCAGTCCCGAGCTCCCGAACTCGTTCGCAACATGACCCCGGAGATTCGAGAGAAACTCGAGAATTCCCTGAGGAAGAAGATTGATCTTAGGTTATTGCCTATGATCGTTCTAATGTATATTCTGAATTATCTTGATCGAAATAATATTGCAGCTGCGAGGTTGGCAGGCTTGGAGAAGGATTTGAAGATGCATGGAAATCAATTTCAGGTCAGAAAATTCTCTTTCTGTGGTTTATTGATAATTTCTGAGTGCCTGCAAGACCTCTGTCAGCATTTTGTTTGTGGGTTACTTGTTGATGCAAGGTATGTATCCATCCTCATCATCAACAACAGGGTTGATACTCGTCGCTGATACCCCGCAGTTCCTTCCAACATGCTCCTGAATAAACTCGGCAAGCCATCGCTATATCTTCCAGCATGTATGGTGGTTTGGGGTATTATCTCAGGAGCAACCGCTGCTAGTCAAACCTTTGGGGGCCTACTTGCTTGCCGATTCATCCTCGGTTTCGTTGAAGCAGCCTACTTCGTGCGTCCATCTCACCCCCGACATCCTGAATATTGACATTGACTGTCAACAGCCGGGATGTCTCTATTACCTCTCCGCATGGTACACCAGAAAAGAACTCGTCAAACGTACAGCCGTCCTTTATTCCGGATCCCTCCTCTCAGGTGCCTTCTCGGGTCTCATCGCAGCTGGTATTACGAACGGTCTTAATGGCGCCAAAGGACTCTCAGCTTGGAGATGGCTCTTCATCGTCGAAGGAGCATTAACTGTAAATGCTCAGGTCCGTCAAAAATAATATCTGTACTAATTGGCGCAGGTCTTCGTTGCCTTGTTCACCTTCTTCATTATCCCCGATTTCCCACGAACCACCACCTGGCTCACCGAAGAAGAGAAACAACTCGCTGCATGGAGACTAGATGAAGACATCGGAGAAGACGACTGGGTTAACAGCAAACAGCAAACTTTCTTGCACGGTGCAAAACTGGCTGTTAAGTACGCTTGCTCCCCTTCCACCTCCATCCCGCGTACCCCGAACTCACAAACAACACTTCCAGAGATCCAAAAGCCTGGCTACTCCTCGCAACGACATACGGTTTCACAGCGGCCGGGACAGTGACGACTTTCTTCCCCACGTAAGCAAGCGCCTTTCGCAGCTCCTTTTTTGCATCGAAAGCTTGAAATGAACTGAATTGATATGATGTGGGACACAGCGTAGTCAAAGGCCTCGGCAAAAACAACATCACAACTCTTTTGCTCACCGCACCGCCATACCTCATCGGCACGATCGCTATTCTGACTAACGCCTGGCACGCAGATAAGACGGGAGAACGATATCTGCACATTGTGCTTCCGCCAGTCGTTGCAATTGTGTCATTCATCATCGCTGTGACGACGACGGCTTTTGCGCCGAGATATTTGTATGTCGCTGCACTTCTTACCCGACACCCTTCTCCTTTCTTATAATCCAATTTCATCACGGCTCGGCTGACGATCGTACAGCGCAATGTGCATAATGGTCGGAGCAATCTACTCAGGCTACGTCGTAACACTCTCCTGGATCTCAAACGTCCTCCCCCGCCCACCAGCAAAGCGCGCCGCCGCCCTGGCAGGAATAAACGCGCTAAGCAACGTCTGCCAGATCTATTCTCCCTTCTTATACCCTTCAAATGATGGACCAAAATACGTAAAAGCAATGGCTGTGAACCTCTCTATGTCAGGTATGAGCATTATATTTGGCACCATTTTGCGTTTCTATTTGGTGTCTTTGAATAAGAAGCTGGATAGAGCGGATCGAGGGGAGGAAATTGATGTTGTGAGTGAGTTTAACGGGGCGGGAGGGAGTGATGGGGAAGGGAGGAAGAGGGAGGTAGAGGAGAGGGGGCTACCTGGTCTTGCAGTGGAGAGAGGATTTAGGTTTTTAGTGTAAGAGGAGAAAGGGGATGAAAGTGTAGAATTATTTCTATTGAAATGCTTTCTGGCACCCCTTGATGCTCGCTCACATGATTTATGTTTATTTCCGTCTTTTATGCCTTTTATTCTTGCTGTTCTTTTGCCTCTTGTGCTTCAATTGGTTCTGCCTTCGCTGTTGTTTATGCCCCTTGAATTCCATCAAATGATTTTCTCGGCAGTCGGCTCCTCAGTGTCGATCACAACCTCGTCTGGGCTTGAATCGCCGTTCATTTGCTCTCCTGGTTTTGTTGACTCATTTTTCATCTCATCTCCATTCTTTCCCCCGTTGACAACCGGGTCCGTTGTCTCCGTGGACTCTTTCTCCTTCGAGTCTCCACTAGATTCCTCATTAACAACAGGTCCCTGCATCTTGCTCGTATCCTTCAATCCGTTATCTACTTCCTTCTCTCCATTGACAACGGGTCCCTCCGCCTTCGCTTCTACGCCCTTCTCATTTTCGACGACTGCTTTTACTTTAGCAATGGCTTTACCAGCAGCCCCGAGATCAGCAGACTCCATAGTCTTAGCCAACAATTCCATCGTCTTCCTCTGCCTTCTTTTGGCCTTCCACTCTGCCACTTTCTTGGCATGTGCCTTTGCTTCCTCCATCTTTCTGTCCTCATCGGCCACCCAAGCTCCCATCTCCGAAGCAGCCAAGCCTGGGGAGTTGCGATGATTCAGTAAATATCCTTGCAGCTGGGCGGGAGTGAAAGTATTATCCGGGATCGCGCTGCTGAATTCCAAGGCGAGCCTTTGCAGTGCCCCCTCTTTGAGGTCGAGGTTCAGGTTTGGATGACTTGGATCGGGAGTATACATGCGTAGGAACATCAGTTCTGCACTTCTCTGTGAGATATTGTCAAGGAAGATCATCTTGTCAATCCGACCTGGTCTGATCAACGCTTTGTCGAGTTTGTGAGCCATGTTGGATGTCATCAGCACGATTCGGCCTTCCTGCGAAGCAACGCCATCGATCACATTGAGAACGCCGGAGAGAGTACAACGAGAACGCGATTTGCCATCGTCACTATCATCATCATCGTCTTCATCTTCAGTCATCTCGACTTGCCGCTTAATGCCAACAGCATCGATGTCTTCAAGTAGGACGATACATCTTGGTGGAAGTGCTGTGAATAAAGTTTCGAGCTCGCTGTCCGATCGTACACCCGGAAGGTGAAGTAAGTAAAGTTCAAGACCAAAATAGCCGGCAAGGGCAAGAGATAGTGATGTTTTCCCAGTTCCAGGCGTACCATGTAGAAGGTACCCTCTTCGGTAGGGAATGCCACGGGCCGTATAAAACTTGCGCGTGTTCGGATCCAGGTAGTTTCTGATATCAGCGACAAGCTCAGCTTTCGCGGTCTCGTCGAAATGGACTGTCTCCAGAGGTCGGATTGGCCTCAAAATTGTCACATCCCAAGAGTCTCTATTGTACTGTTGCTTGGAAGCGCGGACTGTGATGTATGACTCCCTCTGCTTCTCTGCAAAGTCACGGCATGTGTTGAGATACCTCTTGATAGGCTCCACTGAGCGACCCAGACACATCACGACGAGAGGTTCATCTCCCTCGGGAGCCGCAGCATATTCATCTGGCACGCCCATGACATAGCTTCGATGTGTATTGATCCGTCGTACCAAGAACACATTTCGCTCGAAAATGAACCATGTGGTACCGAAAGTGGGGAGATACTGAATTGGAACCCTCTTTTCGTGATTGAAGTCGTTTCTTTCTACATGATTTCTTCGGTGGTGCCATGCATCATTCTGGATAGTCTCCGTTCTTGCTGTGAGGATTCGAGTAGCTTGGCGGGTCAACACTTGAGCCCCAATCCAGTTGAGAATTTCCCTGTTGAGTCGGTCGCTGCTTGCAATAGAAATTGATGCAGTAAAAAGTGCTGTGAACCACCAGTAGACCTTCATGCCCAATCCTTTCAGGACCACCAAGGCGCTTGATATTGTGCCAAAGATTGTTAGAGCGGCCGCGAGAGTGGTGAGGTCCAGCTTCAGCCATGTCTTGAAGAAAGCTTGCATGAAGCCGAATCCAGGGGTCGATTGTTGAAGGATTTTCTGGAGAGAAGTACCAGTCCCCGCAGCCGCTCTGGCGAGTGCGACGGTGGAAGCCATGATGAGGCAATCCTAACGACCGAGAGGAGTCGTGGAGGAGAGACGAATTGAGCGAGCGAGGCTGGAAAAAGATTTTGCATTCGAAATGTGAGCGGTCAGAACGGGGTGCTCGTTCTTTTTGTAGAATATTGAAGGCGGCTGGTGCTTGTGGTGCCTGTGTCTCTCATGCATGCAGCCGCATGGGTGCCTAATGCATGTCAGCCTCGCCGTCACCAACACCGTAAAGCGCCGTGAGCGGGCCAAAAATGAAGCCAAATTGAGGGATGGGTTGGGATAGGAGCGACGATGTCCAGGAGTCACCGAGTACGAACAGGAAGCAGCATCCGATGCTTGCTGGGGCAAGTAGTCAAGACTCGGCCGCGATCATCAACTGCGGCCAGGGCCCTGAGGCCGTAAATGCTGGGCATGGGAGTATGTTTATTCTGAGAGATCCGTAACTTTGGTACCTAGCAAGAGAAAGGAGGGAAGGGGAAGGCAAAGCGATGGGAGTAAGTTCGTAAGATGAGGCACGTGACAACGCGATCCGAGCGCGTTGCGGGGTAGCTTCGCGACTTCTCCTGCTCTTCGACCTCTTCAGTCTTCACTCCAAAACTTCTCACCAGCTTCCAGACTCACCGCAATGGAGCATACCTTGCGCTGCAACGTGTTGAAGTGCCGCAAGGAGCTCAATGACCACGCAGTCGTCACAACCTGCAGGTGAGACTCGAAGCTGCGTCGAACTTCCAGTCTTTGCTCCTGCTAACCACCATCTCCAGCCATGTCTTCTGCATCGACTGCTCCAATCGCTGCCAACTCTCTGGCCAACGCGAAGGCGGACGGCCAAGCTGCCCTGCTTGCCATGTTTCCCTCACGAATCCCGATGATGTGGTTGTCACGAGCCTGAACCCAACCGAAGACTACAAGACCAGCGTTCTCAGCGGCTTGCATCCGAATATCATTATGGAGTGTGCTGGAAGGGCGCTGAGCTTTTGGGCATATCAGTCCACGCAGGAGATGTTAGATAGTTGAGCCGTGAGCTTCAGCACCTTGCTAACAGCCGTGCAGCACCTACCACGAATACTTGGCGAAGAACTTGACGGACAAATACGCATCTTTGAATACACAGATGGACAAGATCATCCATGATGCGAATGGCGAGATCTCTAATCTTCGCAACAAGATGTCGAGTAAGTCTATTTTTGAGGTTGATGCGAGATCGGTCTCACTGATACCTTGCTGCAGACATGCAGGTTGATCAAGATGGTCTTCGGAGAAAGAACGAAGAGCTGATCCAGACACTACGAGAGAAGAGCCGCAAGCAACTTCGGACCCAAGAACTCTACGATAAGTTGAAACGTCGAGCAATGATAGGCGAGGTTCAGAACGCAGCTTTGGATGCTGTTGACCAGAATATACAAGCGTCAGTTACAGTCAACCGATTTGTTGACAGAGTAGACAACCAGAATCAAAATCTCCGACCTCCACCACCTCCTCTCTTCTCAAATCAGCAGACAAGTGGAATGCAGCGTCTTGGCCTTGTTACTGATAATGGACCGATTGGAGGAGCACAGGTTGGCAGGGGCGGACACGGAGAGGACACTTGGGCCGGGTTCAGTAGCCAGGGAAGTGCTCAGCGCAAGTTCAACACAAGTCTCTTCCACAACCTTGTCTAACATTCATCACCAGAAAATCACCCTATCCAAACTCCTTCCACTCACCGCCAGCGCTTAGCTTCCGGAAATGTTCCTGTTCCACGGATTGGACTGGCCAATCTTCCAGGAAACAGTGTCCCTGCAGCACCGATGCCACAACACAGAGTTTCTCCACGGCAGCCACTGGCCAACCCCAATGGAAACAGTCCCGGGCCAGGCTTCGCGGGTTACGGAATGAGTGCTGGTTTGAAAGTCAGCAATCCAGCTGGATCTGGTGCCAACGGATTTTCCAGGCCTGTGGTTCGATCTAGAGGTACATAACTGCCTGATTAGCATTAGATGTTACTAATTTCTTCTCAGTTGCGCACCGCCCAGGCTCTGGATTTACAGCAAATAGTAACTCCGCTTTTGACACTTCCCTAGCACCGAACATGTTCTCAAATGGGGGTAACTATTACTGATTTACAGGATGGAAATCATCGATATTGCTATACCCTTTGCTTTACCTAGACTAATTTTTGCTTGCTAAGGATTGCTTGTTTTGAAAGCACTCGTACCCGTGGGATGTCTTTGGGCGATGTCACCTAATTTTGCTCTTTCACTGAATAGAAGGTTTACGCGGCGCGGCTGTCTACAACAAAGAGCTATGAGCAATGGAAATTGTGAGTACAGCAACTTTTACCGACATCAAAAATCATTTGTCTCTTCCCTGTGACCACTCTACCTCCACATTTTATCCAACCATCGAAAAGATTTCCAACTGCTATCACTCCCAACTTATTATCGCCAACCCTGGCTATTTTCCGGGAATCCAGTCCCACAACGTACACAACCAATCAGCACAATGAGACCCTCGACTATGCATCCACGATCACGTGTTTCTCCTTCCCTCCCTGTCGCAATACCAGAGCATCACCAGATGGCTTCCTCGTCTATGGTCCCTGAGCCCATTCCCACGAATCAGTCATGTCCTCACTTTCATCATCCGAGACGTGTTGTGAGAAGCCCCGAGGAGGCAATTGTCCTGCCTACTGCTCAACCAGTGAGCAGCAATTTCATGCACATGATAGCCCCAATACAGAGAAATGATGCAGCGACGCAGCTACTCCATAATAGCTGTCGCGGGGTCACCCTCGTGGAGCGAGTCTTTTATACTCCTGGGATGGAGCCGGTGATGGCGAACATGCATATAGAAGGATACCATGATCCTTCAATTTTTGTGTTGGCGGCCCAGAAATCACCCTGTATTGCCCCAAAGACGGTTCATCCAGTTCCTGCTGGGAGTGTGCCATACGTCGCTTAAGCCAGACTTCATCAGTCAGTCGTTGTACAGACCCTCAGCTCCAATATCCCTTAAAAATGCACCCACTCCCCCGTCGAGTTCTACCTCTTTCTCTGCATGAGAGTCCCGCTGTGGCGAGTGTTCGGCGTGCCATTCGTAGAGAGACGATCGTTGGGCTGGGAGACAGATTCAACAATCTGCTCTCCCTCTAACATCAGAAGCTGCGGCAGCAGGAATCTAAGCTAAATGGGCGCACTATAGGAGAAGGTATGAGCTGTAGTGCAGCGGAAATGAGGCGTTACGACGATGGCTCGAGGCGGAACAAGCTTTAGCGGGAAGTACACCAGAGCTGGATTCGTCGACTGCTGATACCGTCAGACTTACTGAGGATGATCCTCACGGTGGTAGATTCCAAAATCCCCAGACCAAGGCAGATGGAAGTCTACAAGCCAGCCGTTCCCGCAGCATTCTAGCTGCACTACTAATTTTAAATGGCACGCAGTTGTTAGGATATCGAAAATACCATAAAGTATTAATCTATAGTAGAGTTTGCCATTATAATGAAGATACAATAAAAAATCTTATTTCTAAAGTGGGCGGTAGGTTTGGTCGCTTGGCTAGTGGATCTTTCTATGGGTGCGATCTGAATTTGGCAGCGGTAAGAGAAGTCAATGTTTTCAGATTTTGCAATTTGAGATTTGAAGGGAAAAAAAGGGAGTTCGTGAGCCTTACTTCGAATGCCAAGAGTGCGACCGTGCATATATTTCATACAGCCAGATATCGCAGAATAAAAACAGAATTTTTAGAAGCAGGATAAGTGCTAGTAAGGGAGCATTCGTTCTCGGTTCATACCACGTCACTTCTACTGTGTCAACATTTGGTTAGCGCTTATATGCTAAATAGGTATTATGATGTGTAAGGTGACCTAAATGGCAAAGCTTATACTATTTAAACCTAACTAAATTATTACTACTTTTTGAGAGCTGTATCTTAACATATCGACTAAGGAGCGAAGCGACGCAAAGTTGACAGAAACTGAGCAGAAGTCGTTTTCCAAAGAAGAGAATATGTTCAAGAATATCTATGTCTTGAAATCGGTATTTTGCAGCTGTATGGTCGAACAAGGTACAAGAAAGCTGGGTGAATCAAGGCAGTGAAGCCTTGGTTGCTCTTCAAGGATGAGTCGACCATTGATGGTATATTCCACCACATTATCAACGCTATTAAGCTCACCGATGATCATGGTGTATAGAAATATAAGTTATGAATGTGCTGTTTTCGCACCAACAATGTCGAAAATAGACACAAATAGTACGTTTCTTGGTATGTGTGATTCCGTTCAAAATAGTTGCTTTTGAGGTAGATGGGGGACGATCGTGACACACACATGGCGACTCCATATACCTCCTAATATTACTTCCACGATGTTAATTGGTCCCGCCAAGTGTGTGGTGCATATTGTTATTTAACTTGTCCTTGGAATAGGCTGAACCCCCAAAAGTTATATATCCTTCTTAAACGTACGTGTTAAGAAACAGCGCCAAATCTGGGTAGGTACATCCTGCGAGAAATTGGAATATTCTCATTCGTGGTATTGCTTACGATTTTAACTGGCTAGCAGCAGTGTCGTCTTAGTCTTGACCAAAATCGTGTTAGTTTTGTCCTCATCTGGAGCTCGAAGGTGGTAAAACACTTTCTAGAATTGAGAGCCAGTGAAATGCTAATGGAATCTTATCAGGGATTTTATTCCGGTACCCGTTCCACTCAAGAAAACGAATACAAAGGGCGTGGTTGAGTTTATTGCAAATAAGCAGCTGACAACACCTAATTGGCCTTTGACCAACCCGACGTGCTCCTTCAATCGGGACTCACTGTGGAGCCCGAATCGTAATCAATCCACGATTGACGAACGGGGGGTACTTGTATTACATCCTCCCCAGCGTTTCCCTTCACGTACATGATCTCCAGAGGCGAATGGTAGCCTGGTGGCCGCGAGAAGGACCCCGGAGATCGTCTGGTGGCGGCGGCGCAGCAGTCTTGACCCCTGCAACCCAGGCTATCCCGCAGCCAACACGGGGCGCGATTTCAGCGCTCCTGACCCCTCTAACGGTCTTTGCCTCTTCTCGACGCACCCTCCTCCAATGATAATGTAAGATCTTACTTGATTTACCCGGCAAGCGCCAACGGTCCACACCACGTCATGACCGTCAAGTCAAAGTCGACGACGGACAATGTCTGAGAGAATATATTTCTTTCTGCTCCTTCGATTGTTCGACCCCACGCCGTCCATGGTCGTGGAGCTGATTTATCCTCCACATCCGAGGACTCGGAACGCCGCTGGCGTACGATGAATGACTCTCCAAACGGGATAAGCAGCGGGTGGTGAGAGTATGGCCTTCGCGCCTCCTTCGTATCAAGCTGCTGCGTACAGACAGCTGTGGGCGATTGTTGCGCCGTATGTGCACTTGTCTGACCTCTATGCCACGTGTTTGGTGTGTCGGCAATGGCATCAGGTCTTTGCTCCGCTGCTCTGGGGTGCTCCTGCGTCGAGATTTGGGAATGATAGCAATTCCGTCTATCGTAAGTATTCGAGCACTCTTGGATCTCAAGTCCTTCCTTCATCATTGAGACTTCCCCCTGTTCAAATGGCTCTGGAATGGAAACTCACGTGATCAGTTTCACTGACCAGGTTCAAACGTCTGCTTGCTCGAGCAAGACTCGATGTCCGACGTTTGGCACATACACTCCATATCCCTCCAGCTCAACCAGATTTCTACGATGGGCCCCAAGCAGGATGGCTCCGAGATATCCTGGATCGACTACCTTCCCTCCAAGCGTTGATCGTCTCGAACCTCGCCTTCTTCGACCACGAAGCACTGAAGACAATCCATCAATGCACCGAATCCACCAAGTATCCTTTACGGCTTCTGATCGCAGCGGACTGTCAAAATACAACAGCAACGAGCCTAGCATCAGCACTCTGCCATTTCCCGGATTTAATTTACCTGGATCTATCTTCCTCGCAAGGATCAAGGAGCCCGCTTGTTCTACGACAGATTGGTACTCTCAATGAACTTCGCATCTTGAAGTTGCGGGACTGTGGGTTGAGGGATGATGATATTGATTATTTGGCGTTCACGCCCCGTCTGAGAAGTTTGGATGTAAGCAAGAATTACTTGACGGAACGAGGTCTCTCCAAGATTATCGACCGGCTACCACCGGCCAATCTGCCGTACAGAAGGAGCGAGGCACCGTCAACTCTTTCTCGCCGGTATTCTGGTGTGCCGTTGCCAACCAAAGTGCTCGCTGATGGTTTGGAGGATTATGTTGCGAAACGACTGACCAGCGGACTTGATGGACATCTGATAATCGAGGAAGGTCTCCCATCAACGTTCACACATCTCTGGCTGGCTTCAAATTATATCACCATCGACGAGTTGAATAAGCTGCTCAATTATCCAAGTCTGCAACAGTTGGACTGTGGGTCATTGAACCTCAGTCAAAAACCAACTGAGCTGTTGTCTCCTTCCTCGCCAGCAGCACGTAGATTTTCCCATCCGCCCCCGGAAATTGAAGTCCTCAGCCCTGCTCTTTTCACGCACGCATTTCGAAACCTGAGATCTCTGCGTATACACCATTCTGTGATCACGAGTCATCCCTTCTCTGGCCAGGAGGTTGTGGTTGAGCAGCAGTGTTTCGAGTTACATAGTGAAGATCTGCGATATGAACTTGATTCGTCTGAAGTTTTCAAGCCGGGAACGATATTTGAGCTGGATGATACGAGTATCAATGTTCCTGAAATGCTAGATGAGTGCCTTGATCCGTCGGATCCTCCGCCAGAAGGACATCACGCCACATTCGAGTCTCCGGAAGATGTTGGGGTTGAAGAGATGCCAAGCTCGCCCATCACTATTGACAGAAAGACGAGCAATAAATTGAAAAGTCGCCCAGAATCGCAGAGCATCCCTCGCAAGCCCATTCCACCCCGGCTCCCGGTCTCAGCACGCCACAACACACCTCTCAGGCGTGCCACTCTCCCCACAACAAACTCAGTCCCCACGGGCCCTGAAACATTTCGCTATAATTACCGATCAGGAGAAGAAAGACACTGGCATGAAGCCCTCGCAAACCGGCATAAACCTACAACCCTCAAAGACCTAATCGAGGAAATCACGCAACGACGCCACCGCACTGAAGCACGAGAACGAACCCCCGGCCGCTTCAAGCCCTCAATGCTCCCCAACCTCAAAACTCTAACCTTGACAGACGTCCCATCTACAACCCACCGTCGACACGTCCCCGACTCCCTTGCGTTGTTCATCCAAGAATGCGGCGAAGAAGAAGAGCTCGCCCGACTCGAGGAGCTGACCCACTACCAAGACGTCAATCAAGCACCCCAATGGCGCCTCTACACCGCAACCTCCCCCCTCGGTCTCCAAAGGCTCGTCCTCGAAATGACATCCCACGCCGAGCCGCTCGCACCTCCCCGCTCGCCACGCCACAAACGCGAAAGCTTCACGAAATCCTCAACCGAAGATCCAGACTCCGAACTATTTATGCAGGAAAGCCAGAGTGATTTTTCATTCTTCGGGGAAGATGATGGGGGGTTGCTTGTTTCTGAGGGGAGGATCGATCGCGCGATTACTGTTGATGGAGGGCTGATTTGGGAGAGTGGGAGGGAGGCGCATGCGCTGGATGTAGTTGGGGAGTTGAGTGCGTGGCGGAGGGAGAAGAGGAGAGCTTTTGAGCGTGGAGGGCGAGTTGGGCGCGGTGTGGTTGAGATCGCGTTGTTGGGGCATTGGAGGGGGGAGATTAAGGTTGTGAAGGAGGTGGTGCCTGGTTGTTAGTTTGACGTTCTATGAAAGAGTGGAACTGTGGAGAGGCGGGGGTTGGATGTGCGCATGGATGGCTGGAACTTCGAAGAGCTTGTGCTTCTTGAACTTACTGCAGGACATTGGATCTTTGGAGAATCTTGAGTTGAAATATCCCACCAAAGGGACGTACGTAACATTGGGGAGGCTGGGAATTTGAAACAGACCTCAGGGAGGTGGAGCTAAGTAAACTTTGATCTTTATATGCATGATACCATTTACTTTCACTGTCACGTCACATTTCATTTGATTGAAGACAATTTTATGCTGCAAAGCTTTATTTATTCGCGCTATGCACTCCTCCACAGACTCCCCGGGTATCATTCATTCATTCATTCATTCAAAGAAAGCAAAGGCAATCCACAAACGCCACCAAATGGGTTTCGTACCCTCAAAGCGCAATCCAGCAGACAAGAAACCCCAAGCATTGCGAAGATCCGAAGAATCAGAATCCACAACCCAAGGTTTACTACCTGTCGAACGACGCGGAAAGAAGGCGGTGCTTAGTCCTTGGTCCAGGACCAGAACGAGCAACAGGAGTCGTAATAAGCTGTTTCCGCTTGTCAGTTTCCGTTTCGGAGGAAATCGGAGGTGGGAGGAGAGGAGAGAGGGAAAGGAGGGGGAGGAGAAGAACTCACGTTGACAATCCCCATCTTGACCACAGCCAAAGCTGTAGTCGCATTGACCATGGCATCCACCACTGCAGCAAGCCTTGACTTCCTGCGGGAAGCCCCAGGTTGCCGCGTCAGCGGTGTCGGTGGTATCGGTGGTGTCAACAGTGTTGACGGTTGCCTCCTCGGGAGTTGGGGTGCGGGTGTCGATGTTGCCAGCCATGAGAGCGAGAGTCGGAAGGGGCGTGGGTTCAGCGATGGCGACGGGGAGAGCGTTGCGGGCGAGAACCGGAGAGGTGGGTTCAGCTCGCTTGGTGTAGACTCCGGAGGGGAAACCGCAGCAGAAACGACCCTAGAATGAGTTCTATTAGCAGATGGACGCGTCGGAGGTGAGAGGGGGAGGATGTGAAAGGAGAAGATGGCAAAGCTTACAGCGGGACATTGGCGATCCTTGCCGCTTGGGCAGTCTTGCTTGAAGTTGCAGTCCTGGCAACCGTCCTTGCCGATGGACTTGCAGCAGACGTAGCCGACTGGGGTGGTCGGGTCCCATTCAGAGGAGGCAATGAACTTGCTGACTTCAGAGGCGGCGATGGACGGGTTGACCTCGTTGTCTGGGAGAGGGTTGGCGGTGACGAGGGCCCCGTAGGTCAGGACGAAGGCGTAAAGGGTGAGGACGGTCTGCTTGACACGCATCTTGACGGATGTGATTGTTGTTTGGTTTGTGAGAAGGCGGGTTGGGAGAACGAGATCGCGAATGCGCGCGGAGGTGTTTGGTAGGTAAGAGAAAAGAAGGGAAAATGAGGCGAAAAAGGTCGATATTTATACTTTTCAGCGGGACTCTAATTTAGTTTGAAAGAGTATGTTTGCTCTGTTTGCCCTGTTTGCCTTCAATACTTTATCATTGTTGAGAAGCGGGGTGAAGATATACACCTGCTAGACTGGTAGATGCCGAGTTCCGAGCCGGGTTGCCGCGGCTTTGCTAAAGGACAGGCAAGTGAGCGTTATCGAATAAATGCAGTAAGCGATTCACAGTTAATGAAAGATTGTAACCGTGTCACAAACTGAGGGTGAATTAATCGCGTTTGAGCAATGTTCAGTAGGGAGGTGAACAGTCAGAGACAGTTGCTGTTTACTGTTCCTTTCTGATTATGAACCATATAAAGGGCTTCAATTTTCTTATGCAAGCTCGAGCTGGAGCTTTGAAAGTCATTATATACCTCTAAAGTGAAATATTCAATGGGGTTGAAAACCCAGATAGCCCAACCTCATCAATCACGACTACTATTTCATAACAAAACTTCTTGTAATGGCCGATAAAAAGATAAGAGTTTCCAGAAACAGCATAAATCTTCATAAATAGTTGCTTCATATAAAGGGAACATCTTGGAGGTGAGTGGTAGGATTCAGAGGCTGAGGAGTTGAGCGAGAAAAGGGGGGTGAAACACGTGACCTACCAACCATAACACAAATCATTTTACGATAAACTAAATTACGACAAACTAAACGCTCGAAGCAGTTCTGCATGCATGCCGAGACTTACGGCCCAATCATGCGACTGCACTTAAGCTGAGTACCCTTCCGATATCTTGCAGGTGTAATTGACCAATTGTATTGGATGTGGCTGAGGCTGAGCGCCCCGGCGTGTGACTCCCAATCCTGCATCAGAGCAGATTAAGTCCATTAATAAATCCCCATTAGTCCGGAGCTATTCTATTGTTCTATCTTCATCTGTTCAACAAAATAACCGCTTCGAAAATCAATTGATCAAGAGCAATAAATCCACAATCATGGCTGCTTCATCAGAACCCAAACCCTCTATACCCTACCGTCAGATACGAGCTCTGTACGACGACGAAACGATCACAGTCTACCAAGCATACTGCCCATCTATTGCTCTCTCAGCAGTAGAGCACCAGAAATTGAACGCATCGCCCGATTTTAAGCTCGGGAGAATGACATGGATTAAGCCGAGTTGGTGCTGGATGATGTTCGTCCTCCACTCCCACTCCCCTGCCCTCTCTCGTATTCATCTCCCATACTCTCCTTTCAACCTGAATCTTCCTTCTCGACGTCCATGATCAAGAAAATAACTGACGGACGGGAAATAGGTACCGCTCCGGCTACGCCAAGAAGAAAAACCAAGAGCACATCCTCGCGCTCAAGATGAAGCATTCCGATTTCCTGAAAGTGCTGAAAGGGGCTGTTGTCTGTCACGGGCAGACTTTAAGTGCAGAAGATAGGAAGAAAGACGTTCGAGTCCAGTGGGACCCTGAGCGCGGTCCCGCGCTGGGAATGCTTCCTTACCGCAGTATCCAGATTGGAATTAGTGGAGCGATGGCGAAGTGGTGGATCGAAGAAGGGATTGTAGGGATCGAGGATGTGACCGAGAAGGCGAAAGGTCTTTGGGAGGATGTCATTGAGCCAGCAAGAGCGAAGGGGAAGAGGGTCGAGGTCGAGGAGTGTGTGGAGAAGGGCTTGGTGCCGAGAGAGACGGAGTATGTTGTGCCGGAGGACGTGGGAGGAATTCTGGGGATGCAAGCGGAAACGAGGAGAGCCCTTGAGTTTGCGACTTTTGAAGAAGCGAGGAAACGTGATATGGCGGTAACAAATGTGGCAAAGACTGGAATGGTCCTCCCTGAAAAGGAGCCACCACTTTTAGTTGGGAAAAGCGCGTTGGCTGCGCCCAAATAGCTATGAATGTCAAAAGGATTTGGTGAAAATACTGGAAAGAGAGGGGTTGATATGTGATGGCATAATGGAAATTAGAAGACTGATAGCTAGATCCTTTTTAGTTTTGGGTATAGGACGAAATTCAACACTGGAAAAGAAAGAGGTTGTTTGGCTTGGAAGTCGTACAAGCAGCACACTTCCGCCTAATGTGCAGGTAATTCTTTCTCTTAGATACAAGAATTGCAGGCGTGGCTGCCAGCACCATCCACTGCACCCAAAACTTCACACAAACCACACCGCCAAAACCCTTCCCTAAATCTTACTAGCAACCCAAACCGGCTTCTTCTTCCCCGCAAAAGCCTCAAGCCCGATCCTAATATTCTCCCCCTCGAATAGTCCCCTCTCAAACCTCTCGCCAACCCTCTGAACACCCCTCTCGACACTGCCCTCTTCCCATGCCTCCCTAAGTCCCGCTCTTGTAACAATAATAGCATCCGGACTCGAAGATGCGATTTTCTCCGCCATCTCCACCGCTTCATCCACCACAGTTTCTTGACTTTTAGAGATCTTGTTGATAAGGTGGAAATCCAGGGCTTCTTGGGCCGTTAACCGACGACCTGTCATGGCTATCTCGGAAGCGATTTGTAAAGAGGTGTTATGTACTAGCCGGGGCAACCCTCCCGCTGCGGCGTACAGACCGACGGTTGCTTCGGGGAGGCCGAAAGATGCTGTGGGAGATGCTACGACCATATCACTGTAGGTATCTCGTCAGGGAATTAACCTTCCTGAGCCCGCGAGGCACGACATGCCTGCCACATGAACGCGTGCCAACCACTTTCTCCCTTCATTTGAAAGATTGAAAGAGCTGATCTCACCAATTCAAACAAATCTCAAACCCACCACCAAGAGCAAACCCATTAACAGCCGCAATCACCGGCTTCCCCTTCCCCATCCTCCTGGAAATCCCCGCGAACCCGGACGGTGGATGCCTTCTGGCTGCTACTGGGGTCGAAGGATCCGCGCGGAATTTACCTTGTTCGATCAGATCCTGCCCCGCACAAAACGCTTTCTTGCCTGCGCCCGTGATAATCAAGACCCTCAAAGAAGGCTCGTTATCATACCAGGAAAGGAGGGCGTCGGCCTCCCAATGCGAGGCGGAGGGTAGGGAATTCATTGCTGTGGGGCGGTTGATTGTTAGGAGGAGGATGCCCGGGGAGGGATAGGCCAGGAGGAAGGTTGGGTGGGGCGGGGGTTGTGTTTGCAGTGATGAGGCCATTGTGAGCAAAAGGAGAGAGTTGAAGTTGTTGATTGAGAGGTGGTGGGATGTGGAAGGAAGCGAGATGGATAGGAAGTAGATTTAAGCTCCCGGGACGTTGAAGGGCGGAAGCAGACTATTTTCAGGGCCAACCCCGCGTGGCTAGGCCGAGGTTCGCGGGGTAGCTCTTTTTAACTTTTTTTAGCTGGTGATGCTGACAGCTTGGGAACACACATTGGAAAAAAAAACTTTTCACATAAACTTTTCACTGGATATTTGCGTGTTGGTAGTGACGTTGTGATGCTTCAGTTCTAGGAGGTCGGGGAAATGACGGTTGAGGGAGAGAATTTGAAGATGGCTTTGAGCGGCCAGGGGTTTGGATGGAATGAGGGAGCCGAGCTGGCAAGGGAGTGAGTTCTGAGTGAATGGGCAGCTGCTTGGTTAGTAGAATGTTGGGTGGAAGAGCTCAACTTCCAGTGCCATGCCATTGCTTTTGTTTGCGAGCAGAAGAATGCTGCTTGCCTCTCCACCAAAGTCGCCGGGAAATTGTGACCTTTTCCCTCGGCTCTCCCCTTCCTGTAGAATAGCCGCCTACTCAGCAACCTCTCATCCCTCGCAACATCGTAATACAATGTAGCTTTCTTCCTTTCATCTCAAGTTGCCTCCGCATCAACATCCTTAAACGCCTCTCTGAAAACCCTCAAATTGACCCCCTCATCAAAAATAGCAAAGCTAATCTCCTCAAGGCCCTCGAACCCCTTCCTCCCCCGACCCCCCAATATCTCCCTCCTAAAAATTCTCGCCACCTCCTCCGGTGGATTACGATACGCACCACACCCCAGCGCACCCAGCACAAGATGCGTAACCCCATTCTCCTTCGCAACCTGTAGCATATGTCGAACCTTCAACACCATCGTCTCCTTATCCCTGCCATCCTCATACTCCCACCTCTCTTCAAGCACATCCCCATCTGCATTCTTAATCCTCACTTTAATAACATCCGGATTCTTCAACGCGGCGCAGGAAATGATGTCTGTGTAGTAGTATTGGCTTTTCGGGAGGTCGGAGTTGAGGTTATCGCGGAAGACGAGCACGGATGGCGTGTAGATGAGCGCGTCTTCGGGGAGTCGGTACCAGGAGGTATTGAGCGCGGGGTACAGTGTGCTGCGCATGCAGAGCGTTTCTTCTTGCGCGACCGCGCCGGAGAGGACGCCGCCGCCGGGACGCAGCGAGGAGGCCATGTTCAAAGCGCAGACGCGGATTTTGGGGCTGTTTGAAGATTGCAGGATGGAGTGGACGGCATCGAGGGTGTCAGATTTTATGATGCGTATTCGAGGGATTATCGGAGCAGGTGGAGGTGCGGGGTTGGAGCTTGAGCTTGAGCTTGAGCTTGCCGCAGATGATGATTGATTTGCAAAGGCTTGCGAGGTAGAGGAGTATCGAAGGAGCTCTGTGTTCTTGATTCCGTTCAGGGCGAAGGGGTGGGATTTTAGGAGTGCGGGGATCGTGGAGTTGATTGTCTCCTTCGCGAGCTTCGCTCGAGCTCCTTTGTTCAGCCATGGGCGGATGTCGGACTTGGAAGAAGACGCCATGTTGACGAGCAATTCTTAGGACGGCTTTGGTGCTTTGGTGAGGGGAGAAAGTTGTAGATTGTGGGGGGGAAGGAGCTTGAAGATGACGGATGTCGTTGCCTTGCAGGATTCAGCTGGACGAGGATGAGGAAATTCGGCCGTTTGAGCAGCCACGTGACACCAGGCAGCAAGTTCAGGGACATCGTCACAAGTTTGAGCTCTGGCACAAGAATTCAACGAGAGGGGAGTCAAGACTGGAATTATAGATATTCTAGTGCTTGAAAACTTGCTGATGACTAATCTGACCCTTGAAGCTACCACACCCCTGTCTGCTGAGATGAGGACTTCAAAAGCGAGCTGTCATTCCCGCCTCCTTCCTGATCCTGTCCACTTCTTGATCTTGGCCCTTGAACCCAACATGTGCAGAAACCCTGGACCCTTCCCGATGCTCTTTCCTTCATTGTACATGATTTGTTGTGCGTGGAACCGATGTTGGAGGCTAGGACTTGTCTTCATCGAGTTGTGTTGGGGGACAGAGACCAACTAGTTCTTGATTTCACCTTGTTGTGGTTCCATCGTTCAGCTCGGAGTCCGTCGATAGTCTCGTGGCTTTGCGCGCAAATGTCAACACGTTGTGTTAGGCGGACCCCAGATGATGTTCAGTGTTTTGTATTCCATCAGCATCAAAGCGTAAACACGTGGACATATGGACTTACAGTTATCAACAGGCCTCGAATGGATCTGGGCTGGACTTGGCCTGCTACAAGTAGCAGTTGATCCCCTTCGCGACGTAGACGCGCCAGCCCTTCGAAGGAGGCCCCCATCAATGGAGACGCCCTCGTCGGCCAAATCCCTCCACTACCACGCGGACGTAGCAGCTTCATCGGGCCCCTCCGCTGCCACGAGATTGTAGCAGCTTCGTTGGGTGGCCCCAGAGGGCACAAGTATCATCTGGGAGCATTCAAACTTCGTCAGCAATGTCTACAAGAAGAAGGAACTAGAAGGTCCAAAGAACGATGAGAGGACGCAGGGGGGAAGACCGCGTTGCCCTCCTTTAGGCCAGCCCACGCAGTCACATCCTCCACTCCCAAGCCATGTCCTACCCTGCGCCCCAGCGATAGCTCATTACGGCACATGACCAAGTCTCCATTCCTCGACGGGGCAACCAGGGAACCTAAGCTCAACCAGCGCTGTCTTATCCCACGGAAACCCTCTACCCGGCTGACTTAATGCGCGGGGTAGAGTCGAATGGCGCGTTGTCCATGTTGCTATCGTCGATAGGGCCGACGGTCGTCATCGAACTTTGGACCAAAGAAATACTCACTTGAAAATTCCCGGAGGCGCGTGGAAAGAGACAAGAGGAACATGTCATGTAGCTGCGATCTCGCGACGAGAATAAGCAACTGTCGTGTTCGAGGGGGAGAACTTGTGTCGACCTCGGAGGGGAAGAAGACCTGCTTGTAAGGCATCAGCGACGTACTTTCAATGCATCATGGACAGAATCTTGCCTCGATCATGTGCGGTCCTTTGATACTGTGCAGAATAGAGCGCGATTTCGTGATTGAGGAGGAGCAAGAAACGAACTGCGACGCTCGCCAGCCAACAACTGATGGCGTTGAAGCGCGAAATAAGAAGTGAAAAGGGGGAAGATTGCGCAGGTTGCGGGAAAGAAACAAGTGTTGCAAAGGAGGGAAAACTTAAGGCTCTCCGAAGACGGCGCTAAAGCGGGGCTGGCGGGTGAATTAGACCCCTTTGTGAAGTTGCGGCGAGCTCAGCTAAGATCGAAGGAAATGGACATCTTGAAGGGGTATTTGAGTGCGTGTCCAGAGGAGAGGAAACTCGACAAGGGAGACAAGTTGCCTTAGATACTCGAAGGGAGATATAGTCAGTGGAGGTGGTCGATCGTTGTCGAGGAGGAGCAAGAGAGCTTGGAGCGCGCCCCTGGAGGGCGAAATACCTGAAGGAGCGCGATCGGCTGCGTCCTCTCAAGATATGAGAGAAACGTGCCATGGCATTCTGTCGCTATCGGCGATGCACCCGGTGGATGGCTAGCTTGCGTGATGCTGGGTTGGGGGAGATGAAGGTGGTGTTGTTGTACGGAAGGAAAGGAAAAACGAAGGAAGGAATGATGGAATTGGAGCAAACTTAAGTGTGCAAGAGTTTGCAACAAAAGTCAGGGCAAGGACCTAATCAGGTACTCAGATATCACCGGCTCAGAGATGGTGTCGAGTGTCGAGTGTCCACCCGCAGTCACTTTCGCGACGGAATCCAACCGAGAAGAGAAAGAAGTGAATTATGATCGGAATACATTCCTGTCCTCCCTCTTTCTGGCCGTTGATTCTCTCATCAATCATACCGGTAGTTCACCATGAGTTCGGCTTCGTCTGGCCCTCTCTTTGTTTCCGAGCACAAATCTTAGTTTTCTCAAGCACTGCGTTCAAAGTGAAATTCTCGAACACTGTCAAATATTTTGATTCGCACTTATCAATGCTTTGTCTATCACCTCAATTATTTCGAAAATTCCCCTTTACTTGAAATTATATGCTGAATGGGATACGGACTAATTTTGATGTGTTTTCTTTGTTTACTCTGGACCCTCAAAAGAAAGGGGGTGAATTACGAAGATGATGATGATTGGCGCTCGTGCCGAACGATGTCTAGCTACATGTGGCTGCACAAAGCAATCTTTATCCACCCGCTCCAGTTTGAGGTGAGAATTCAGGGGGTTAATTCGAGAGGCTTTGAGATCAATGTGGAGTATCTTGAATCCAAGTATCTGATCATTTTCGGGGGTTTATCTTATCGTCAGAACAGGGGATGGCTGCCAAGCTCGTTCTTAAACAGTTGTGATTGGGCCGTATCAGATCTCCACAAATACGAGAGGCTTCCCTGTATAGCCCACTCATCCGACGCGTTCCCTGCTGTCATCCTTCCAAAGCTCACTCATCGAGATTATTTATTCACATAATTCTTTAGAGGGGGCGATGCAATCGTTCGCCTCGCTCCGTGTCTCTTCTCACTGGTAACGAATTTTGGGGTGGGGCTTGAGAACCGCCATGCTAAGCACAAAAGCGCGCAAGTAGGCAAAGGTGGGACAATTTCCCGATACGAGACGTTACCTTTGCCAGTACGTATCGTCAGTCTGGATATAGCGGGGATAGTCGTGCATATTTATACTGGACGAAACCCCCGAGAGCAAGTGCGTATAGTGTATTCTTTGATCCTCAAGTTCCATCCAACAGTCGCTCATTCTGGAAAATACTCCTCCTGCTCTTCCTTCTTGGTATCTTTGAATATCTAAATCGCTGCAAAATTCTGTTCCGCTCAAAATTTTCATTCATTCAACTCTCAATCTTCCCCGCATCACGCCAAATATCTGCGCAAATCGCACGAATTCCCGCAAATCTTCGGACTTTCCCTCTATTACCAACACAAAACGAACGATACAAAGACGACATGTTGGATACAACACCAATCGCCTTGATCTGCCTCACTGCACTCATTTTGCTCGTCGGAATGGCTGCACTCACGCAAATTGCCCTCAAGAAGCGATACGTGTCTCAATACCCTTGAGATGTTTGACTGGGACAATGACGATAACACGGAGGGGGGAGGCCGTCAACCGCTGGTCCCGAACATCGGACGGCCTGCCACTCATGATCCATGAAGACGAAAACATCGATTTGCGACGGCTGCCTAAAGTGGATACAATGTGCGATTTTCTTATTGGAGTTTGGTTGTACTGGAGAACACCTCACTAGCGGACTTGAGCCCTCGAATGGAAGGGCCAAGAAAAAAAATACGTCTCATTTCGTCCCATCTACACGTTCGAATACCCAATATCGACTTGCGACATGACACAGGAATCAGCTCATGCGTTCAGCCAAACGATCTCCTTGATCTTAAAAGCTAGCATCGGGAATAGCGAGGTGGAACTCTGGGCGAGGGATATCACTATGAAGCCGACGAATGCTTCTAGGAAATCAAGAAAAATTCTCTCTGCATCATTTTCTTTTGATTGACTCAGATCTGCCATGAAACTGCTTCATCGAGGTGATCGCTGCTACACCGAAAATCCATCCTGAATATCGACCGTCTTGCGTAATTCAGCTTAGATTCCGGTTAAGTGACCTTCACCCCCAACCAGTACCTCCTTTCTGGTCAGCTAGGCTTCTGAGGTTCATTTTAGGCACCTTTACTTGTCATCTTGGCATCCACTTCAAGCTGCTCGGTTTTGTATCACGTGATGGATAAGCGGTAGTCGGTATGGTGATCACCGCATTTGGCTGCCGGTAAGGGCTTGCCAAGATGCCGCCTCAAGCCGCCTCACGATGCGGCAACCCACTGCAAGTCGTCGGCTTCGCCCAATCCCAACTTCCCACCATTCGCATCGCAGCCTACGATTTCATCTATAAAAGCTGGGGAATTCCCCACCATCATATCAATCTCTTCAACAACCTTCACAATCCTTGCCATCAATTCTATGTTCGTTCCAAACTTCTCAACACATTTCAGGCAGCATCATACCACCTCTATCCCCGACAAATAAACATGTCATCTTCCGTCTTTTCTGAAACACTTCAAGCTATCACCACCACCAAGCTCAGGGAGCTGTCCAAAAAGCGTGTCATCTTCGAAGATTCAAAGTCAACTCTCATATCCGCTGCCAAACTTGAGCAGAACCAGCAGCAGCGTCTCCGTATCCTTGTCGACGGCGTGAAGCAATGCTTCGCTGTGAAAACAGCCAATCGGCGTGGGAGATCCGGTCGCATTATCTGCGGCGGCAGCAATGATCCGGACCTCGAAGTAATGCTCAAGAATCTGGAGCGTTTCTTGGAGCAAGCACGATTCGATCCCACGGTCTCACCAAAGTTATTGGGCGACTGGGAGGAGTCCCTTTTGAAGAAATTGAACATCCAATCCCTGAGGTTCCAATATGCGACTCTGTATGGAGAGCTAGTCAATGAGTGGCTCCGAGCAGAAAAGGTCGTGCCTGCTGATGACGCCTCCACGGCCTCAGAAAGCTTCGAAAAGATCAATCGAGCAGAGAGAGATGAGTCACGTGCCAATTGGGAGAAATTGGTATTCGAGCCCTTGGAGACAGACCCAAAAGCCATTTCAGAGTATCTCCAGGTCTTGTTCGGCATGGATGGCGGAACACCACAGTCATTGAAAGCACTCAAGGCTCTGCGCAAGAGTGTGGAGGATTTCGAGACCTCGCTTTCGACCCCCGGCCAGTTCAACGACGAGGTGCTTCGATGGACTATTAACGGCCTTGTGGGTTCTGGCCTTCTGTCTGACGAAAAGCGCGCAGTGCTGAAAGATTTCCTGGCGAGTTCGGTCATCTTGGCTGAGGTTGCAGATGTTTTGAACATGCGTATTGCGGCCATCTCGACATGGTCTTGGGAGGGGGAGGTCCCCGTTGAACAGAGAAGACATGTGACCGGAGCCTATCATGGTAAGTGGTCCCCCTCCAACCACCCCCCCTGTTGGCTCCTATTATTGACTGAGTTCTCATAGTATATATCGACGAGGAACTTCTCCAAGCAATCTTCCTCCAATTCATCGGCGTAAAATGGTCGGTTTTCTTCAAAGAAGCCTTCACCAATTTCTCCAATTACGAAGGTGCCTGGGCTTCTCTTCGCACCCCTCTTTCTAATAATGATATCGGCGTGAAGCGGAGAGAATATTTCCTGGGACACCAGCGGAAGAAGCCCAGTGTTCAGGGCAAGCGCCAAGAAATCTACAAGTCGATTTTCTTCATGTCTCAGCTGCCAAACTCACCGTTTGAGGGAAGCACCGCCGTTGAAGGGGAGGAAGAGGTCGAATACGCCAGGCCGAAGATACGCAGCAAGCGAGTTACTTCATCTCGACAGGACCAGTTTACGGACTTCGACTTCGACACCTTCGACATGCAGCCACAATTCCCCGCGATGCCTGTCCAAAGTGCAATGCCACAACAACACCTGCAGCAACAAAATGGGATGCAACAACAGCCGGTGTCAATGCAAATAGCGCCGCAAATGCCGCCGCCCCCACCGGCTGGATATCCAGGCAATGGGGTGTATTATCGCAAGGCTTCCTCTCACCAGTCAATTCTCATTCCATTTAACAGCGACGAGTATGACACAGTGCCCGACAACCAAAAACCAAAAACCAAGATGGAGACAAAGCAATACCTTCTACATCTCCTGTCGACCGAGCTTTTAATCAACACTCGCCTCCACGGAGATTTCACTTGCTCTCGGTCAGAATTCTACTCCTGGAGCCCCTCCCTCCCACACTCAACCATTACTTCCATCCTAACTTTCTTCGGGCTCTCCAAAAAGTGGCTTGGCTTTTTCCGTGCCTTCCTCGAAGCCCCTCTTAAGTTCACTGAAGATGGTCCATCAGCCGAGACTCGACCCCGAAAAAGAGGTGTCCCTGGTGCACACGCACTCTCGTCTGTCTGCGGAGAAACTATCCTCTTCTGCATGGACTACGCTGTCAATCAAGCCACCAACGGCACAAATTTGTATCGCATGAACGATGACTTCTGGGTCTTCGACAAGAACCACGAGACAGTCGTGAAAGCATGGGCTGCGATTACGAGGTTTGCAGACACGATGGGCGTTACTTTGAACAACGGGAAAACTGGCACAGTACGTATCCTTCATGAGCCAGGATCACCAAGCACAGGCAACCCCTTCCGCACCTCTCCCTCAACCTCTCAAGCCTCTGCCGGAGTCCCCGCATCCATCGACCCGTCGCTCCCAGCAGGAGAAATCCGGTGGGGTTTCCTAATCATGGACCCTCTCTCTGGCCAATTCGTCATCGACCAAGACATGGTCTCCACCCACGTCGCCGAACTGCAAGCACAACTCTCCTCCAAATCTACCTCCATATTCTCCTATATCCAAGCCTGGAACACCTACGCTGGCACCTTCTTTTCGTCCAACTTCGGGAAGCCCGCGAACTGCTTTGGACGCCAGCACGTCGACGAGATGCTCTCGACTTTCACCCGGATCCAGGATATCATCTTCCCCTCTTCCAACGTCGTCCAACACCTGAAACGAGAAATCGAGACCCGCTTCGGCATAACAGATATCCCAGACGGCTACCTCTACTTCCCAACCTCTCTCGGTGGCCTCGATCTCCAGAATCCATTCATAGGCTTAATCCAAGTGCGCGACGGCGTCTTCGAGTCGCCGTCTTCCATCCTCTCTGACTTCCTAGACAGCGAGCGAGAGGCCTACCGTCAGGCCAGCATATCATTTAACAACGGCCTCGTCTCTCGCTATTCAAACTTCGACCCCAACTTCATCCCCCATGATGGTAATGTCTTCTTCAGCTTCGAAGAATTCGCTAGATACAGAGAAGAATTCGCGTGTGATTATACTGGGAATTTGTTGAGTGTTTTCGGGGACTTGATGGGTCGACCGGAGAAAGAGGGGATCGATGTTATGGGGGATGAGGTGGCGAAGATTGAGGGGTTAGTGAGGGAGTGGATAAAGGGTGGCAAAGCTACAGATGCGGGTTATCTGAAGTGGGTTGTTAAATTGTTTGGGGAAGAGATGAGGGAGAGGTTTGGGGGGTGGAATGTGGTAGAGAAAGGGCTGTTGCCGATGGGGATGGTGGAGTTGTTTAGAAGTGGGAGGGTGAAGTGGCAGGGCTAGTGGGGATGGAATTATTGGTGTGTGAGGAAAACATTTGCAGTGTTCTGATATTTTCATTTCAAATCAAGTGACTGGTTTCAGGAAACAAATTGTGGATTTCATAGTTTTCATCTCCCAACGGCATGGGTGTAAAATTCAATTCAAAAGTTCGTCGATCTCTTCGGTAAAGGAAAAAAAAATTAATCTCAATATGTCAATATATTATGTAGGCTCCACTGCAGGTCACAGGTCCATTTGCACAAATATTCTTCACGGCCATTAGATAGAGAACCATGACATGCCGTGTTAATAAGATATCGCGGAAATAAAATCCAGTCTGCGCCTCGCATGGCTCCAAGAGAAGTATATGTAAGCCTCACTTTACTTGGGACATTGAAAAAGAGACCCACCATTTGTCCTTCATTGACAGTCGAGCCATTGGAGGCCTCCAGTCACACAACTGACTTGGCTTCCAACCACAAGCGAGTGCTCTGATTGGCGGCCTCTGATGCTGCCAGGCTTTCCTCGGCGACAAGCAGCCTGGCGACACGGAGAAAGCAAACGAATAACGCCCTACATGTTTCATGCAGCAGATCTTCAGCTTTTGATTCACCCAAGTCACCTCGCATTGATGACGGGCAGGCGAGGCTCCCTTCACGGGCGTAATTCGTTATTTTGATTGGAGGCCTCCGAGAACTTTCCCGAGTGGGCTTGATCGGGCACACTGCTTTTCTAATTGGAGGCCTCTGAGGATTCTCTGTGGGAGGTTTGGTCGGCTACGCTGCACAACCCTGGCTACAAATAAACGGACTGGACTCAGCTGCTCGACTCACTCTTCGTCATCTCCAGCTACGCAATCTTGCAAGACATATTTCTGAAAGCGCCAGAACGCGCCGAATAACTCGGCGCATACAGTTCCAATTCTCACATCATTCTGTTGGCATTGTTACATAATATCTGATAGCAGCCTAACAGTAGAACCCCAATCTACAATTTTATCTGGCTCGCATTCGCCATGCTCGCCATGTTCGCCAGGGGTTACGAATCTTACGGAGGGAAAAACTTCGGAGGGGGGGCCGTCCACTGATTCCTCCGTTTCAAAATCTTGCATTCTGTATGGAGATACCGATGCTGCCACTCAAGCCTCAGTCTCTCCACCTTCAGACGCTTTATCCGGGCTAGAGAATAGTGTTGCATCAACGCAGGACTCAGATTCAACACGAGGAAGTCCCACGTTGCGAGTCACAAGGGCTGTTGCGCCCACCCAGCGACGCAATGGGCGATTTACTTGCCCGCTCTGCCCCAGAAGATTTACATCCCGTGTGAAAGAAAAGTAAACTTTAATCCCTCTGATCATTGAACTCGGACGCTGATATCCCCTGCAGTCAACATATCCAGAATTACCGTCACACTCATTCATGTCAAGTTTCTGGATGCCAATGGAACTACGAGCTTCACAAAGATCTTGTTCGACATTCGGCCAGACACAATATTGATGCAGAACGATTTCCTTGTCCTGTTTCGGGGTGCGGGAAAAGTGTTAGTCGAGCTGATTTGCTGCCAAGACATATCGAGCGATTCCATCAGTAATGCACGACATCTCGAGTGAGTGCAAGACCTTTCTACAACTTTATTTTACCACTCCCTTCAATTCATAGTAGATACTAATGTGTTAAAGCTTGCCCTCTCACCTTTCGCTGACAAGTTTCCCCTTTCTATATTCGATCAAGTTTTATTTCCTACACGCGAGAACTACTATTGTTAGTATGAGTACCTTTTGTTCTCGTTTTTTTAGGTCAGATTTTAGACCAAGAATGCACCTCAAGCCCTGTTTTTATTACGTGAGTTATAAATGGAAAGTGATTTTATGTATCGGCTTCTGATGCGTTTTTTACTAAAGATATAGCCTCCATCTTCCCATGAGTACTAGACATGCTTCCTAACTATTATAACGTTTTACACCTTCTACAACCAGCGACACTCCATCAATCCCCTTCCTATTTCGTCCTAGTATTAGAGCTGATAAAGTGAGCGCTGCGGCCAAATCTTCCCCTTTTTCTCGCGCTTAATTTCAGTCACATGTCAATTATAAGCGAACAATTGGCACTTTCGAACTTCCATGAATCAAACTCAAGAGGGATGAACCATCCACTAGGCTTTTGTAATTATCATTGGAGAACCTACACCTTCTCAATTTTGACGTCTGGGTTCAAGCCATTGTCGTGTTGCTCGTCAATTTCGGGGCTGTGCAGAAACATCTTGGGCTTCCGCCTTGCAGGCCCCTTGGCACCCCGAGAAATACTAAATTTTTATAAGTTATGGGAAGACAGAAGGTGATTTTACCTGTTTGCTAGGCTGGAGAAGGATGCCGGCCAGAAAAGAGTGGAAAGGGAAGAAAATCACTATTTCGGTCTCTAAAGATGAGAAAGCTACTTGCCAAGAGAGAACAAGTGGAGCCCAAACTGCTCGCACGAGATAGAAGTCTGACAAAACTATCTCGCTCAGGAAACGCCGTCTACCACTTCCACGCCGCATGGTCACCAGATGCAGAAATATCTAATCTCCAAGGACCCCCGAACTTCCTCATTCTCCGTGCCGAGCACTTCCACGCTGGAATGCAACACCCCTCCCGAAGCAGTGTAGCCCTGTGCTTCGAGATCGCTGTCAAAGAACCTCAGAACCATTACCTCCTCCGGAGTCTGCTTGTCTATCCAGTACCACTTATGCCCCTCAGAGTACCTGGCCACTAAAGACTCAATAGTATGGGTTTCATCGGACCCCGGTCTCCCAAGAGCTGGAAATTTGACCTGGACAGTCACGTAGTCATCCGCCTTGCATGTCCTGAAATCTGCCACCACCAGCGAGTCCCTCTGCACAGTCTTAAGTGGCCTCCAAACAGAGAACAGTGCCCACCGTGGACCGTCGCAATCTCTGTAGTCGTCTTTGAGACTCTTCCCAGCAGCCAGCAAGGAGTCTTCGTGATGTATGATGTCCGCTGCGGCTCGTACAATGTCTGGATGGAAGTTTCGAATGTGGATTCGAGCACCCGTCGGTGAGTAGTCAAGGTGAATCTTCGATGCCGGACTAACTGGACCCTTCTCAGGGTTGAATCCAATGAACTGCGGAAACCCGGTTTCCAGCTCGGAGGGTGCCGTTTTATTAGCTCCATGACTGGCGAGAGCATCGGCGTCTTCGGACCAGAGAGCAGCTCTCAGTAGGAGTGCTTCAGGTATGGCAGTCTTACATCCCGTGATATCCTTGATCATCTCGGATGTTTCTGGGATGAAATATTGCTTGAGTAGTTCGGGGTCTGTGAGGGACAACGAGGTATAAGGCGGGGCGTGAAGAGCTGTAGGGTAGTTGACTGCGGTAAATCCGTGGGCGTCTAATCGGTCGGTAGCGCTCCCCAGCTTCAATTTCGTGTGGATTGGCCGGATGCTATGAAGTGGGAGAAGGCGTTCATCTCCGAACTCTGTCATAGCAGGGAGTAGGAAGTTGTGCAGGCTTGACTCGGGGACATGGCCGGCGGCAACACAACGCAGCTTGGCAACCGCCGGCCCTGTGCTTAACTTGGTCTGTTCGACATCCATATTATTGCTAATATGATAGGATTCGGGAATAAAGGGATTTTCAGATCAAATAAACGAGCTGCGGTACTAAGTAACAGCAACTTGAAATAGGCGAAGCATTTAATAAATGCTAGAAGAATATGCAGAGATGGTAATGGGGGAAGTTAAAGTTATAAAGGGGGGGGGGACTCCCGAGGTTACATTCAGAGAGAGTTCTCGCCTGAAGGGGAGCAGGCACCAGCAGGGAACCAAGGTCATGCCAGATCCTGCCCACGATACAAGGGTTCCACAGCTACTGTGCGAGTGTCTCAACATTGGAGTGAGCTTAGTATGCAAGTGTCCGATTTCACACAGCATGGTTGCTAAGTAAAAAGGTTTACACGACAGCTAGATATAGTCACTCCCCCTCGGGCTGATCCTAATTCCCAGCACAGCCGAAAGATCGTGCGAAACAGGATGCCATTGTACTACTCGAAGGTTCGAAGGAAAAGCAAGGTCGAAATTGGCTTGCCGCGATCGATCGAATTTAGATGGCTATTATTGATGGCCCCTCACTGCTCATCGATGGCGGCTTGGTTCAACTCCAATGGTCAGCCTAGTCCCGCAACAATCGTTGCTGAGTTTTATTGATTCATGTCAGAGGCTCAGATCAGATTTGCATCAAAGTCCGGTTTCCTGTCGTCGAAAACTGTCCCCACACCCTCCTCTGAATATCATTTTGTTTCCTCTCCGTGTAACAGTCGGCTCCGGTACTTAAGAGTGTCAAATTTAGGTGGTTGGAAGCCTTGATTCTTGATTATCGAAGGCTGGGAAGCCCCTTAATATAGTGCAAATCCACTAGTCTTCCACTAGTCCCCCAGCCCCCTGGCTGCCTTAGGCCCATAAGCTTGGCACTTTTCAACAGAGAGCACGTTCCTGGCTTCGCAAGGGTAATTTAGTGTTCATAGTGATACGGTGTTGCACTGCAGTACAACCTGTAACCTCATGCCACTGCGCGCCCTGCTAGACCTTGTGTATTTACCATGGCTCCCGAAAACGTAGAGGGATTTAGAGGTGAGAAGCGGACCAATTTTTTTTTAAAGCCTGCGGCTTGGGTAAGCTAGCAGCAACCGCAGCTGTATCCAGTACAGAGAGGTACAGTTCATGAGTCGAGTTGCAGTGCTAAGAAGGGGAACAACACTAGAAGCCGACACTCATTCCCAATCCGGTAAAGCCGAGCACTGGTGTTTGTGCCACCCTACTAAGACCCCGGAAAATATAATAGAATAAATACTCCTGTACGATTTTGCCTTCGGCTTCTACCTCGCTTAATTTATAAAACTCTCTTATCCCGTACTCTTCCTTAATTTTTATTCTCCTCTTATTATTAGTTCTTCTCTTTTCTATTATTATACTCACTTATATATAATATTATAGCACGCTTAATAAATTAAGGAGTTAAAAGAAGCACGTTTATATTACTAGAATTCTAAACTATAAAGAAAAAAAAGAAAGAAAGAAAGAAAGAAAGAAAGAAAGAAAGAAAGAAAGAAAGAAAGAAAGAAAGAAAGAAAGAAAGAAAGAAAGAAAGAAAGAGAAAAGGCTCTTTTAAATATTATATAGCGGCCTTATATATTAAGGTACTAGAAAATCTAGAGTTACGTAATTTAATATTATTACGTGCTTAGTATATTATAATAAATAATTTTAAATTATAATATTTAATAAAAGATTTATAAAAGTTGTAATAATTCAGGTACTAAAATAATAAAGACTTTTTAAATCTCTAAGTAAGAAAGCTTATAAGTAGTTATAATCTAGATAAGAATTTACATTTTTTCTAAAGTAAAAATACTTAATTCAAGGAATTATCCTTAACTAAAACTCAAGAGTATAAATATAAATATCTCCTTATAAAATCAAAGCTTTTCTAATTAAAGAATTATAACAATTATATTTATTAAGGCGCGAAAACTTGGGTTGTGATAGGCATAATATTAAGTGTCAAGTGCAACGTGATGTGGACTTAAGAGAGCGATAGGCCTCAATAGTACCAGCCGAAAGCTGCGATGACCATTGTGCTTTGACCGACATCGCCGTGGGTGCACATACTCTTGACAATTGTTTGCGAGGCTATAGGATCTTGACCAGAAAAATAGTGGTTGTATTGGCAAAGCCCGTCATCTGCTGTGAGATTGAACCAATGAGTTGCCAACTTTATTGCTCCTCCTATTCGATACTAGATGGGATTCCTCTTCATGACAGGAACGCATTGGCGTGTTTCAAAGCGTTTATCCCGTACGCCGAAAACATTGAGTTAAACTCTGAAGCGAGCCTCTTTCCAGCCAAGTACATGATGTTCGGAGTGCTCGCACTTTGCACCGGCAGGCTTCACAATCCATATTGGTTCTTGGTCTGATACAGTCTTGTACAACGCCAATGCATCGTAGATCGCTTGGCCATTCACTAGGAAGTCTGTCACTGGCAACTACTTGAAATCTAATAGGCTAATACGTTGCATGCCAACACCAGAGGACAGGACGCTGGGTATGGGAATATATTACACGTGGCTTTTCTGGAGAAAATGAGGTCGGGATTAATACCGAATGTTCTCGCAGCTTTCAATTCGTTTGATGTGAGGTACAACGGTGGGGTTAAAATATTCACTAATAGTAGCGTTGATATTTTGGGTATGGATTGCACTATTAGAAGCTTCGAGAACACAATGGTCTTCAGCAATATGGGTGTGTCTTGGGTCGCAGCTTTTTAATAAATGGGCCTCACGAATTTCCCACACTTCAAAATAACTGGACTATAAAACTTTGCAGCTAAACTTTTCGTCTATTAACATTAACATTAACCAAAACAGTACATGTATCCCTCTATCAAACAACAGTACTACTCATACTCAAATTACTGCACACCCTTGAACCCGCCGTCAGAGGCAGCGCTAAACTCCCCCTATCTATCTCCACACTCAAACTATTGCCCACCCTTGAACCCGCCGTCAGAGGCAGCGCCAAACTCCCTCTATCCATCTCCACACTCAACATGCTCGAGCTCGCCCTCTTACTGTAAACACTAACGCCCCTCTTTTTCTCCCCTTTCTCGAAACTGGCCAGTGAAAACTGACTCATCCAACTATCCGGAATATTGCTAATTGGCATCCTCCCCCTTACTTTATAATTCCTGCTCCGCTGCTTCCCGATCCAGAGCATTTGCTCGTGTTCCCTTAGATATCTCTCGGACGAGAAGTTCTTCAGCACATTGTTGCGTCCTTTCATACCGAGACGACGCCGTTGCTCGGTTTTCTCATACATGCGGCGGGTGATGGCTTGTACTTGTTCCGGCGTAGGATTCGGGTATGCGAGAACTGGTGGTGCGGTGCCTGGTGCATCGTCTGCATGCTCGGCCCATTTTCCAAGCAGAGCGAGGACGGAGATCTGGGCGCGAGCGAGAGACTCGGAATCGTTTGGAGGCACGACTTCGGAAAAGCGGTCGCCTGTTACGCGGTCCGTGACGACGCAGAAGGAGGCGCCGACGTCGGTGCAGACGACGGGGACGCCAGTCAAGGCCGCTTCACCCATAGCAAGGGGCAGGCCTTCGGAGATGGAGGAGTTGAGGAAGAGCCATGCGTCTTGGAGGACGAGGGATGCGTTACCTAGACCTTTGAGAACGCAGTGATCACGGAGGCCTTTGGAGGCGATGAGCTCTTGACATTCTGTTGAGTGAGAGGCTGCGCGCTCCATGTCTCCGTAAATATGGAGAACGTAGTCCGTGAAGCCCCACCCGTTGACGATGAGGTCTGTGGCCATGATGGCGCTCTTGATGTCTTTGACGTATTGGATGTGAGATAACATGACGACAGTTGGCTTGTCGGTCTTAATTGTCTGGATAGGCTCAAATTTTTCCATGTTGCAGATTCCGTTGACGACTGGATCGATCTTTCGGGCGAAGGTGCGACGATGCTCAAGAGAGCCTTCAGCGGTTCCAAGCTCGACTTCCCAGCCGGGGTTGAAGTAATCACAACATGGGAGAACGACATCTGCATGGTGCTCGAGGAGAACACAACTCAGATGACCGAGGGATATCAAGGAACTGTTGATGAAAGGAGTATCGAACGACACCGCAGATGACATGAACGTAGTGAACTCTCGGAAGCTGATACAGTGGTCCCAAACATGCAGTGTGCAGTTGCGCTTGACTTTGCAGAGGATACCGTACGTGGCGCCGGTGAAGTGATGGGATGCTTGGAACACATGCGGGATCTTCTCTGGGACGGGGATCGAGAAGATGAAGAGATATCTGTGCCACATATCTAAAGCCTGGTCGAGCTGTTGCATCGTTGGCTTTTCGAAGTCCCACCATTGTGATACCGGCAATGAATCTGGCAAGTCTTCAGCCAACCAGAGTTCACGCCATGTCTGCTTGACAATGTCGCTCATCCAGACATCGTTCCAATTTCGTGTTGATTCGAAGTATGTATTCAGATCCACTAGCGCCTTTGTAGCCTCTTCAATGTGCTTGCGAGTGAAGTTCCTTGTTCGGGAGCATTGGACCAAACTAGTAAGAATCGGCAGGAAATTCATTTTGATATCCGCCGTTCTGGTGTCGTACGACCTTTGAACAACAGCTGAGTCGAGGTAACTTTCAAGGATTCCGTGAGTTGGATTCATGAAATCCAGACCCCAAAGAGGTAGAATGGTCAGCGATTGAACATTTCTTTCAATCTGGAATCTCGGTACTCCGTAATCGTTGGCGGACTCTGCAACTATGTGCCACTTTATGGTTTTTAGATCGTTAACCATATCTCTTCGGCAAGCAGACACTCCGCCAGGCTCATTGGGCCAAGTCGACGTGTCCATGGCGAGGATGTGGAGTTCGTCATCGCTGTCCCGAAGCTGCTTGGAGAGAGTTCTCGTGTTGATTCTGGAGTCTCCTCCCTGTCCGAAGCTGTACAAGTCACTCATCTTGAAAGCAATATGTACCCACGAGCTGATGTCTGGGTCGATATCAGTTCTGGCCATGATGGTATCAGCCTGTGCGTCAAGGTAATCTTTGGCGGCATCGAGGAGGCCAAGATCCCTATTTCTCCAGTAACCGTTGAGAATTTTATCTGACCTCATCAGACCTTCATCAAGCCACCTTGCCGTGATAGCATCGAGGTCCTTGCCTCCCTTCCACGATTTCCAGAGTACAGTTCTGGCATGGGATGTTGGAATCGGATAGCGCTTAACATTGAGACCAAGAATTCGTGTGATAAAGTTGGACCTCACTGAGGAGAACGAAAGGAGTGGGTTGTTACTCAGGAAACCACAGTTGTCTGGCTTCTGCAGGACATAGAACCAATCATCTTCTATCATTGGTGGTGTTTGCACTGGTTCGCCATTTAGTGTGGTTGTAATTTCGGGATGGAACTTATGCTCATAGGTCCATATTGCATGATACACGTCGTTGCCCTGGGCGAATGTAGCCTGTGTGACCTTGGTCCAGGGAATCCATTCGTCTAATCTCTTGGCGTGGTTTCGCGGCGGCACGCACCATTGAACTTTGATCGTGATGTGGCCCAAAACGTACTCGCCTCTGAGAAGTTCATCTTCAAACTTGGCATTCTTCCGATACTCATACTTGAATTGGACGCGATTGACTCCTCTGAAAAAGGATCCCGACGTGATATAGCCTCGGTGGTCGTATTGCACGGTTTGGCCGGCGAAGTCTCCATTGATGCATTGACGTTGGATCGGAAGCTTCGACTTGGACTTTCTGCCGCCCTGAGGATACTGGTAGGTGAAAAAGTTGACTAGACCCTGGCCGTTGAATTCTTCTCTCTGGCGAAGAACAAGCTTGTCGGTATAGGTGTTGACAGCAATTAGCTTTGTATTTTCACTTGGCTCGCTGTCGTGGCGTCCGGTGTATTGAGAGAGTTTTATGCTTCCATCTGATTGGGGGGCCAAGAAGCACGTCGAGTAGCAGTTCAAACTTTCAATGACGATTCTGTTCTTTTTCTCGATGACCGTCTTCATGCCTTTCATATTGTCGTGAAGCTTCGAGATATTCTCGCGCTTGTGAAAGAGGACTAATGGAATGATAACTCCCTGGAGCCATTTGCAGTATGACCAGATGCCGTTTAAGAAAAACGTCACAGGCCAATGCACAAACAAGGGCTTCGCCCGCAGCATGAAGTCCAACTCTCTCTGGTATTCTGGATCTGCGGTGAGAGAGAGGACAAGGAACTTGATGCACGTCCTGAAATTGCGATACAAGCGACTAAAGAGTCTCGGGTCCGAACCATTACCGGTTGAGGAGGAACTGAGAAGGTCGTTATAACTCTGATCTTGTAACTCTTGCTCATCTTTCTCATAAGATCTAGTGGCTTCCAGCTCCTTGGCGAGACGGTAGACCGAGACTGCGAGAGTGGCACCAAGATCGCATCGAGCCACACGGTCTTCTAGTTCAAGACTATCTGTTGCGAATATCGTTGAGCGAAGCCCACGTTCTTCGTCGACAGAAAATGTATCAGACTGTCCACAGCACCGTCTCAGCAAGTAGGATCTGACTGACTTGGGCAAATGGTCCCATTCCCTTTCGCAGTCCAGGCCGAGGAGGAGATAACGAAGCAAGATCTTATCGCCATTGCTGATGACCCGAGCACGCTCAGATGAGGAGGTCTCAAGCTGGCGCTTGATGCCTTCTGGAACAGAGAGTTCATCGCTCCCGTTATCAATCACGGCCAACAATTCTGCCAACATCGAATCGTCATGTGACAGGCCAAGTTGTGCTTCAGAGGTGGCCTGAACGACAGCTTCAGCGATAATTCTGCAGTTCCGGTGGATATTCAGGATCCATTCGTCTTCGACCAGATCGAGGCCGAGAATCACGAATATGTATAGCAGATCACCGTTTTTCCGACTAATTGTCCTGATCTTCTGCCCTTGTTGGGGAACATGGCGTGCGGAGACGAGTTCGATCACAGTTTGGCCTCTTCCCCATAGCTCAGCAGACCGTTGGATCAATTCCTCTCCCTGCGGGAAGGCATGTTTGACATGTTCCGATTTTCTTGAGTTGATTTGAAACAGCAAGGTTTCCATGATTCGATCGCCTGGGTGTTGCGACGGGTCGAGTGTGAAGCGTACATCAGCGGGAAGAGCGCAAATGGACTCGAATGTCTTCGACAACGTTGCTTGAGAAAGGTCGGGATAAGGTTCAAGAGCGCTGCTCGAGTAAGTCACCGCCGCGGCTTCGTCACTTCGAACCTCCTTGTATTCTGTCTCCTTTGTGGAGGCTGACTTCTTGAACTTCAAAAGGCGGAAAATTCTTGGCCAGCCAATCTTGGCAATGTACATTGAGTGGAAGCCTGCAATCCATGTTCCAATGGCCAAAGAGACAATACCACTGTAAGCAAACTCTGGAAGCCTGACGTGAAGAGCAATACCGATTGGGAGGCCGATAATTGATGCTGATATGAGACTTGGGGCTGCTTTGACACCGCAGTAGATTTTGTTGTATTGATACCAGAGGAGACCGGAGTAGGCGCCAATGTATGCCAGGTACATTATTGTTGCAGATCTTGAGTCTTCGAATATCCACATGAGCGCTCCGGTGATAGCCATGCCCCAAATGTGCAGGAAGAAGAATTTCAGAAGATTTTGCCAGTACAGCGCTCGTCTCGCTACGCCATCATTGATAGTGGCTTGCCGGAGAAACTTCAGAGAGGTTATGGGCTGAATTGTCTTTTGGTTCGCAGCTGTCCAGAGAGGTTGTGATACGGAGTCGAGAGATACTGCACCGATGAGATAGTAGCACAGCCCAAAGCCAACTGAGAGACGAAACTCTGCACTACTTGCGGCAGAAAGACCCACGAGATTACCACCAGATACCAAGGCAGCCCACTTGTCCAACAGAGCGACGACGAAATAGAGAAGACCGGACCAGATGTCGTTACCAGTATGACGCCAATGAAGGAAAGCGCTGTGGAGCTTGAGACCCTTCTGTGTATTCGTCATATTCTCCAAGCCGGCTTTCAGTGTAAGATTCCAAGTCGCGCTGTACGGCAAAGGCATAGCTGATCTCTTGTGCTTGCAGTACCATTGCATGAGAAATATTGTCTTAGAATACCCTTCAGCTAGCTTTGAAACTAGTGGATCTGTGGTTTTGCTCTGCCAGAAGTGGCGATTCTGCTCACGAAGAACAGCATTATGGAGCTCTCTCCGGGGATGCGGTGACATTCCGATGTCTTTGATGTCTCCTTCGAAGAAGTTCGTTGCCCTTCTTGATCCCCGTGTCTTCATATACCAGTTGACAACTTCAGTGTCTGTGACATGTGGTATGTTGAGGTACCAGGTACTCCACTGAGAGAGGACTTTGCGTGCTCCAAGTAGGAGAGATACCAGGAAAAAGGTCAAGATACAGGGATAGACTATTATGTCATGCTGAACCCACAAGGTGAGAACGGGTGAGATAAATAGAATTGGTATGCAAGTCATGATAACGGTTCGTCCCTAGATGCTTTGGTTAGTGACTGGATCTCAAATGATTGACAAATGACAGAACACGGAAGGGTAAAAGTGGCAGTGGCAGATCCAGGACTACTCACAGATTGGAACCTGGACCCGGGAAGTTGATAGATTGAAAGAGTCGACAGGGTCAAAAGGTAAGTAGTGAGCATGCCGAAATAGAAAACAAAGACAAGTCCAGCAGTGACGCCTTTTGCAACCATAACTCCCGCCATGGCTCCTAGTCCACCAACCAGAGCGAATGCAACTCCAGCAACGAAGCGAGTCAGCACAAACATGTTCATGGCTTGGAAGGCATTGGCGTAGAAATAATAGCTTCCACCAGAGCTGATCCACGAGCCAGCGGCACCGCACACAAGAAGTGCCAGCATAAGGGCTGTTGTAGCCATTGTCTTCTCTGCCGAAGTCATAAAAGTGGTCAGGTAGAGGCCGCGGCCAATGGTTGTCAATAACATAATATCGATGAGAGCAGGCACGGCAAAAATGCCAAGGAAAGTGATTCGGTGGTACCAGGCCATCTCTTCTTTGCCATCTGCCGGATCAATGTCGACCTGCATGGGCGCATATGCTGTCGGGAGCTCAGTGAAGCCTTCTGCTCGTTGTGGTGGCTGGAATTCCATGTAGTAGGCTCGGTAACGGTCCGAGATAATCCTTCCCAGAACTCGTGGTGTCATGTCAAAGAAAGAATCACACCGCGAACCTAGACCAAAGTGCTCTGCGAAGCATCCGGCTTGATCTGTTGCGTGGTTTGGAAGTACGTTGCGGTCCAGGACCTCGAGGTAAACTTCATCAAGCGCAAGTTTGCGGAAGGCAGAAAACACCGCCAGAGCAAAGATATCGGCACCAGCATCGATCCGATTCTCTTGCATGATGGTTTGCATGACAATACTGAGCTGGGCAAGAGTCTTGCTGTTGCCATTCATCAAAATCTCATACAAGCGGGTATCGACTTCCTTGAACAAGGCGACTGCGGCAGAAGGATCCGGAATCCAACAGCCGCGTTCGCCAAGCCAGGCAATGCGAGCATTGATCACAGTCTCAGCTGAGACCTCCCCACGTAAATACACAACTGAATTCATCTCTCTAAGCTGCGTGAGTGTGGGCACTTCGATGAGTTGGTACTCGCAGAGGGTGCGAACTCTTGCCCAGAAAACGGAATCGTCTCCACGCGTCGATAGAACCAGCCGCCGCAGAAACAAGATGGTCTCTGCGGGCGAGAGTTGTTTCACGTCATGCACGATGCGGGGAGGCAATTGCCACATCTCTGAGAGAAAATCATTCTGCTCAGCCATGGCAAGCTCTGCAATGAAACATTCGGACCGCGAGCGTCCACGGCTAGACAGGAATGTGTGAAGGATTGTGCCTGCGCGGTCCGGAGTTTTGTTCGAAAGATAGAGGGTGACAGCTCCGGATCTATTGTCGACGTCGTAGAAACCCCAGAATTGAGTCTCGGGGTCCGTCTGAAACCCGGAGTGCAATCCCGAGTACACTTGGATCCGAGAACTGTCGTCGTCATTGCCGGTCCTCAGAAAGCCTACCAACTCGGAGATCGCTTGGAACGTTGCGGGAGCGATTGACTCTGAAGTCTGTTTATTAAGTAGAACTGCGATCTGTTCACCATAACTGCGGAGCTCTTCCCCTGGGATGCGTTGGAGCAATTCCAGGTCCTGGAGATTGCGCTGTCCCTGGAGGAGATCTGAAAATGCTTTTGGAGTGACTTCAAGGCCCAATTGGTAACACCCCAATCCATCCCAGCTGTCTGCTCCAGCGGAGAGAACTGCTGTCAAGGGGTTGGTCTGGCCATAGTCATTCACAGCAGGATGCTGAAATTGGACGAGGGCTCCCGGGTGTTGCTTCTTCTCAGGCGCGGGCAGCAAACTCAGTCTGGCAGCCAAATCTGGAACAAACTCGTGCAATGATTCATACAGAGCTTCGTGGCCGCATGATGTCTGGGAGATTTGGTCGTTTGCCCTCCAGACATCGTGAGCCTTCATGTTATCATCGTGCTTCATCCACATCAACGCTCCAAGCGGCTTTTCGGCCACCGTCAGCGCGGCCGCAGAGTCCGCGTCGGTCAGAGCAGCTTCGTGCCCAATCCAGACTAGCGTGCTGTTGAAGCGGCACCAGTTGAAACTTCGCTGCACGACTGCATATTGTACTATTCCCCAAGAAATCGGAGTCAGTATATTATTTCGGGTACTTTCAGGGTTGAACGTTCCAGAAACTGTGGGGCATTGCGAGCAGAATGTTCTAAGAGCTCTTCAGGATAATAGGAGTAGAATGTCCCAAGATTTGTGAGACATTGCTAATACTCCAAGAAGTTGGGACTTACGTTCGGCGCTATCATCAATCGTCTCCCACATCATCATGGGAGGACCATGCACCACCCTTTGCGCGGCGATTAACCTCTGGGCTGTACGCATCCCCGTCATTTGGAAGTAGTTTTGCCTGTCGCCATCGCGTCGGATAGTTCCATTGCGACAAATGATTCCCCTGATCAGCCCCATGTTGATGTCGCGAGCGTCGCGCTCACTGAGATACTCAGGTGGCCCCATCTCGAGCCAGACGTCTATGCCGAGGCCATTGATGTATTTTGCGACCGAGTTCAAGACCGCAGGTTGGAAGTGTGACTGGAACTCGGCCAGAACAACGCCAGTGAATGGCGATTGTGGGCCGTTCTGGAAATGAGTGATCATCGTCTGAGAGAGGGCGAATAAACACTTTATTACATCCTCGCTATGAGAGGAGGCGTCTGAGTTCGCCAATGTCGCCACATTCAGTCTCCCAAGTATGTGTGTGGAGGTGGGTCGACATATCGCAAGTGCATCCAACACCCCCTCTTTCAGAGGGTTGAGGACGAGGACGTCCCATTGTGAGAGCAGACGTGCCTGAGAGAGCGTGGGAGGGTTATCGAAGCTGCCGAGGTATACCCCAAAAGACTTTAGTTCTTCAGACGAGGCTTTCTTCAGCGAGAGGGGTAGTTGAGAGAGACGTTTGGTGCTACTTCTTAGACGTTCGAGGTATCGGGCGACGGGTGCTGGTACGACCACTTTAAGTTGTCTTGCCTATATGAAGTCATAGATGGTGAGCATGTCGCACGAAGCAAATAATTGTCGAGCAGATGGATGATGGGACTTACTTTCCAATAACTCTTCACCGAGAGATATATTCGATATACTATGTATATCGAACCAATGATGATGGTCGCAAGGAGGAAAGCTGCCAAAAGCTCCAAGTCTCAGTTAGCTAGTGGCCCAGCAGAGGGATCGCAACACGATACCTTGTCCCACCAGGATTCCAGCATCAAGTGCCAGCCGACCACCGTCAAACCAGAATATACTGCCTCCATATCGACTCAAATGAACAAATGAACAAACGAACAAGAAAAAAACGAAAGTCAGAACGAGTGAACAAGCAGCTAAAAGAGCGTCAACATTAACTATCAGAGCTCAAAGAGCAGAGATTTGGTATATAAAAGCCGTCAGGTGGCGCAAGTACGCTCTTGTCACTTTCTGGTCGGGCTTTTCCTGGACTAACTTTGCGGTGGCTAAGCCGTACGAGAAGTCTCGTGTAGGTCCTTGCCCCCCTTGCAGCTACTTCTATCTGGCCGAAACAAGCCCCCCGCGCTCCCATACTGTCAAGGATCATTGCCATGGAGGCGCAGCTGCCATACGATGGCGCTATGGACCCTGTGGTGGGTTCTGAGCAGCCACTGTTTCCAAATTAAGCTGGCCAAACTGGAAACCCGGACCTGCAACAAGGAGAGTTCTCGGCCTTCCCGCTGATGATCTAGACTTAGACCACTTCTCAATATTTTTCTCTCCTTCGCTTGATATTCCTGATCAGGGTATCAAGAGTATTCTGACTTTTCCAAGATCCTCAACCTTCTCGAATCTCGTTACTCCACGTTTGCCTCCAAACATCACGTTTTTATACCCTCCCACTAGATTCTTTTCCTTCTTTTTAAATTCGAAGGGGCTTTTTCTTGATCCTCTAGTCTGGAAACATGGAGAAATTCGCTCGCCCCAAATCGCCATCCAGAAAACGGTGGAGCATTGGTCTTTCCATTGCTGTCATCATTGTGATCATTATTGTTATTGTTGTTCCATTGGCCGTCCTCCTCCCTGAACGGGGGCACAAAGGCCAAAAGTCCGCAGTTATTCTACCTTTATATATCTATCCCAGCAACAGCTCATCTTGGGATCCGCTTTATGAAGCGTAGGTTGAAAATTTCCAAGTGGTCCCGTGCATTTTTCATTCGAGCAAAGATACTGATGACCTCAGGCTAGATGCTCACCCTGAACTTCACTTTCTGGTGGTGATCAACCCCAGCAACGGCCCTGGCAACAACCCCCTTCCAGACGACAACTATTCAGCTCAGATCCTCAAGCTGAATAACTACACCAACGTGGAAACAGTCGGGTATGTCAGAACCGGATATGCCACCCAGAACATCACCAACGTGGCCGAAGAAGTAGCAACGTACGCAGGCTGGGACACGCAAAACAATAGTCTGGCAATGCACGGCATCTTCTTTGACGAAGCACCGCACGAATATTCGGCCGACGCAGTCTCGTACATGCAAATCGTCAACCAGGTGGTCAAAAATTCGACCTTGCAGGGCGCTAAAACGGTAAGTTTGCACCATTTCTCTATTTCTTTTTTTATCCCAGGACCCTGTCCCGTCTCCCAAGGACTTTCCAACACCGGCTGTGTCGGCCCCAAAGCACATGCTGCTCACCAGCCAATAGGTGATCCACAACCCAGGCGTGATCCCTGATTCCCGCTTCGACGACTCAACCACAGACATTACCGTCATCTTCGAAGAGTCGTATCCCGTCTACCAGACCAAAGTCACCGCACTCACCGACCTGAACAAGAAGAATCGGACCGAGTACGCTTACATGGTCAACTCGATACCCACGCAGAGTCTGAACGCTCTCAGGTCGTATGTCGACACTTTGAGCGAGCACGCCGCTTACTTGTTCGTCACGAACAACAATCAAAATTTCTACGATAGTTTTGGCAGCATGTGGAGCGACTTCACGGCTGTCATTCCGACGTAGCATGGACGTTGCAAGCAACATCATCAATCAGCAAGGGGCGTTCGGTTCACCTGTGCTTCTTCCCTAGAAGGTACTAAGAAGCGGGTGGCTTACTATGGCGTCAAGACACGTAACTTGGTGGGGTACTAATAGGGGGATCTGGGGAAGGGGAGTTCAAACTCGATCGATTTTTCTCACTTTCACAGCCTTATGGCTGTGGGTATGTCACTCTAGCGATTACGGGACTTTTGTTAGGCATTGGATTTATCGGCAGCGCCAGCTTACTCCCTCGATATCCAATCGGATCACTTAACGGAATAATGTGTTGTTTCCTTTTCTTCGAATGTCCCGGTGTCGTGATAATTCTCGTACTGGGCCCATAATTCGCCTTCCTTTTCTGTACTTTATTTAGAAGGTTCATCAGGATTTGTGAACGTTGACTCAATCAGTGGGGCTCGATCAGCTTACATTCGATAGCGTGCAGCCTGAAGTACATAAGCTACGTTTCACGTCCCAGCCTCGCAAGTCCGAGAACCAACAACCAGGAGACAAAGATCTAGTACCTGGATCCAAGACCTGTACCTTGTTCGACTATTGGAAATTTTGACGCTGGGTGTCGGGAGGGGTGACGTTCGAAAGCTCCTGGGGTCAGCCTTTGCCGTGGGTGTCTTGACGCTGAGCAGGGTCTAGCCCTGTACTGCTCCAGACTGGTGGTCCACGTAGCCAAGCCTTCCCGCATGAACAGTTGTGGGAAAAAGCCGCCACTCCCGAGATCCATTCCGCGACAGCGGCGCCTCGAGGTGTGGGTACGCTAGCACCCAGCCAATCTAGCGCTGCTGGTGCCGCCGCTCGAAGCCTATCGCATCTTGTAAGCCTCGTGGCGGAATTCCAAATTTTTCATTCAATGTTGCTTGAGTGGGGTTGCGAAGAGACATGGCAATTGGACATGAGAGATGTGTCTGAGGAAGTCATTTTCGCTTGCACAGTGTCTTATCAGATTCTGATCCCGTACTCCCCCCCCTAATTACCCATAGTTAATGTAACAGTAGGTCAAAGTGCAGGGGGGTTTTTTGCATGGTAACTGGACCGTGCCAGGCTGGTTTTGCGAGGACCCACTATTACATTTATTTAAGTGGGGGAGAGTATTGTGATATTTGATATTCACACACGGGAGGCACCTGGTAGGATTACAAAGGCTGCAACGCCGCAGAGATCGGTGTGGTGTGACACTGAGGCTCAAATCACCTCAAAATCTCTTGAACAGGCAATTGCGGCGCTGGGAATCGTGTTACAGCGAGAAGCAATTTTGCCATTCGCTGGTGATGTTTTGACGTTGAGTCAAGTCTGCCCCAGGCTGTTCGGGAGAGGTGGGGGATGCTGTCGAAACTCGGCGCGTAACCGGCCTCTCCGAACCCGGCAAGCCAAAGCGCACAGCACTTGCCCCTTTTCGCTTAGCGAGGGGATCGCTGGTTGGGTCCCGTAGGCCGGGGCCATGCACGTGTCTAATAACCCAGTATGCAAAAAGGTGCTGACGACAAGGTCAAAAAATTTCCGCCGATAATGCTCAAGCATGATATTTCCCGTGTTCTCGAGCCGGAACCAAGCATTATTCGTGAAGCGTTTAAAGTGCTTAGCGGAAAAGGGGATTAAAGAAGGAAGGTTTGCTAAGATGGATTAATATTCCGGGTGAGGGGATTTGAGTTTTTATTTGTGCGACGACCAAACTCAAACTCATATCGGCAATACGAGGTTCACGGCTCGTTTGATGCAAGCTGAACATACTGTAGAAGCTAGGATGTTCTTATGATTGTCCCGTGTACTTCCTAGTGGCGGTGAGATGCAGAACGGTGATTCAATGATGCGACGCATAACCTTTCCTTGCTCGACCCGATGGGCCTGTCCTCCTCAAAGTAACTACGCTACAGTACAGTACGCTCAAGCCGTCTAAGTCTCAAACGCCGCAATGAACTCTCCCCAACTATCGCCAAAGCTCTCGTAGAAATCATTGACTAAATCAGTAACAAACAGATATGCTCCACGATAACGCAGTTTTTGCAATAGAGCGAAAATCTCAGTACTTGGCACCCCGGAAACCATGTATCCTGACCGGGGCTGATCGTAGTGGTAATCCTTAAGGCGCTTCTGGACTTCCTCGCCCTGGTACCGCTCGTAAGGCTCTTCGCAAGTGACGATCACATCCGGACCGGGACTCCCGAGCTCGGTGTCGGGAGGCGTGCCGGGGTTGTGGATCACCTACGACAGTTCCCAAAAATCAGATACGAGCTTGACGGTCTTGGGCAAGGGGGGCCTGTTTCCTTTTCTGCTTTGGAAATACTGGGAGGGGTTAGACTCACCAATCGATCGCCCTGTATGCCTGGAGCGGCTTTGATGTGTTGGCACAAGGCATCCAGATACTCAGCTCTCTCGGCCGTGTAATGGTTCGGCGTCTCATCAAGCAGAATCCCTCCAACACCAAGACCCGTCTTCTCGTACTCGGTGGCCCAGCATGCATAAGTGTCTATCTCGGTACAAACTTCGCTGAGAGGACGCTTGCAGTAGTCGATACGGATATAGCCAGCTGTCACAACGTTTGCGTGCGCGTTCAGCTTTGGTATTTCTCGGCTGTAATCACGGTTGGCCACGAAGATGTCTCCTGGCCCACTATTGGGGTTGACTATCACGAGAAAGTCGAGGTTGGGGTGATTAGTTATCCTATTTGTGACAAGTGTGAGTATTGGGTATGGTGATTTGATAATGTGAGAATGACTGCCGAGATCCGGGTTTCGGGGTCGAGAGGGGAGTAAATCAGGCCAAACATACGCTTCATACAAGGGCTTCCATGTTTCGTCATCCAGTGGGTAGATGTAAAGCGGGACGAGCACTGTGGCTTTGGGCTTCGTATCCGCAGCTGTGTTGGTGTGAGGTTCTGTTTCGTTGAGACATTGATCCATGTCTGCGCCTCGAAATTACGAGTTTGATAGAAGGAGCTGAGAACAACAGAAAATGCCGGAATGAGGTACCAGGTAGCAAGCTCCGTTTGGGGATTGTCCCGTGCGAAGACAAGACAAATTGTTGTATAAGTAGTTTTCCGAGCTAGTGCATAAAGAAAAACTTTTAATTTGCCGTCTAAGAGCGGCGCTGAGCCCTGTCTCGAACCTTGCCCCTTGCGCTAAATTTAGCCCGCCTCAGATCTTGATAGTTGCAATACGGGCCGCCAGCATTTTCTCACCCATTGTGTATGCAAGACCATATTTGAGATCAAGCTAGTAAAGGACTTACCTTTGATTTCCGTATCGTACCAGACGATAGCGTCTACTCAAGCCCTGCAGCAGAGTTGAGAGGTGGTAGTTAGTAAGCCGGCCGCCACGAGCCGCTGTAACTGAGACAAGGGACGAGGCTCAAGGCTCACTCCAGCGCGCGTATGCTGTACAAGTTTGCAGACCGCGGATGGGAGTATATATGAGAACCCATGTGACCTTTTTACCTTCACAATCGTTTCCACAATCGTTTCCGACTTTCGTTAAACCGTTAAACATGGATTCAAGACATGTCTCCGAGAGGAGTTCCCCAGACTCTTCGCCTTGTATCTCATGTCCCTCTACTCCAGCAACACATCCAGACGAATTATTCGATGACGCCTCCTTCCTCTCTGACAACGAGCAATTCGTCCTCGTCACCGGCGGTCTTGGGTTCATTGGCAGTCACACAGTGCTCGAATTATTGATCTCCGGCTATAATGTAATCATCGTCGACGACCTAAGCAACAGCTTCCACGAAGTCTTCACACGAATCCTCACCATCGCAAACCGTCACTTCCTCACCATCGGCGGGCATTGCCCAAAAGCTGAATTCCACAACCTTTCATACCGAGACCTAGCATCTATGCGCGCGCTCCTCAAATCCCACTGCCCATACTCTCTCCCAGGTGCTCAAAGACCCTCAAACATCATCGGCGTCATCCACTTCGCCGCATACAAAGCAGTAGAAGAGAGTATCCAACAACCGCTAAAATACTACCAGAACAACATCAATGGACTCGTCGACTTTATGACCTTGCTGGACGAGTTTGATATCAAGACTTTTATTTTCTCATCTTCTGCGTCGGTGTATGGGACGTTGGCTGATGGGATCTCTCTTCTGAGAGAGGAGCATTGTGTACATGAAAACTTGACATATCGGGATAGCGATGGTGTGGGAAAATGTGCTCAACAAGGCTGCACGGGAATAACCAATCCATATGGGAGGACCAAATTCTTTGGCGAAGCAATACTCTCTGATCTTGCGAAGTCAGATCCTTCGTGGAATATTGTGGGACTTCGGTATTTCAACCCCGTCGGCTGCGATGCCTCTGGCTTGTTGGGCGAAGACCCAAAAGGTGTTCCGTCGAACTTGCTACCTGTTACTGTCAAAGTCATGACGGGACAAATTCCAGAATTAGCGGTATATGGAGGAGACTGGGATACGCCTGATGGAACGACGGTGAGGGATTTCATCCACGTGACGGATTTAGCACGGGGCCACATTGCAGCATTGGCGGCGACTAATAATGGGAATATCAAGGGAGGTTACCGTGCTTTTAATTTGGGAACTGGGACGGGGTATTCGGTGCTGGAGGTTGTGGCCGCTATGGAGTCTGTTTCGCAAAGACCTGTTCCGAGGAGGGTAGTTAGTAGGAGGGCGGGCGATGTGCAGTGCTCTGTGGCCGCAGTTGAGAGGGCGAGAAAAGAGTTGGGATGGGAGACGAAAAAGACGTTGAGGGATGCGTGTGAGGATATGTGGCATTATTTGAAACATGGTGGAGAAACGGGTTGATTGGGGAATAGACTTGGTCCATCACTGGAAGAAAGATGAGAGTTTAGAAGTATTCCGTGGTACATAGGTGCATGTACACGTCAACAGAATGCGACGCCATGATTGACGACGATCATGATTTAGAGAGGTTTTGAAAAGAAGGTCTAGGTAATTTTTAGTAGATGATTGCGCTCGGGACTCGGGAGGATGGAAACTTAGAGGAGGCAAAATAATATATGTATATATATTTACACTCAGATATCTCATGAAAATTTTAGAATATGAAATCACAGTTTCCCGTTTTTGATATGACCGCTGCTCAAGAATCTGAACTTCTGAAGCCCACTATCTATCTGTTTTCAGCGGCCATTTCTTCTTTGCAACGAGTTTGAAACACCACAGAGGCTAAAAATCACAGATGATCTCTCGAGATCTACAAGACTCAGTTGATTTCTAATAATTCACTCGTTAATAGGAGCCAGTAGCTGAGCCCTACTTTCGCTTAAGCTGATCACTATTATCAATAAGCGTACCCTTGTATTTCCCATAGTAGGGATTAAATTTCCTCACCAAAAACCACACTGTATCTACTAGCCTTAATAATATATAGACACCTGCGTTCGTGCTTAGCCACCTCCACCCTGACCTCTTGCCCTCACGGCCCCCTAGGCATACTCCTAGCATATGCTTAACCTTTATTACTAAGAAGCACATAAGTAAGTTAGAATACATCTTGCTTTACTATTGCTATTATCTCTAGTATATACTTGGCATATGGAACCCATATACTTAGCATATGCCAACCTTAACGCGTAGGGCCTTTACGCTTTAATATATCCCAATGCGAGAGGCTCTCACTGCCCCTAGCCCCCCGGGACCAACCCGGACCCTAACCCCTGGCCCTAAGCCCCCTCGCAAGCTCGGGACTAACGACCTTCCTAGCCCTTATATATACAAAGCACAAGAAGGGTCTATTCAAGCATATGCCTAAAATATAACCGCTACAGAACCTATTCATTTACTCAGCTAGCTATCTTGCTTCTTTAAGCAAAAATAGTGATTAGCTAAAACAAACGAGCATATGCAGAGTTTGATAATAGTGATCAGATTAAGCGATAGTAGGGATCAACTAAAACCCCCGTCAAAAGCAGGCAAAGAAAGTCGGTCGATCAGAGTTTTACTCCCCTTCCCTGCTCTCGTAGTTCGAACGCATACTAACACTTCAAAAGATTTCAACAATGACTAAACTTTTGAATAATGGCTACCAAATGAATAAAGGCAAATAGACTCAAGACTTGAACACGTTCCGTTATTGGATGTTGTATTCAGTGAAGCAGTTGAACTCTTGAAATGTTTCGCTGCTCCAAGGAGAGCCAACGAATTGACACGTGACTCATGGTAGCTGGCGTTAGTAAAGACAAGTATTAACTTAGGGGAAAGTTTAGCATGAATAGGGAGGGCTTACTCGTTTGAATTACCCAATTTTTGTTCTTGAGTCGGAAGGTTGGCATGAAGTGGCGTCATTGATGGTTACCACGCCCACTCGACTTCCATATCGTGGACTAATCTTCACGATCATTAAACACTCTATCAATGGCAGCAATCAGGAATGCACTACTTCTTGCAAAAGTAAATACTGTTTTTCTCAGAACCTCCAATCCTCTCTAAGCAACAATATTAATAAGGTTCCACTAGGACACTATCATAGAACACACACTTCGGCCAGGGAAACTTCAACGTTAAGCTGGCAATCCCACCAATACGCCTCAACCGCTTCCAAGGAGCAATTCAATCCGTCTACGGGCTCTTTGAAGTACTCAGCCCCACAACTGCCTCAACTTGGACACCACACCCCAAATCCGGTTGCCATCGCGGGCGCTATCTCTAGACCGATGCCTTCGGGGTTTTCAATTTCCTCACCCTGTACCATCTCGCTTCTTCTTCTCCTCTCTAGTTCGCCCTCGCAAAAGCCCTCGTTCACTCAGTCCATGACGTTCTTGGCAGAACGAGAAGGGGAAAGAAAAGCTTGGAGGAGCGACGTATGATGAGCCGCCGAAGGGAGGATTGAGGATTTGGAAGTTGGAAGAGGATGGGAGTGATAGCGATAGGATGTACCACCATTACCTGAATTCGTGGATGTTTGCTCTTAATCGGCTGTGTGTGGCAAGTGGAGAGATAGAGTGGAATGAGTTGGCGATTCAACTTGCGAAGGCTGTGCATGAGAAGTTTATTGTCACGGGGACAGGTGGGAGTAAAAGGATGGTGTGAAAGATAAGCAAGGATATGGAGAGGATGCTGGTTCCGAGTGAGGGCGATCTAGATGCTGCTACTGGATTTGTGGGTTCTCGGTTTGTGGAGGAGACGGCAGGGGGTACGGTGCTGGAGAAGGAAGTAAGGGGTATAGGGAGATGATAGAGGGAAAGTTGACCGCGAGTACAGATTGCTTGGGCTTGAGGATGGCGCTTCGGATGTGTCATTTATTTACTGCTGAGGAGGAGTGAGCAAGAACATTGGGCGAGAAGTGCCTGGCTAATTGCTGTAAGTTGTTTTGGACAAAGAGGAGTCGTGGGCGATGAAGTGATGCTGATTTTGATAGCGGAGCTTCTAAAAGGCACTGGGGGTATGGGGTATCCTAGATTGAAGCCCGCAATATCGACTTGCATTCAGGGAGTTTGGTGCTTGTTTGGGAATTGGTTGTTACAGAGGGGAATGAAAATTTGGCTGCAAGAGCGAAGGCGGTAATCAAGTTCTGGGAAGATTATACGGAGGAAGTGACAGCAGACTATTTAAGACCGATTTAGTTGGTTATGTATGCTGCCTCATTAATCCCAGGAAGTGAGTTTAGTTGACCCTGTTCTCAAAAGCAGTGCTGATGGTGAATAGCTTTCAAGAGTGGATTCCTTGTTTCACCGGCGGAACAATCAACACAACGGGACTGAGGAAAGTGGTAAATCCGAATAGGAGAAATTTAATGATCAATTTTGAAAAATGGGTATGGGTCAACAAGAAAAGGGGTTCATTGTCGGAAATTCTGAAGGCGCTTAATGAAACAATTCCGCTGCATTTTACTTTGCGTGTATTATAAAAGTTCTAGGTACCGAAGTTGCAGCCGTTTGAAGTTCTTCTCGACAATGTTCGATGCAATTTCAAAGATCGGGGGTTGGAAAGTATCGGGCAGTGCTGTCACTTCATGAAACCCCGATCGGTCTGACATTGAAACATCGCCCTCTATGCCCAAACCATTGCCATGTTCATAACTTTAACAATAGCACCCATAGACGTGTGCCCAACAGCCTTTTCCTCCACCTCATCATCCCGAGCACAGATCCAGGCATCAAGCAGAGCGGTCACTACCTCACACATGAAAAGTGCTCCAACGGCCTTTCTCTAGCCCGTATACAGCAGTGCGAGAACAGCGACTCCCGAATTGATATTTCGTGCTCCAGCAAATGATAGAAGGGGAGGACCTCTGGGGAGTCAGCGGCTAAAATCGGGATACCGAGGGTGTTGCTGAAGGCTTGAGGGTCCATGAGACTTTGGGTGCCAGCGCCGATGGCGAGGTGGCTTATTTGAGAGGATATAGGAGCAGAATATGGCTGAGGTGGTTCTATTAAGTTGACGTTGTGCTTAGATGACTTTGTTGGATCATTGGATCTTGAGGAGAAATCATGATTGATGAGTTGACGAAAGAAGTTGAGCTAGAGGTCAAAGTTTCGCGTTGGTGCTGATTAACGTAATGAATGCGGAGCAAAATGTAGGCTGCATATAGGAACATTATTAGAAGTCCAAGAATGTGAACAGGGTTGTGGCAATTACCGTACAAGAGCTGAAATGTATTGTCTTTAAGATCTTCACTCACGAGTTAAAACTGAAATTCGACTGCAAACATGCACTGTTAGGGTTTAAGGTTAACTGCCTTGAAGCAGATGGATGTCTGAAGTAATACTACTGTAAGGTTCTTAACAACTATTAATTAGGTCACAAGAAAGATATAGACTTTTTGGAAGCTATTCAATATCAGTTTTGACAAGAAAGAAATCCAGTTTGAGGAGGGCAGGCTGTTTAATGAGGGGTAAGGCAAGCCACAGTGAAAGAGGCTTGCATTAGTGGCAGCCAACCCCCTTTCAACATTGGTTCACAGCCGCCGCAGGGATAAATAACCTGACGGGCCCTGCCCATGTCTCGAAGGGTGCGGACGCCAGTACGAAATGCGGTGAAGGGGCCGAACAAATTTCTTTTTTAAGCTTCACAACCAGCCTTCCTTTCGGAACTTTCCCAACACAACATTGCGCTTCAAACGGATGTAGAAGTCACTCCTTGATGCTTGTCATTTACAGCGCCAGCCAGCAGATTATCACAAGGAACTCTGTTCAGCCCAAATATGATGACCATCAACCCAACCGGAACGCCAGTCTGGGCAGAGATCTTGATCATTCCCATCGCGCTCATAGCCCTATCTATTGCTCGACACATAATACAGCAGTTGCTATTCCCCAACAAGGATGAACCGCCTCTGGTCTTCTCTTGGCTTCCTTTTATTGGGTCAACAATCGACTATGGTATCGATCCCTACAAATTCTACTTCAAGTATCAGAAAAAGGTAAGTACTGTCTTCTTCCTTACTTTTCATACAATTGGCATTAACGTATGTCAGTATGGTAACATATTCTCGTTTGTACTCGTCGGAAAGAAACATACGGTCTGCCTTGGACTAGAAGGGAATAATTTTGTGCTTAACAGCAGCGTGAGCGAGATCAGTGCAGCCGACATCTACCGAGGCCTTACCCTTCCGATCTTTGGCAAAGACGTCTGCTATGATTGCTCTCCGGCAAAGCTTATGGAGCAGAAAAAGGTACGGTGGCTGTTCAATGGCCAGGGAACAACATTTCTGACCAACTACAGCTTTTGAAATACAGCTTGACGGCAGATAAACTGGACTCCTTCGTCCCCGTATTTCTCGATGTAATGCAGAACTACGTTGAACACGCCGAAGATTTCCAAGGAAATGAGGGCGTTTTTGATGTTGTTGAGTGTATGGCCGTCACGACTATCTTCACTGCAGCCGCCTCGCTTCAAGGCAAAGAAGTAAGGGAAAAGCTCGACCAGGGACTTGCTGACCTCTACCACACCCTTGACCTAAGCTTCATCCCCATCAATTTCTACCTTCCTGGATTACCACTTCCAGTGAACCGAAGAAGGGACGAAGCACATAAAAAGATCGCTGCAATTTACACGAACATCATTAATCGCCGACGAGCGCTCGGGGGCGAAAGTGCCCGCGAAGCAGACGACGACATGATATGGAGCCTAATGCGCTCAACCTACAAAGATGGCACACCTGTTCCAGACCACGAAATCGCAAACCTGATGATCGGCCTCCTCATGGCCGGACAGCACAACGCCTACTCCGTCGGCTCCTGGATCTTATTCCGGCTCGCGTCACGTCCTGATATCCAAAAAGCGCTATACCAGGAACAGAGGGAAGCTCTTGGCACCGACCTCATTATTTCAGCTAGAAGAGATCTTGTGAGCAAGCTTCCTCTGCACAAAATGGTTGTTCGCGAGACACTACGTCTTCACGATCCGATTCACACTGTCATGCGAGCCGTCAAAGTACCATTAACATTCACTTCCACGTCTCGGTCGTATAAAATCCCCACTTCCCACGTCCTAATATCAGCCCCTGGTGTGACCGCCCAATCTGCAGAGTATTTTCCCGAGCCAGACAAGTGGGAGCCGCGAAGGTGGGAAGCGATGACTGATTTTCTGGAAAGGGGGGAGAAGCGAGGTGCTATGTCCGCTTTTCTGCCGTTTGGAGCGGGGAGACATCGCTGTGTGGGAGAGGAGTTTGCCTATTTGCAGTTGTGTACAATTATTGCTTATATGGTGAGGAATTTTGTGTTTAGGCCAATGGAGGGAGAGGGGGTTCCGAAGACGGATTATACGGCTATGCTTACGAGGCCAGTCTTGCCGGCTAGGTTGCAGTGGGAGAAAAGATCTAAGGAGTAAGTTGTGAAGCAAGGGAGTTAATAGATAGTTTTCAGTTAGCGATTCATGGCGGCCTTACCCAGCCGGGGCGTTTTTCTCGAGTGATTGATTTGAATTGAAGGTTGCCAATCGATGTGAGTGGGTTTTTCTGGGGTGGACAGAAAGTCAGACGTGAATATGTCAAGTGGGGAGTATACTCTTATTCTGACGGCTGAAGCATTACCAAATATAGCATATCTGGATTTTGACACGTGGAGTGAGTCTTTGTCAGATTTTCCCCGTTAAGCCGAGAACTTCTTTCCTCACTGTTTCTCCAGCCTCATTAAAGAACTCGACGCCGTCACTACCTAATACACCGGCATATCAAAAGCATCCAGTTCGTAGATCCAACTATCAATGGATCCTTGATCATACACACACTCCAAATTCAAGCCATTACCAGTGAAAAGTGGTCTCAATGGCCACCCACAAATTTGTTGATTCTGCCCCTTGTTTTGGCCCAGTAAAATCGTCCCATTTAACGTCACTGGCGGCACATCCTTCTCCACCCAATCAATCAGATTCGCAAGAGCCGTTTGCGGCCAAGGACCATTGCTCTCCGCAGCGTTCGGTGCACAATGCGAACCCCCAGGAACCAAGAACAAGCGGTAGAACTCTTGGGTCGCCGCCACGCTCTCGTTGTAGCTCACCCCGGGGTTCATGATCTTGTTCACAGATTCCCAGTAGCGAACTGAGGAGGCCGTGGGAATGCTGAAGTCGGATTCGCCGTGAAAATGTATTACTTTGCCGCCAGCTTTCTTGAACGGTGTTAAATCCGGCTAATTCGTCATCAGGACGTCGTTGTACTTGTTCCAACCTTCGTCGATCCATTCGACCAGTGTGTCGTATGTCACGTTGTCAAGACTTGGGAGGTTGCTTCCTATCTGTAAATCCAACAGAACCTTGACGAAGGAGCCACCAAGGCTGGTGACTGAAAGCTCCCATTTACCGGAGGTTGGATTCCACTGGGTCTGTGCATCTGTGAATGTTGAGCTGGGTGTGTATGTGAAGTATGCACGCCGTCCCTCAGAATCGTGTAGTCCCTCGAAGATCTCCTTGGCGAGGGCTACGCCTTGTGCCGTCACAGTTCCATTCTGCTCCGGGGTAGCTGATCCGGATCGTGTAGCAGCCCCTGGGGCACAATAGTAAGGGAGACCTAGAGTAGCTGCTATGTCATACTGTGCTGTGCAAAGATCGGTCCTGGAAACGACACCATCGACTCTCCCGTCCAGGGAGTCGCAAGCGAGAATTGTGGCGTTGACGATTGCTTGGAGTTCACAGGGCGGTGGGAAGTAATTAAGGGTATGCTCGACGACGTTTGAATACAGATGCTGTACTTGCTGGAAAGCAAACCTGAATGCTGGAGCTCCGATTGAGGCGCCATCGAACTCATCCGCGAAGCGTTGGACTTGACTCCAACCCTCCCGGCCACCTTCTGAACATCCTTGATAGTAGGAATACAATTTCGTTGACTCGGACATGTTGAAAAAGGTCTTGGTGAAGCTTTTGCCTAGTTCTCCCATCTCGTGAATGGCTTCGTATCCAAACATGTAGATATTGTGCCAATTGAGTGTGCCATTTGCCACAAGGAACGTGTTAATCGCCGCGCCTTGATTTACGCCAAAACCGCCATCTGTGATTCCAGTCACGGCCCCATAAATCAGCCCCCCGGGAAGTGATTGCGTTCCAGAATTGATTGCATAACCTCCACCACCAGTTGATAGGTACCTATTTTGGAAGTTCCCAGGCGCAGGTAGCCAATATGTCAGGACAACAGTGTCATTGAGTCCATCGTGGGAGTAAGAGAAGCTGACATTGCAGTAATCGAACACAGCATTTGGGTAGAAGTTTGCGTCCTTGACTGCCGCACTATACACAGGGTTGGCAGAGACGAACGAATCAACCATTGAAATGCCCGGATAGATACCAGCTGGAGGTAAATGGGCTGTGACTGTGGCGTCAAGTTAGTAGAATATCTTGTTAAATGCCAGTGCTCCATGCACATCCAAAGATGTCAAAAGAGCTCGACTCTCTACCTATCTTTAAAATAAGTAATATGCACATACCATAGTCTATTGTGCACACATCAGCCAGGGATGGAACGGCATGTACAACAGCTGCTGGTACAATTGCAAAGCACGTCCATATGGAGGACCGCATGTTGACGTGGAAGAAGAACGGAGAGAGAAAACGTCAAACAAGGGTCTGAGGCAACGAATAGGTCTACATTCCGAGGCCTAGTCCTCAATATATATTGACATCCAGAGTGCTAATAGTGGTGGCGATTAATATTCAAGCTCGGGATTGCCGCGTACACGAGCCAGGTACCCCGCGTCCAGATGGCATGTGTGTTGTGGAGCAGCCGGAGTGAATCTTGATTTCGGTGAGACTATTTCTCCACAACGTATCTACGGCTGGCAAATGGCGCAGCATTGTGTCAGTGGAGATTTAGAGTGGCTGCGGATCACAGGGTAAAAGTTCGGTCCCGAGACTCTAGAGCCCCACAGCATCTTCCTTCCTCCCCACAGCCCCGCGAACAAGGATGCAATAAGGTGGTTCTTCCCTAGTGACGTTCGTTGTTTTAAAAACCAACAAGAGGGATGAAAAATTAGAAGTGGACCTTACGGAAATTTTGTGCCGAATTTCCTTCAGGTGTGAACACCACGTGTCGTACAGACATGCTTTGCAGAGTGTGTCCCCCTTTTGACTCGCTTACGAGGAGTTAGGGTGCAGCGTGTTTGTTCCGAACTCCTGCCCAGGTTCTGATGGTGCTATATGACGCGACGCAACGGACAATACTAAGTGCGTATAAAGTTAGCTCTTCGTCATTCATGGATATCAGACTGAAACGAGATACTTATAAGGATGCTGAATTGTTTCTGGAATTCTTAGGGGTCTTTTGTTTCAATTATAATTATTGTGCCCTTAATATTCCCCTTAGCTAGAGAGAGAGGCTCCATAAAATAACCTGAGTGCCTCGATTGCTTAACTTCTACTACTCGACCTCAAGTGGAATTCGCCATTTGGTATTGGTACGTTGCCGAATCATTGCATCTTATTAGGGGGAAGCAGAACGTTGGCTCAGCCTTATGTTGATTAAAGTTAGTTCGCAGCCTCTAAACTTAGTACTGGGCTCTAACTGTTATGCCCCTGGCCCAGTTTAGAGAGAATTAGAGATTGGTTCCTGGATTGTAATAATACCTGAGAAAATAGGTTTGATTTCTAGAAGTATACGAGGTAAAATCCTAAACATGCTACGAGGCCTTTTAGTTATTAGTATTATATTATTGCCTGATTAAAGAAGATCTTATATAAGTAGTTATATTATTACCAGGGCTATAAACAGAAGATATACTAAGTATTCTCGATATTAAAATACTAGAAAATAATCTATTTACTACTTTTCTTACTATAGTTAATACAGGTTACGAATTAGTCTAAATTATAGTTTCTTATAATAGAAAGTAAGCTAAGATTACGGTATAATATAATAATATAATATTTATATTTAATACTAAAAAGTTCGAGTTTACCTTATCTAATATACTAGTTATAAGTATATAAGTTAATATATCTCTTACTAGTTTTATTTTTATTAAGTACAAGTAATATATTATAACTACAGAATTAAATAGATTTAATTATAAGAATACCTCTATTAGTCTTATTATTATTAATATTAAAATCGTATTTAATAGCTAGTAAAATAATAGAATTTCTCTCGAATTTTAATAGGCTTATTCCTATATAAGTTTATATTTAATTCTAATAAAAAGATATTACTTGTTTTTAACTATAGTAGTAAGCTAGTTCAAATAGTAAATATAGCCTAGCTAGCCTTATATTAAGTAGTAAAATAAGAAAGAATTCTTTTTTAAAGAATTAAAAGAATTATTACTAATATAGTACTTTCTTAAACGAGGCTACTTAGATTTAGAAAAGAAAAAGGGATTTAAATAAAAGTTTTTTATAAAATTTCAAATATAGAATTAATAATTATAATAGAAAACTATATAATTTAATATTAAATATAAAATAGAAGATATAAAACTATATTCTAATTCTCTAAAGAAATTAGAATAATATTATAAAGTTATTCTTCTTTATTTTAGGCCCAAGTAAATCTAATTTATTATTAATTAATACTAGTAAAGTTTTTGCCTTAATTCTATTTTATAAAGGCATATAAAAAATTCTTAATTTAAGAATAAATATAGTCTAAGCTAGAATTTAAGAGCCTAGAAGCTCTATTAGACTATAAGGGGCCTATAATTATAGGATATAATACTAAAATTTAGTTATTTGAAATTATGAAATTAGTATATTTATACTAAAGAGTTAATAACTGTATTTTAGTTAAAATAGCCTGTTATTATTAAAGATTTGAATATATTAAAACATAATTAATATTAGAATTAAGAAAATAATAAGATTTTAATTTTATAATAAATATATTTTAAAATAAAGTTTTTAAAAGCTTTATAATAATAATAATAATATTCTTATTATTAAAGAATTATTTATTATTAAGCTATAAAAGCAAGGCTTTATAATATTTTACTTTAATTTAGATTATAAAAAGCAAGAAATTAAAAAGGTAATTATAAATAAAAAGAGTAATTTTATTAACTATTATAGATTTATATTATAAAAATAAATATTTAGTTTTTTTAATATAATATAAAAAATTAAATTATTTTATAAAATAATAATAACTCGAGTACTTTTAATACTAAAGTTAATAATAATAATTTTTATATTAGAAATATAATAATACCCGATATAAGTTCTCTTAATAACCTAGAAATAACTATTAACTTAATAATTTTAATAAGTAATATAATATTAATAATTTTCTTGAAATAGTTTTATATTTCTTTTTTATATCTTTTAAATAACTTATTATATAATTATATTATTATAAAGTATTATTAGAGAAATAGCTTAATTAAAAGAATTTTCTTTATATTAATTAGATTATAATAAATAAATATAATCTAGTTAATTTTATATTTAATACTTTTCTTATTAATAAGAAAAAGTAATAAGAAATAAAGGTAATAATAAGAATAAAAATAAGGAATTATAATAAGAAATAAATATTATAGTATTAGTAGAAATAACTAAAAGAATTAATAAAAGTTTAAGACTAGCTAATTAATAATAATTACTTTTTAATTTCAATATATTTATCTTTTAATTAGAATTCTAGAGTTATTTTAAGCTCGAGTATTAAAAACTAATTACTTTTACTAGTGTCTTTTATATTATAAAATATAAATATATAAATATTAGTTACTAACTTTAATCTTAGCTAATTATCTAAAGTTCCCTTATTAATACTAATTGAAATTATATTTTATTTATATTCTATATATTATTACTTATTTATAATAATAATCCGGAATAATTATAATAGAAGAGAAGTTTCTTTTAGTTAGTTAGCTTGACTTATTGCGAGTACTAGCTATATAAAGAAGATTAATAACTTTATTATCTAGCCAGTTAAGTAATATTCGTACCTTTTGAGTGGCTTTAGCTAGTATATATTACTATGGCCCTTGTTTGATAAAGCAGCTTTATTGACTACTGCGAAGGCAAGCCGTAACTCTGTTAATATAACGCGTATCCGGTCCCAGAATGGCAGAGCCGTTAATACCGGGGCTCTTGCATTGCAAAGGAGTAAGCTATTGAGTAGCAATAATAATGAGAGTGGATTGAGTAATAATGATCCCGAGTCCGGCAGCGACGGTGACGGATATTCGAGCGAGGACGAGGTAGGCTATTCGGATACGAGGTTAAATGTCCCATAGAAGCCTCTAGACGAGCAGCGCTTGCTGGCATACAAGAAAGAGGACAAGTCTTGGAGCTGGATCTTCCAGAAGTTCCCAACCAGAACTCCAGCCGTAGTACGCACGCAGTGGAACATGATACGGCCCAAAGTGGCATAGATTTTCTGGCAGCACGTGGACTGGAAACAGTTCAACCACTCTTCGCTTCCTTTTCCCTTGGCATCTACTGGGAAGCTGAAAAGGAATCTTGTCCTTTTGTCGGCCAGTCCCAACGCGGAAGGCAGGTACATTCGAGGAAAGCGGCGTTCAAGACGAGGAGGATAGGAGGTTCAGATGCATGGGCGGAACACCACAAAAGAATGAACAGGTTGACATTAGATGGAGACATGAGTTTTGACAGGTTCGTAGACTGAATGCATTAACTGAACTACTGAGTATCGTATGGACAGATAAGTCCCTGGTTTCGCTGGATCGTACGGTTTTCCCCCAGGCCCTTTGTGCCAGGAAAAGAAAAAGACCCCCCTCCCTTCCACAAACGCCCTCATAATGCAGATGCCCGATCCTCGCCTCGCTATGCATTTGCCTGCTCCTCTTTTCCCAGAGAGCCAATTGCCCTGTTGAACGCCTTGATCATGCCATCGTATATGATACGGTGGTCGTGGTTCTTTGCGACTGTAGTTTCTGGCGTTGCGGCCGGAATAAGAGTAACAGCGGAAATTGGTCTTGGATTGAAGTGCAAAGAAAGGCTCTAAAAGACGCCTAGAATCAAGCCAGAATCTGATCAAATTCAAGGCCGAGAGGAGGGATAGAGTCGAGAATCCGACGGTAAGGGGGACTGTGGCCGCGTGTGAGGTCGAGGTTCTTTGACATCAGCCATGTGCGAGGGCGACGAAGTTGTCGGCGGATACTTTTTAGTTAAGCCTCCGGATAGGGCAGGATTTTAGGCAATAAAGAGTCAAAACACTCGAGCACTCGAGTACTTGAGTACTAGAATACCAAAACTATGAAATTCAAAGCTATAAATTGCATGCTACTTAAAATTGGGCTTGGAATTGCACTAAAATTATACTTAGACTCGTACCTACTATTTATAGGGAGATCTTTACTTATTATAATAAGCCGCCCCCTCCCCCCAGGAGCTTTCCCTTAAAAAGCTGCCTTCTAGAAGAAGCTCTTTATGTTTTATATATAAAGAGCTCTTTATAAATAGCTTATTATAATATATAAAGAGCTCTCTATAAATAGTAAATATAAGTCTAAGCAGGCTTAGTAATATTTCACCCTGGAATATTCTATAGAACATTCCGGCCGGTATTAATAAGTATTAGATAATATTAGTAATAGAATATTCTAATTGTTTTAAAATAGTAGAGATAAGGCAAAAATAATAGAAATAGACAAATCCACTACTAGTTCCCCTATTATAGCTTTCTTTTTTACTTTTTATCTATTTATATAATTAATTTACCTTAAGTATATTCTCAAAACATTTTCTTTAATTAAATTAAACTATTTCCTTATATTATCCGAAATAATAACGTTTTCTGCGAATTATTTAAAGAGGATTTCCCCGATTTGAAAGCATTCTTATTATATATTACCTAATGAAAATAAAGCTTTATTTTAATATTTATATTATTAATTAGACTCTTTTCTATTATTATATAATATTACTATTATAAGAAATCTCAGAAAGTATATTCTAAGGTATTATTTACTTGTTTTTCTTAAGCCTATTAACTTTAAGAATTAGAAAAAAATTACTTAATAAATTCAAGGGCTTTATTATTAAGCTCAAGTATTTAAAAATATAAAAAAGTTTAATTTATAAGTTCTTAAATAATAAATTAATTAAAGAGTTCTTATAAAAGCCTTAATTATACTTATTATTATATAAAACCTTTCTTATAATATAGTAAAATAGCTAGAGTTCTATATACTTTATTAGCTCTTAAATAAAGCTTATAAAGATATACTTTTTATCTCTTATTTTACTACTTTTATTAAGATTAAAGAATCCTAAATTTGGTATAAGAATATTATATAACGAGTTCTTTAATTAATAATCTCATATATTTATATTTTCTTGAATATTTAAATTTCTCTAAATTCCTTTTTTCTTTTAACTATTTATATCTATTTTACCTTATATAAGTTTAAGTATTAAAAGATTCTTTTTGCTTTTAAGCTAGTTTATAGCTACTTAAGAAAAAAGTAATTTTTAGTTCTTTTTCTAGTTCTAAAAAATTATAATATTATATAAAGGCTAAAAGATATTATAAGTAATAATACTAGAACTAATAGAACTCTTTATAAAATAATTTAAGTATATTAGAAACAAGAGCTTAATATTAAATAAAACATATAATAAATACAAATTTGCTATATTAGTTATATTATTAATCTTATAATATAAGCTTTCTTATTCTTTAGATTAATTAAAATAGAAAAATTTGAATTATATAAATAATAGAAATAAACTCAAGAGATTCGTAAAAAAAAAAAAGAGAATTAAGTTTAGGCTCTTAGATTTATTTAGTAAAATATATAATATTATAGCTTATATTTATAAATTACTTACTTATATAGCTAAGTAAATAAAACTTATAAAAAGAATAATTTTAATAAATAATTATATGAGATAAAATAGCTAGTATAAAGTATTTATTATTCTTATTAAAAAAATGAAATATATAAATAAATATTATTAGAATTATAAAAAAAACCTTATAGAGAATTTCTTATTTTATAAAGACTAGAAAAAGCTTTATATAACTAGGGACTTTCTTATTACTTTCATATAAGCTATTCTTTTTATAAAAAGAAATATTATTTCTATTAATTATATACTTTTTATAATAGATATTTTAATTAAATTCTTTTAAGAAATAATTATAAGTCTTTTATTTTCATTTTTTCTTCTTATATAAGCTTAGCTAAATATAATATAGGCTAAGTTTAAAAAGAAAAAAGATAATAAAAATAAAAAGATCCTTATATAGCTTAATATTATATATATTATATTTAATAAGTATTATATTAAAATTAATCTCTTTTTCTTTTATACTATAGCCTTAATTCTTAATCCAGGCTTCTATATAAGATATATTAGAGCTAATTAGCCAAAGAAATATATAATTCTAGCTTTTATAAATATAAAGAAATTTTGGAAATATTATAGAAATTAAATTATTTCTTTATTATTAAGTAATATTATTTCTTTTTTATATAATAAAAAGCTATCTCAAAAGCTATTAGTACTTAATTTCTTTAATTGAATTACTTAATCTCTTTACTTAATTATATAACCTGTAAATAAAAACAAGTATAAGAATTATAATTTCCAGGAATTATATAATATTAATAAATAAGGGGCCTTAGCTTAATAAAGCCAGGATATATAAAGGAAATACTAGCTAAGGCTCTTACTTACAGCTATTAATATTCTTTTAATTCCTTTAATAAATAATAAGCCAGAAAGAGTTTTTTTTAGAGATATATTATATAATAACCTAGAATAAAAAGCAAATAAAAGCAAAGATAATAAAGATTAAAGAATACTTAAAGTATTAGAAAAGAACTAGAATCTTGCAAATCTTTTTTAAAACTAGCTAGTTTAAAAGAAATATATACTCTTTAAGACCCTTATATAATTAGAGAACCTTCTAAATATTATTTAAATTTTCTAAATTTCCAAGCTATAATTCTTATTTAAAGGCTATCTTTCCGGCTTTAACTTTCTTTTCTTTATTACTATTACTATTATTTATATAAGAACCTCTTGCTTTTCTCTACTTCTTATAATTATATTAATTATATAATAGTAATATATTAAATAATTTAGCCTCTAATAATAATTCTCTTATATAGCTTCCTGCTTCTAATAATAGTTCTCTTACTTTACCTTTTACTTCTAATTCTGGTCTTACAAATTCAACTAATAATAAGCCTCTAATTCTTAATTCTATTTATTATATAATAGCTAATATTTTTAAAAGCTTATTCTTTTTATTACTTTTAATATTAGTAGTATTTCTAATCTTAATATAAACTAGCCCTTTTCTTAAGGCTAATAAATAATAGGTATTATAAGCTAATAACTTACTTTTTTTATATAATATCTTATCTTTTACTATATAATAAAGCTAACTAGAATATAGTACTATAATAATTAATAATAATAAGCCTTTGCTTTTTTAGCCAGAATATAATTATTAATTCAAATCGTATTATAATTAGTTAAGTCCTTATATAATAATAGTCCTATATTAATATTCTTTTTATTTAATAAAAAGGAGTTAATATAATAGTTATTTCTTATACTATATATATTTATATGAGATTTAATAATATTATTTTCCTTAAATATATCCGGATTATAGATATATAAAATAGTTATTATAGTAATTACAAGTAGCCAGATTATACTATAAGCTATTACTAGAAAGGAAATAATAATAGTAATAATAGTAATAGAGAGATTAGTATAGGAAATTATAGAGAATATAGTAGATATAGTAGATATAATAGAAGTAATAGAAGTAGCCGTATAAAGCAAGGACAAATTATATAATATAGTATAGTAAAAAAGACTTCTTATAGTAATAGAGTTATTTTTAATAGTATTATGACTTAATAAAGGCCTTTCTGAGGTTATATAATGGTTTTTAGCCTCTTAATAGTATAATTAATAGAAGTCTTTGCAAAATAATGAGAATCTACAGGATTAGCTTTACTTAGGAACGATTGGAACGTTCTATTACCGCTCGTTCCAGATCCCTGGAACGAATTAGCAGAAACCGATTAGTCCGGAATATCGCCAAGCCTGAGTCTAAGTATAATTTTACTGCAATTCCAAGCCTAATTTTAAGTAGTATGCGATTTGTAGCTTTGAATTTCATAGTTTTGGTATTCTAGTACTCAAGTACTCGAGTGCTCGAGTGTTTTGACTCTTTATCGTCTAAAATCCTGCCCTATAGTATGGGTTTTAATGGCAAGGCGGAAAGCTGGCTATTTTGTTGAAGAGGAATAAGCATCCGTTAAGGCGGTCAGCGGTTTAAGTTTCTCCGCCCTGGGCTAAGCCTAAAATGCACTAGTATCATCTTACATGATTAGTTCCTTCAAGCCTATGTAATCTCCTGCAGCTCAGGGTTTGATGTTTTCTTTTTTCTGCAAACAGGTCTAGAGAAACTGTACGATATAATAATACGAGGGATGCCAATAAACGGGCGAACTTATTGTATAGTACATTAATTGTTGCTAGTAACGATGTTGCGCCATATGTCTCCTTCCGATGTGAACCTCTTTATTTTCTTTTGTGGTGTATCTGATCCCCCCCAATCCTCCTCGCCTTGAACCCCGCTTCCCTCGACCATAACTGCTCCCGCGTCGGGACTGGCCGACAGAAGGACAAGATTTTATTCAGACGTGCGTCCCGGCAGTGGGAGGGAGCTTACTATATATGGGGCAAAATAATCCGCCGCCAAAGGGGTGATGCAGCAGTGACCATTTTTTGTTTATAGTGTAATAAGCACTGTCTTTGCTAAACTTGGCACCCCGGCAGAGTCAAGAGCAAAGAGCATCCAATAACCGGGCAAAGCAACACCGGCATCTCCAGGCACCATAATTGTATACTTCAGCCCACTGACAGTTGGTGTCAATGGGATACATCTCTGATCTGTGTTCACCGTGTGGGTCGTACTGGCCATTCGGATCAAAGAGAAGCTGTTAACAGCCCCAGCCATGGTGACTGTTATGCTGCCTCCAATTTTGACTGTTGTCGCGGACAGGGAGGAGATCGCTGGGCGTGTAGCTCGAGTGACTCCATCACTCGCAAAGAGGTAGGGCGGGGAATAAAATTGCCCATCCAAGTGGTTCGTGTGGCAGGAGCCACAAAGTCCTCCACCGCCAGCGAAGACAGTGCCATCTTGCATGAGAAGACCGACAGAGTGATAGGTGCGAGGAGTCTGATTGGAAGCCATTTTAACGAATTTGGTAGTTGTCGGATCCCAAAGCTCAGGAGTAAGGATGGCGTTGTTATCCGTGAAAGGGTCGGTGAAAGTCTGACCACCAGTAATAAAAACCTTGCCATCTGGGAGAACAACGCCATTGGAAAAGGCACGGGCGTACCACATTGTGTTGATCTGCACAACTGATGGAGTTGATCCAGGAGTCCCAATTGTGATCACATGAGCGTTTCTTGTAGCCCTACTGCCATTGTAGTCTGGTGCTCCTCCTACGGTCAGGATCTTGCCTGCAACAGCGTCGTACATGATGGCATTACCGGCCATGGAATCTGTATCACTTGCCCGGAGACCAGCGGCTGTTTGGCTGCCGCTGCCTGTCGTACCGTACCAGTTCATGTGTTTGCTTGGCCCTGCTTGGAACACATATCCATTCTTCCAGGCAAATAACCAACCGTGGTTGTCTTGACGAAATACACCCGCATTATCAGCTGTGAGCATAGGCGCTACAGGGCAGCCAGGAAGGAGCGACCATGAGTTCTTGGTAGGATCATAGATCTCGCCATTCTTCCCGCCTATTCCACCACTCCAAGAGCCTCCGATCACAAAGGTCCGACCATCTGAAAGGATTGCCGATGCTTGGTAGCCCCGAGGGATCTTCATATCTGGTGCAGCAATCCAATCATTTCCTGTCACATCGTAGATACTCGTCTTCGCAGCGGTGTCCCCTCCAGTGACCATGATTCTGCCAGTGAAGTCGACAGATATTCCTGGGCAAAACATGTCGTGCTGCGTATTCGTGATAGTTTTCTTGGTGACAGCACCTGTAGCTGGATTGTATATGGCAGTCTGTGTCTGCCCAGATATCGTGGGTCCAAATGTGTCGGTAGAATATGCTGACCAGACGAGGAGTTCTCCAGTATCATGTAGTAGTGCTGCAGCTACTGGAACTAAAGGAAACTCGATCAAGGGCCCCCATTGACCTAGATTCGCACCACGTACTAGTGTGTTTACTGATAGAAGAGCAGTAATATGAAATAAAAGAAGCTTGGGGAACATCCTGACCAGATCCAAGTAATGGAGAGGGGAAATTGATGTCCGCGTGTAGGATGGAAGGAGAGAATTGGGGAAGGGATGTTGTGGGGATATTCTGAATTTATAGAGCACTGGAATGAAGATAAGGAACCGGAAAGAAACCCGCCGGAATCATCTGACCACGCTCTTTTCAAGTAATTTACTAACTCGGAGGTGATTTACCTATCTCTTCAACTCTATCAGCTTCCTAAATCTGTCCTGACCAATTGATGTGTTGCCAGTAGAAGCGATATCTCTTTAATATCGTGACGATTCGGGACGTTTCGTCATCCTACATGCCCTCAACGGTAATCGTCCGGTCGAAGACTCACCCGATATGATTCTGATATTAGGCTAAAAGCAGTTCAAGCCGTGGTCGATTTAGGGCATCGTATTACTCTTCCCCCCTTTAACAGACGTTAAATTTTTGGCCTGTGCGCCCGCAAAATTTTTCACGTTTGTACCAGGGGGGGGGGATAGTATTAAGATTTCTTCGGGTGATTATTACACTAGAATGTGAAACGTGATTCCCACCTTTCCCCGCCACTAGCGGCCTTTCCTGGCGCCAATATGCGCCACTGATTTTTGCCTGCGCTGGTGCAGGCCCTAATGTTTGTCACACCGCCTTTGCAGGGGTTGCGCTGAAATGCCCTGTAGCAATGCGCCGCGGTCGACTTTTGCTTAGCAGAACTCAAGGCGGTGTAACAAACATTAGGGCCTGCACCTGCGTAATTAAATTAAAAGTGCTCAAATCCTTTATCCCTTCGTCCGGTGAGTAGGGATGGTAAACTTTACACTTTACATACTTTATGTAAAGTAGTCGTACTTTACGTTACAAAACATAGTAAATCTCGTATAAAGTAGGCATAAATAGGGTATAATTCGTGCATAAAGGAAAGTATAATTCAGGACACGTGGTCCCAATAGTCATTCCCAAACGCCTGAAACTCCAGGTCCTGAATACCCTGAAAATCGGTACTAATATCCCCTTGAAACTCCTATAAGCCCTAAAGCGTACTCTAAACCTCTGGAATAGCTTTAATTATAGTATTAGCCCGCCTCTACTTCCCTATAATTAGTTTAATTAATATAAATTCGTCCATTTCAAAGTCTTCCAGAAATATTATTTAAAGTATTACAAAATTATCTTCTAAATTAAGCCTCTATATCTTAATAGTATCCGGATCAAGTAAATTATTTACCTTAATTCTCTCTAGTTACTTTGCTTTTACCTTTGCCTTCCTATTTATATATATATTATCGCGATTAGTACATAAAGATCGAGAGTTAATATAAATAAAGATAAGCTTATTAAGCTTAGAGAGAGAAAAACAATTTCGTAATTTTATATAGAGGATATTTATAACTGAGAAGGCTTATTCGGATACTACTAAATTCGCAGTAGTATTAATAATTCAAAGAGCTAGCTATACGAGTACTTTATTTCTAGATACCTATAAAATATTAGTAAAAATCAAGAATATTAGAATATACTTATAGCAAGATTCTAAAAAAGTTTAGAATTATTTATATATACCTAATATTTCTTTATTAAATAAAAGCCTAGTTCTATTAATATATACTCAAAAAAAGTATTTAAAACGTCTGCTTTACTATAAGAGAATATATAATTTATAACCTGCTCTTAGTTAGTTTTTCTAAATTAGCTTTATTAGTACTAGTTACTTGGATTAAAAATATATACTAAAAGATAAACGTCCTAAACCTGCCTTTTAAGCCTAAACTCAAAGCCATATTTCCTAATTCACTTCAAATATGCTCTTATATTCTCTATAAAAGTAAACTTTATAGGATTATTAAATTATAGAAGATATATATATAAATTAATTCACTATTAGTATATATAATAGAAGTTTATATAAGTTAATTCTAATACCTTTTACTAATTATATATAGGCTCTAGTAGCCTCTCTATTTCTCGTAACTTATATTAAAAGTCCTTACTTATTATAAGCTATAGGAATTTCGAAGATATATTAATTCGAGAGTCTTTTACATATGCTTTTAGATAGGATTCGTTTTTTAAGATAGATTTAATAGAATAGTACTAGAAAGCAATATTAGAGGTAAAAATCACTTAAATTAGGAAGCTTACTTAAGTGCCCTATTATGTCTTTATTACTAGAAATAAAGCAATCTCTTTACTAATACTATTAAGCTACTTTTAATATAAGATACCAAGTTATAAGATCTTCTTCTTACTAAACTAAGTAATAATTAACTAAAAATCAAGCTAGAAGTCATGAATTTCTAATATAATCTTAACTTTCTTAATTACTTTAGGATTAATTATATCTCTAATAATAAGCTATTAGCTATAAGAATTGCATTTAATATTAAATATATAAGCTAGCTCTAAAAGCTTAGTAAATTACTTCCAAGTCCTTTATATTATAGAGTATATATCTAAATAGAAAGCAAATAATTAATTAAGATCTCTTTATATAAATTTAAGGGCTTTCTTCTTATAATCCAGAACTATATTTTCCGCTAAAGTACTCTTATCTTCTAAGCTCTTATTACTCTAATTATATAATATGCCTTTATAAATAACGGAAATATTCTCGATTTAATATCCTTTAATATTTATAGATTTATTAGAAACTATACTAAGAAATAGGGAGGAATTAAAGATATTTAAGATATTACTCTTAATTTTAGTATAGTACTAATCAAGAATCATATTCGTAATTACATATTATTTAGGTACTTTAAAGCCTACTATAGTAAAAAAAGCTCCCTATTCAGGTATATTAAATATTAAAAAGGCTATATAAGAAGTAAATATAGCTATTCTAAAGAAAGTATTTAGTATATCTTGTCTTTTCCTACCTGGTTAAGAGAAAAATACGAGCTTTATCTAAAGTAGTTCCCTTAGTATTAATAGCCCTGCTATTCTAGTTCTCTCTACTTAATCCTAATTAACTAAAAATCATTAATATTACTTATATTACTTGAGATACTCGCCTATTATAGTAGTATTCCATATCTGCTTAAATAGCTTCTTCTTATTTTTACAGAATTAGTAATAGGTATAGTTAGAGACTATTGTAACGGCTGGTGTCACATGGTTGATACGGACGTGGTTTTAGCCAAAGGAGTTGGTTTCAGCTAAGGTTCCAAGCTATGGTTCAAACCAAGCTCGCTTCCAAAGCTCGGCGTTTCAGTGGTCTTGGCCATACCTACTTATCCACTGCCACACCTCACTCCTGTCCTCCTTAGCTTTAAATTCTTAAGACATTGGAAATCATTGATCTTTGAGCCTCGTTCCATTGCTCTGTTCCTGCCGCCACAACTATTCCGTTTCAACTAGCTAGAATTTTATTAAAGGCTTTATGGATCTCTACCTTCTTTTAAACGCTCTGCTAATTATTAGCTAGCATATTAGCTCGTTAAATAGCAATTAATTCCCTGGTAATAAGAGTATTAATAATAGAGAGTTTCTCAGCTACGAAAATTCAAACTTACTACCGGAGCACACCGCTTCCGAATTAGGTATAGTGTGTTCCGTATCGGGCTAGTGCGTTACATGACTATAATATAACGTATAAAGTACTTAGGGGCTGTAATTACACACTTTACGTAACGTGCTAGGGCTGTAATATAAAGTACTATCCCTACCGGTGAGCCATTGCCAGGCGCTAGCAAGGGGGCCTGGCTTAGGGCGAAAAGACGATAGATCACTAATAAGTTTAAGCAAAGGTACGCCTGTATAGTCTGGGCCAGCCCCCCCTTGCTAGCACCTGGCAATGTCTCACCGGACGAAGGGATACTATAATCACTCTGATATAAAATATCTTCTAGAGGAGCTCAAAATAGTTGCACAGGTCATATATAGGGATTTTATATACTAGTTTATACGGTATATCTTAAGAGTGCCTCTTTAAAGTAAGATGTAATTAAAGTGTGTACTTCCTAGAGAATATATTCCACGACTAGGGAGATGCCTTGAAGCTTTAAAGAGACAGGGCTTTCCGGGTGGTTAAACTATCATATACGAGTAATTTAGGCTACGGAATAATTGTTCCGTAATATTTCAATAGGAGATGGTTTAATCTCTTGGTATGAAGCCGCTGCTCTCCCCGCAGTTCGATGCTTCTTACTACCAACGAAAACAGAATCCTCTCTAGATGAAATCTCGTCCCTCAATTACTTTCTATCAACTCTGTACCTCTCGTCAAAATGAAGGTATCCTTCGTAGCTGTGCTAGCATTGCTCTTCTCTAGTTAGTCTCAAATATCGCTGATTGCTCAAAGTCTATCAACGTAACTCAATATGTTAACAATACCTAGGAATCCAAGGATGCTATTTGATTGCACATTCCTCTACTGTCGGCGACTTTCCAGTTTCACACTCCGAGCCAAAAGGTACCGATCCCCTCTCCTCTATTTCCTAGGGCGTACCTTGTTCTTGAAATGAAGTCATTAGCTAATTATTTTTATTCTATAAATTAAAAGATCACGGCGGAGCGGTACAGCACATTGATTGGGCTTACAAGAACTGCGTGATCAAGGGGACGATTGCTGACGGGTGTGGGGTTACAGTTACCAGTGATATTGGTTGCGGCAAGGGTAAGTTCGACAGACCCATATGTTCTAGAGATCAGTCGATGTTAATATTTTCTAGTTCACTTTTCCTTCAGAAAGCCTGGAAAGTAGTCTTGCTACCTTGAGGATCCTTTGCGCTACGAATATGTTGCGGCTGTAATCAGAATATAGCAATTTTGGGTTCGACTCAGGTGGATCGGGATATGGGCGAAGCTATCAGTAAAGCAGATATTAGTTCAATTACTTGTGTCTAACAACCTTTGCGAGTAGTGCCGTGTAAAAAATGTTTCACTATAGGGAGAGTACTGACCATTGCTCCTAGGCCACTTTGCTTAGCTGGACATCACCACCAATAGAACTGACTGAGTAATACATGGATTTATACTAACCATCTATATAGAATGTTCATATAGATCGGAATAATACCGAAAATTACGCTAAACACGCAGTGAAAAGGACACCTCCGTGACTGTGTTTCATATTATACTAACTCGATTGCGGTTATAGTAGTGACTGAATTTCGTAGAGTAATAGCAGCCTCGAATAACGGTGAAGCTTGAAGAATACACGCTTCAGTCCGGGACAGACTACTACTGCGAGGCACTCTTGCTCTACAATTAAGCTGAGGTAACCAAATTGGATTTTAACCAACTGATTTCTGGGGTCCGAACGAGCTTCACAAGGTCAAGTTCAATTACCTAGCTACGAGAGACTTCTCTTCGTCAACGCTGTATATAAGGCCTAGTAACTGTTTTATACAGGAGATTCGCGAATCAATGCTAATTGTAATCTGTAAATATTGTAGAGTAGAGCTAGGCAGACGACAGCATAGTGAAGGACGATGTAGATAGAGGTTAGTGCTAAAATGGGGTAAATGAATATAACAGTCCAGTCAGAAGTGTATGAGAATAACCCAACAGTGATTTAAGTCCCAGTTCTCCGCGCAACCTCCAGAATCTCCTCTCGGTTTTGAAAAGTGCGACTCCTAACGCTTAAAAAAGTCTGTGGGGGGTAGAAAAGGCTCCTTGATACTCCTTCACTAGAGTCCTCTTCCTCCTTATAATAATGGCGGCGGACTTTCTAGCTCGAGCAGACACTAGCGGCGAAGCAATCTCTATGCGCTGCGTATAACATTACTGCAAAAGCCTGTCCCTCAGGGCTGCCTTTCGTATATGGAGTCTGGCTTGTATAGGCATATGGGTTCACCGCCGGGGAAACAACACCAGCCGCATTAACATGCTTCGCGATTGCATTGAGGCTAGTGTCTGCCCATGCGATATATGTACTGGAGAATACTGTTGGCTCAAGAACGGCCATACGATATACAACTGCCGCAAGAAGGGCAGTCCCTGACGTCTCGCCAATAGTGGCAGCATTGTTTAGATAGTTATGGAGAAGACCCGCAGAATCGCGCTATTGGTAGTTAGCGACCTTTCGAAGAAGAAGTTTCTATCCGTCCTTACTGGAGTCTTCATTGCAGCGTCGATGATCTCCTTAATCCAATCTCTAAGAGTGACTGTCTGTGTTTGTTGATTGGTTGTACGGGAAGGCGCCGCCAGAATCGCGGCCAAGACCCTGGTAATTCCCATTGCAGCCCATCCGTTTCCTGTAGACCAGAAGCTAGTATCTGGATGGCTGGAGGCGGAAATATGTGACCAAGCACCACTGGAAGATTTTAGGACCGCTCGATAGTCCTGGACTTGTTGTACAGCTACATCTAGTAAGGTATCATTCTGCGTAGATATTGCATAGTAGGCCAGAAACGGAGGGGCCATGTAAATGAAATCCGACCTATAAAAGTTGTTAGCTGTCATTGTCGGCTCTCATAGTGGCTATAGCAGCTTTGCTTACCACAACGCGATTGACCGAGAACGATGGCTAATAGCTCCATTTGAGGCTTTTGGGGTATGGTAGAGCAGCGTGTTCAACTGATTCTCCGCTGCGGTTGAATACGCAGATATTGTTTTCCCTAGCATCACAGCGGCAACACCAAGGGAAACCGGATCACTGTTTGATGCAGCATCGGCAATTAATAGATCACTACCAAGAGCGATATGTGGTTTTGCATAGGCTAGAGCCTCTGTCTCGGCTGATGCCGATGTGAAAGCATGGTGACCAAATACGCTCAGATCCGTGTTGTCGAGCTCTAAAAGAGCCTCTGAAGCAGTACCAAGTTCCCATGAAGCTGCAGCATTTTTGACCATTACCTGTTTGACAGCTGCGACATTGTAAGGCTCGGCGGCGCAATATACAATCTGGAAGAAGGCTTGCGCGAGAATGAAGGTGAACAAGATCATTTTGGTAACTCCTTTGTCAGAATGCAATATAGAAAAAAAGTACAATTCGTATTCCGAGGGCCTCTCTTTGAGTGTAGTGGTTGGATTGATTGTTGAGGTTATTCACAGGATATTTATATGACCTAACAGGTGACGAGAGCACCTAGGTAGGGGGTCAATCTCCAACACTTTGCTAATTTATATTCAGCAAAGATTATACATTAGAGTCATAAATTGCACGGTCTAGCGGGAATGAGGAAGACTATTAAAACGGGTGGAACCCTCCTCGTGGCGCAGTCCCTCATGGGGAAATCTCCGTTGGATGGAAGACGCCGAAATTCACGAGAAAATGGCGCAAATTATTTCCAGGATAAGAGGATATTGCTGTTTGAAGTACGGAGTGCCGAGGCGGGGGTTACGGCAGTTGTAACCATTCGTGCGGCAGCCAAACACTCACGCTAGTAGGGGCCCATGTAGGCACTCTACGGAGGTACAGCCCATAAGTATAGTAACAGCGCTAGCTAGGGGGTCGGCCAGCTAGCCAAATTGGGTAATACACTCCCTGAAAATCAAAACACCAGCTTTTGACGCGTCAACATTGAATCCTTATGTTTTTACTACTGCAATTCATGCAATTTGGCTATCTAAAATATTTATCTTTTTAAACCTTGTACTGAATAATACTTCTCCTCCTGCAGCGCCGAATGGCCCTATTCCTCACCCCCAAATTCGTGGTCCTAAGCACCCAGAGCTTACCCGTCAGCTTCTCCACTCGATCGGCTAGTCTTATAACCAGATTAGAGTCAAGACAGGCTTTATCATATATCAAATAGGACTTGCTTGTATAGCAAGATCTACCCCAAAGAAGCGATTAAGCCGTCCTCTGCTCCTCACACAAGCTCGAGTCGAAGAGCTAGTCGAATCTGTATGCGCGTCTGTAAAGAACCATTAAATATCCTTTTAATAACTCGCTCAAGTCATGGATTTTGGAGTCAAGAAACAAACTATACAGATAGCTCTTTTACGTAAAGATTTCCACAGACGCTTGGTAATGCGAAAGCCTCTAATCTCAGAGAAAAACCAAAAATTACGAAAGGCCTGAGCTCTTGAATATGTAAATTGAATAATGGAGTAATAGTATGAGATCTTGTAGATAAACGAGACTTAGATTGCTGGCGAAAGGCATACAAGAACTTGGGTTACTTATTATATAGGCGAGAAGTAGGATCCTACTTATATGGTAGAGAAGTATTAAAGAAAGAAAGAATAGATATTTTGGAGCTATTTTTATGGATATATAAAAGGTCCAGATATCTTTTGAGAGAAGGATTAGGGGTCTATTAATAAAGACTCGTACCAAGTACATATAGTTCCTATTATTTACGGATATATAGAACTAAGAAGAAGAGAAGGGATTTACTTATCTTATATAAGACGGTACTTCTGGCCATACTATAGCAGATATAAAAGAGGACTTGCAAGAAAGGGAAATTATAGTAATTATATGGCCTCTATTTTCTCTGGATCTAAATCCAATTAAAAGAGTATAGTATATTATAAAGAATTACCTTTAGGATAATTATCTTGAGATAATAAATTATAATTAATTAAGGGCCGGAATCAAGGATATTTGAGAGAAAATAGGGAGGTTTGAGTTTAAGGAGCTTATAAATAGTATACCTGCTTGCTATTAAGTTGTAATTAATGCAAATAGCCTATTTACTAAATATTAGAGTTAGAAAATTTGTAACGGCTAGTATTATATGGTTAATACAACCGTGGTTTCAGCCAAAGTAATTGGTTTTAGCTAAGGTTTCAAGCTATAGTTCAAACCAAGCTCGCTTCTAAAGCTCGGTATTTCAGTGGTCTTGGCCATACCTACTTATCCACTGCCACACCTCACTCCTTCTCTCCTTAGCTTTAGATTCTATAGGATATTAGAATTATAGATCTTTGAGTATTATTTCATTGCTTTATTCCTATTATTACAAAATTAATAATTTTAATACTTTAAATATAATCTAAAAGTATTACCTAATTTGGCTAGCTGGCTAATCCTCTAGCTAGTACTATTACTATACTTATAGGCTATACCTCTATAATAGCACACATGCTACTAGCCTTTATCTAGTAAGATATAGTTTATACTAGTAAGAGGGCCTGGCTTAAACTATAAAGTCATAAATTTATCTTTATTAATAAACTTATTAGCTATCTATTACCTTTTTATTCTGAGCCAGGCCTCCTTACTAGTATGAACTATATCTTGCCGAATAAGGAAATAATAATATTAGTTTTTACTATATCTAATATCTCGTACTAAAGCAAGTCTCGTACTAAAGTATATATATTATATAATATATTCTAATATTTAAAAATTAATTATAAAATATTTATATATCCGATTATAATAAAATTAAAGATATATATATAGTTAAATAAGATCTAAATAATATATAATACAGAATTTCTATCTAAGGCATTATAATAGATTAATTAAGTAACTAGCTATTTTTATAACTATTATTTCTATAAATCTTATTTATTTAGGTTATTATAAGTATAAGATCTAGGGCCTAGAAGGCATAGTTAGACTATCTCTATTTTAATAATTCAAAGCTAAAGAGAGAAGAGGATCTTAAAGGAGCCTCGGATCTAAATAATTACAAGCTATATACGGGCCTATATACTAGCTTAAGCTCGGGGTTATATATAATAATCAGGTAACTATAGATACCTTGCTTAGATATCAGATATCTCTCTCAGATACCAGATGCCTCTCTAGCTCTAGTCTAACCCCTACTAGTACTATATATTATAATAACCGTAATATTACTCCCTATCTTAAAGTAAGCTTATTCCCGAGCTTCGAAAGTCTCTATTAAATTTCCAAGTTACAGGTTATATATTAAAGGCCAGGGCCTTTTATATATAACTTTAAAGGATTTCTGTCCGTATTATATAGTTCCGGTAGTATATTATTCTTAGTATAGTCTAACTAATAGAGGAGATTCTAGGGCAGTCCTGGCTATTCGGGATTCTTATTATAGAAGCTCTAAAAAACTAGGATACTATTACTTAATAAGGAAGCAGGATACTACTCTGGATCTGGGTCCTATTCTTTTTACTAGACTTAGTACTTTAGCTTCCTATAAAGTAGTTTTACTACTTATATCTCTTGAACTTTATATTTTATTTCCCTGTCTTATAGTTCTAATAGTAAAGACTCCGGATTTACTTATCCGGGAAGGGAATTATCTAGGTCTTTATATAGCTTCTCTATATAAAATACCAGATATATTCTTATTAATTCCGGAAGCTTAAACCTAAAGAAATATCCTACTTATTTCAGGATTTTATATAATTCTTTTATTTAGTAAGTTAGCTTGCGGCTCGGATAATAATTCTTCTAGTACTTAGTAATAATTTATATCTTATTTTCTACTCTGAAGTTTACTAGTTAGTAGTACTTATTAGCTTAAGTAATATAATATTCTTATACTTATATTATATTTTCCTATATCTTTTACTATAATTTATAGAACTATATTACTAGGGCCTTTACCTTTTATTTATTTAACTCTTTCTTTAGAATATCTAATTATACTTGGGTTTTCTAGTTAAATAATATTTGCGGTTTATAGCCTTTTTCTATAAGAAATAGAGATTAGCTTATAGTCTTATAAACTAGAGCTATTTACTAGTAGTTAATTATTACTACTTATTTATTCTAATTATTCTAATAGTAATTTATATAGGGATATAGCTATTAGTTAAAGTACTAGTTAATAATCTCGGTCTAGTTATTAGTTTAAGGATAATTAGTAATTAATAACTTGAGCTTTATACTAATATATTTATAGAACTTGCTTTAGAAATCTAATATAAACTAGGGGCCTTAATTAGATATTATAGTTTCCGGGATACTAACTTGGTAAACTATATAAATAAGAAATAAAGGTATTAACTCTTTAGCTATTACTATATCTTAAATAAGAATTATAATAGGGCACTTGCCTAGGTAATTAATAAAGATTACTACTATATTATACTTATTTCTACTTTCTAGGCATTTTTTGAAATCTACTAATATATATTACTAGAAGTAATTAGGAACTAGTAATAGATATAAGAGCCCTAGCTTCTTGTTTTTAGGAATATAGAATTATTAGTAAATATAATAGTTATTCTTATACTAATTAATATTTATATCTTAGCCTAGCTAGTAATAGCAGGCCTAAAAAAGCTATTAAAGCTTGGCTTATTCTAGATATCCTATTAGGGACTATATATATGTCTCTTAAATAAGAATAATATATAAGAGTATTTCGGATATTATTATATTATTAGATATAAATAGTTTATTATATTATAAGAAAAGGCTGTCTTATAATATCTAAATGCCTTTTTTCTTATTTCTTGCCTTATTTTATAGCTTTTCTAGCTCTAGTAACTCTCGGTTCTTACTTAATAGCTTATTTACTAGCTAGATACTATTATACTAGGTTTCTTCCTAAGCCGGGTTTACTAAAACCTTAATTAGGGCTAACTAGAGATCTCATATAATATTATTATTAATCTTTTATTATAAAAGGAGAATTTGAGTCTAGTAGGCTATTATTACCTTATTCTAAATAATTATATTCTTATATTTTCTATTTAGAGTATTTGCTTATTTATTTAACTTATTTACCTAATATATAAGCTTAAAATAATAATAAGAAAGATATTTTACCTAGTAAGCTTATCTTACTAAAAGCTTCTTTATAGTTATAAAGTACTTGAGAGCTCGATAGTCTAAATAAATTATAAAGAATACCTCTTATAAATCTTCTAGTTCTACTTACTATTTAGTTAAGAAAAGAATAATAGCAAGTATTTCTTTATTATAAATATTATAGTTTAGCTTTACTAATTATATAGTCTTA